TTTCCCAACGATAAAAAAATACATATCTATACATATAACAAAAATCGATGTATGTATGTATGTATGTATGTTCCCTATGGACTCCAAAACGGCTGGAGCGAAATTTGATGAAATTTTCAGGCAATCTTCACTTAGCCCAGCGGATGATCCTGTGAAGTTCGGTAGTTTGAACGCGGGTGAAGCCGCGGGTACTGCTAATAAAATACATATAAAATTATAATATGTCCCGAGTGAGGGCTGAAATTTTGGCCATTAGGTACCTATATAAAAAAAAATATAATATTTTGAGACATTAACACACAACAGCGTCTAGTTCCATGGTAAGCTACGAAGGCTTGTGTTATGGATACCAGATAGTTGATACACTATACATATATAACTTTAAATACATACATAATGCATATCTATACTAATATTATAAAGAGGTAAAGTTTGTGAGTTTGTGACGTTATGGGGGGTAATCTCTGGATCTAGGAAATCATCCCTTAAGGGGGTGGAAATTTAGATGAAAGTTTGTATGGGGAATCAAGCTAGGGACGAACCCGAGCGAAGCGAGGGTGAGTCGCTAGTAGGTATAGGTATAAATATCTCGTGTCACGGTGTTTGTGGTCGCACTCCTCCGAAACGGCTCGACCGATTTTAATGATTTTTTTTGCATATTTGGTAGGTATGAGAATGGGTCGTAAAGTATTTTTCACCCTCCTACCGCAACCTCCCATTTTTTATTCATTCGCGTATACGTATACATATCGCGATTTTAGTATTTTTATATGAACAATCAATAGGTACTAATATTATAAAAGTGAAAGTGTGTTTGTTTGTTTGTTTGTCTGTCCTTCTTTTACTTTTTACCGCGGGAAATTATCTCATTATCACGCGGAAACACATCATAATACAATTCAAATAAATATTTATGACCAGAATTACTTGAAACTTGATATTAATGGTCTTCAATATAATGAAATAAATACGTGTTTTAGCATTTTTTGTTTTGGTGACGACTCAAAAGTATAAAAATCTATACATATAATAAAATTGTAACCAAGCCGAATCTGTACATTAAATATTTTTTGGAAAATTTTATTGAAATAGACATTATTATTTATTATCGATACAGAGGCCGAATCTATAGTTTTTACAATTTTCGTCTGTCTGTCTGCCTGTAACCGCATCACACAAAAACTACAGGGGGGATTTTGATGAAATTTGGTATGATGATAGCTGGTCATCCGGGTCAACATATAGGATACTTTTTACTGCGGGAACATACTACATCTCACATACATACTAAGTGTTAAAACGTAAGTAGGGACGAACCCGTGCGGAGCTTGGCAAAAACTGAAAATGCTAGTTTTATAAGATTGGTATGACATCGAAGAGGATAAACAAAATTGAAAGGACACCACGTCGACTTTTGGGTTAGTATATAATATAAATACTTACCAAAATTAATTGATGAAAAATCAATAAACAAAACACATCACATAATTATAATATCACTATAGAACAAAATCACTTTTACAAAATCAGCCTTTTTTTATACCACAGACTAAATATGTTTTTTTTTAATTTTATATTTTTAATTTATTATTTTAGTAACGATACGTCTGATGTCGTTCATTTCACATTTAATACTGAGGTAGGGACTAGGGTCCTACAGGAACGGATACGCCCCTTAAGGGGCGGGGCTTGCGAGAAAGAGACAGATATATTATCCCAAAAAGGTAACATTATCCTTAATCCATTTATACTAATATTATAAATACGAAAATTTGTGAGTATATATGTATGGATGTTTGTTACTCTTTCACGCCAGAACGGCTCTGGATGAAATTTGGCACAGACATAGATTAGGTATATCCCATAGGTTACTTTTTATTCTACAAAAATGTACGGTGGGATAGATTTGTCTTAGTCTAGGCACGAATCCGAAGTGATGCGAGGTTGAGTTGCTAGTTTAAAATAATAGTTTCTACCTTCCATTTGTTTGATGACACTAACTAAGAATAAATGATTACAGATAATGATATATCTAATATTAGATACCTACCTTTTAAGTAACTTTAAAGTCAATATTCTTATTTTTTTATAATACCTAACATATCGTTTATTTTAATTTATTCTAAATTACTGTTTAATCGAGTTCCTGTAGTAGGTAATGTCTTACCCTAAGGCTCCGCCCTAACGATAGCGATAAATTAAGTAGGTAGTTCACTAGAAATGATGAAATTACATGATTCATTCAGAAAATATTATCTACACTAGCAACTCACCCATGCTTCGCTCGGGTTCGTCACTAGTAAAAAACAAAAACAATACTAATATTTACAAAATCTGTACTAATATTATAAAGAGGTAAAGTTTGTGAGATTGTGAGTTTGTGACGTTGTAGGGGGTAATCTCTGGATCTACTGAACCGATTTAGATGAAATTTGGTAAGATAATAGTTTGAGATCCTGGGAAGGACATAGGATACTTTTTATCCCGGAAATCATCCCTTAAGGGGGTGAAAATGGGGATGAAAGTTTGTATGGTGAAGCAAGCTAGGGACGTGAGTCGCTAGTAATTAAATAAGGTACCTACCTATATTAGGCATATTACATTGATATATTTATAGAATATCGTATATGGAAAGAATATACTATTGTATATCATTTGTCAGACAATAACAACGGTTACCATGGCAACAATTACTTAGTCATAATAACTTTTATTTAATTTATGCACATTCATCCTACAGTAATGAATAAGTATTCATTTTTTAAGTATTAAGTTTAGTTTTTTTTTATCAAGTTTAAAAGTTATTTTACATTTTATTTAACATATATTACATACTATATTATTCAGTATTCTTTTTCACTTCCTGTGTGATGTATTCTCTCTCATTCTCTCGCCGTCTTAATCCTGTATGTTTATGTGTTTGTTTCTTTCTCGTGTCGCATTTTCGTTTCATCGAGTTTCACATCACAACGATCCTAAAGAAGATTCACTTCAAAAATACTTTCTTAGATTTACGCGAATATTTGACATTTTAATTAAAACTATCTTTTCGGATTTGTGGTTCCCGACATTTCGAATGCTTTACAGCAATCATGGTCACGGGAGAGACTGAGGTGTTAGATGTCTCTAAGGTATAGTTATTACAGACAGCCTACCCACAATTAATAAAAATGAAAAATTGCACCAAGTACCTTACAATATTTTATAGCTTTAAACATTTTTATAATTTTATTTAGTTTTATAATTGAATATGGAATATTATTTATTTAATTTTTGCTTATCTTAGCTTGCTGTTATCATTATAATTATTACAATTTTAAAAATATAAATCAAATAGTCACACTATAAAATAATTGATTGGAAATACCGACCATATAAAACATTTAGTAGGTAGGTATAGGTATATAGATAACATATCACCATTCAAAGGCATCCAAAATTGATATGGATAATCAAGTGCCAGTCAAAATTTAACCCCTTTGACACATTTAATAAAACAAATGACAAAAACGTTATATACCTACCTAAACAAATATCAAATATCTACGTCATAACTTCAACCCCTTATGGGTATAATACCCGATCATTTGAATAATTAATGTTAAATGTACCTATACATAATACAGCCCATAAAAACATCCCACAGCTGGGGGTGGGCCTCCCTTCAATACGAGGGGGATCAGGCCATAGTCCACCACGCTGACCAAGTGCGGGTTAACGGACTTTACATGTCTGTCGAAAACTAATGATTTGTATATGAATATATCAGAGATACAAGACCCGGGATTTGAACCCGTTTCCCTTAGGCCTTAGTTTCCCAAGCGAGCGCACTACCACTAGGCTAACAATGCTTTATTTTAACACATACTTACCTAATAATAAAAAACATGTGAAACCAAGGAAGTTCTCTAGTTACTTAAATATGTTTTGTGTCAGATTATATAAACACATTCTAACCCCTTTTATTCTTAATTCGACCCCCAATTTGAGAAACGATGCTATTGACCGTTCTAGATTATTCTTAAACATTATTAAATTAATGTTTGACTTCTTATTGGAAGATATTATCGACCAATCAAAAGGGAATGGAGAGAGGGCGGTGCTTGTCCCTTACTAAAATAAACTCACTTTTTATTCACTTTAAAAATATTACTTGATATTTTAGTAAAAATCACCAGTGTATACTTACTTCAAACGTATAATAATTATTGATTCACATATAAGAATTACACCACACTACTTGGATGACTGCTTTACTAAAATTACAGAACACTTTCAAATACAATATTAAAGTAACCTATACCTATTTATTGTCATTATTTGGAGTTTCATTCAGATTATTATTTTATGTATTACTAGCAGAACCCGCGGCTTCGCTCGCGCAAAAACTACAAAAAAAAATCACTAAAAAGTTAGTTTCATACGAACTTTCATCCCCTATTTTACCCCCTTATATGATGAATTTTGAAAAAGACATGTATTTATTTATTTTTATTGAAGAGGATATATACCAAGTTTCAAGTAATTCTGATTATAATAATTTTTTTGGATGGTATTATAACGTGTTTTCCCGTGGGAATTAAGTTATCTCCCGCCATAAAAAGTATCCTATGTCACTCTCTAGCTGCTCTCCACCTATGTCCTCACACAAAATCTCGTCAATCCGTTACTCTGTTTTGACGTGAAAGAAGGACAAACAAACAAACACACTTTCACATTTAAAATGTTCCTCTCAGTTCAGTTTATAGCGATCCCACTTGCTGTGCCAGCGGTCGCGGGTTCGAGTCCCTGGGGGTACTCATTTGCGTGATGAGCACGAATGTTTGTAGGGAAAGGTGTACGAGATGATTCCCCTAAGGGAGAATGCTTGTAATTTCAATAACATTTAATTTAAAATAGATCTAAAAGCAGTTTATGATAGCAAATTTATCGATCTACCGGTTTTCAAAATCAAAACAAACAATAAAAAACGTTTTCATTGTTATATTTCACTATTTTTAAATCTTTGCAAAAGCATCATCTTGGACACCCCGGTATCCAAGATGATCCTCAGGGTAGGGACAAGACGATCCTAAGAATCGTCTTGCCCCTACTTTGGGAACTTTGAGGGTTTTGGTAAAATTAATTAAAAAAAACACTTATTCATGTTACAAATTTGTTAATTTATGTAATCTTAGGTATTACTAAACTTTGAGATCAAAATAATCTTATATAAACTTAAATCTTAAAAAGTTTAAATTAAACTAAGCAAGTATTTTAATAATAAATCAGTCTCTAAATTACGGATAACAATCATCACAGCGTAAGATCGATAGTTCATAATATTAAGCATTTTTAACAAATTAATTAATAAATCTCTCCCTATTCAACATCAAACTATAAAATCTTTTAAAAATTAGCACTTAGGACAAAATTAAGTCAAAAGTTCTTCATCTCAAAAAACTTTTTAGCTTAGTAGGTTAGTTTAGTTAAAATTCTAAACGCTTTTTTCCTGGTGTTCTTACACACAAATCACAAATAAATTCATCACTATCTATCCCTGCACAAGATGACCTCATTTTTGACACTCACAACATTTTATCCATAATTCACCCATGTTATCCTTGGAAAATGTTTCCGAGCAAAATAGACATTCTGTATCTTCTTCTTCTTCAGATGACTCAGACTCGAGGATATAAGAAGTTGTCTTCCTCTTATTGGATACTTCTTTACCTTTTCTTACTTTACGTTTTACAACATCCAGTGCTTTAATCATAGAATCTTCCAACCACACGCCACGATTCGTTTTTGTTATATAATTACGCAGCATATTCTAAAACAATAAAAAAATACTTCTGTGTAATAGATAAGTAAAAGTCAGTAAAATAAACAATGTGTTAGGTGCAAGATGATCCGCACGGATCATCACGTACACCAACAAGCTAATCATCTTGCCCCAACTAGGGTAAGGTTGCTCAAGTCGTACCACGGCCTAAGTCGTACCCCGGTAATATCTTGTGTCGTAATTATAAATTGCGCCATATAGTGTTGCTAATCTGAACTTCTTAGTCGAGGGACCAAACAGAAACAAGTGGACGACCGGCCGGCTTCGTGAAGTAAAAATATTGAAAAAGTAAGTTTTTGCACAGTTTTCATTAACATTATTGACTCATTTGTAAGCTTTTTATGGCAGGAATGAGATCCTTACCTTTTTTCTTTGTTAACATGTGTTTGTGATACTTATCTGGTAATCTTTTCGAATACTCAAACATTAGAACTTTCTTAGGTTATGTCATTACTTTTATTTTTAAATTTAGAAAACACCGCCGCTTAAGTCGTACCTGTACAAAATTTCTACTCGTATTGGTACGACTTAAGAAATTTGTTTAATATAAAGTTTATATAATTTTTTATCAGGTTATACTTAAATATGGCGAAGAGAAGGTACGATACTTGGAAGCAAGAGGATACGGACAAAGCCTTAGAGAAACATCAGGATGGCATGGCTACATTTCTTTATCCTTTATTCGAATATAACCTAAATGCTTTCTATTTGAGTTATTATGCCATTATAAAAACAAAATACAACATTTTTGACACCTACTAATACAATAAACATTGCATTTGACAGTCTAGAATAAAAGTAACGTAGATTTAAAATCAATCTTACCTTAGATCTACGTCACACAATTTTTGTTTTAGGTATGTCGTTAAACTTTACTCGTCACTCATGCCGCCATTACGAATTGACTGATGCGAAGGGCCATCGGGAGCTATGTTTTACCAAAGGAAACATCTAGGTGTCATTATTAGTTTCTGTGTAATTTAAAAGGATCATCTTACCTCAACGGATCATCTCGTACACCTTTCCCCTACCTACCTACTCTAATGTTTTTATTTAAATATATATATATATATATATATATATATATATATATATATATATATATATATATATATATATTTAAAGTTATATATGTGTAGTGTATCAACTACCTGGTATCCATAACACAAGCCTAGTAGCTTATCATGGAACTAGATGGTGGTGTGTATTAATGTCCCGACATATTTAAAAAAACCGTTTACAGTTCAGGCTTGATTTTATATAGAATATGTATTCAGTTAATTTATTTATTGTTATTTGACTATGAAAATGTCTAGCGGTTTATAAAAAACACCTTTCAATGTAGCACTAATAGTCTTCAAGTAAAATGGTATTAACATACAGACAGACGGATATCGTAAAATTATTAGTGTATCGTTTTATACTTTTGGACGTAATACCCTAAAAACCCTTTATGTTAGCCCTAAAACAGGATCAATTTTTAATTAACTCTAAATTTAGATGCTTTAAAATCAATAAATGGTTGGTCAATTGGAAGAATTTTGCCATTGCTCTCGCCAGATGTCGCGATCACTATGATCCTCAGTATATTAAAAAACTTTATATCGTGCATTTGATTTTATTTTTAAAATTTAATTAAAATGAAAAATTTGCCTCGAACCTAGAGCAAATTTTTGGTGACCCTGGGTCGCGTTTGTGTGTATAAATATATAGCAGGTAGGCATGCGATCTTAGTATATACCTACTAACACTACCCAATCGTCCACATTTCGTTCGTCAGAAAATACGTGACGCCTGGCGGCCCTGGGATCTTGCTCTATTAATAAAAAGCTGCTATTTTGATATTACAGACAGACACTTCAATTTTATTTATCTGTAGGTGTATATTATATTATTCATACATTTTATTTATCAAAAAAAGTAAAAGAACGAGATATATTGTATAATATTTACCTTTTTTAAAAAAATACTAAACTATTTATATGGCAAAATCTGAAATTGTAGCTTAAGCAGAATTACACACTATTTTTGACATCAGCACTTTTTTTTGGCGGACTTCATCTATCTATACTTCTGTACTAATATTATAAAGAGGTAAAGTTTGTGGCGTTGTAGGGGGTAATCTCTGGATCTACTAAACCGATTTAGATGAAATTTGGTAAGAAAATAGTTTGAGACCTTGGGAAGGACATAGAATACTTTTTATCCCGGAAATCATCCCTTAAAGGGGTGAAAATAGGAATGAGTTTGTATGGGGAATCAACCAAGGGACGAACCCGAGCGAAGGGAGGGTGAGTCGCTAATAATATATAATTGTTTAGTTACTTTTTGTATAGTTTGCCTATAACAATTTTACGTCCATTTAAACCTTACAATATTATAATACAAGAAATAAATTATTCTTAATACATTTTTGAAGTGAAAGTTCTTTAAACGCGCCATGAGAGGAAAAAAGTATTTGCGTTACGATTTTTGTAACAGAAACGGTTGTGGGCGTTACGGAAGTGAATACATAGTCAATTAAAACTTTTATATGAATATTTCAAAGAATAAATTAAATAAAAACAGATGAATTATAAAAAAAAATATATCATATGAATATTGTTAAAAAAATATTTTAAAATCACCGATAACGTACAGAAGTGTAATTTCTTGCGCGTGTATACATTAATTTTATTACACGCACTAAAATATTTTTTAAAGTTATACTTCTTTTGGCACGTTTGGAAAAAAATATGCGTAAAATTTTTACAATGCGCGCGCACACCGACAGCCAAAAAGCGACATGACGAAGTTAGTTGACAACTGTTAGCTTAAATGATATTCTATAAATATATGATTGTAATATTGTGCTTTATTTTATTAATTTATCATTTCTTTTACAAACAGAAAGTTATAACATACGAGATGAAATCTTTAGCTATTTTTGTTCTGTTACGCCAAAGAAGTATAACTTCTTACGTACGTACATAAGTACACACACACAAGTTTCTTTTATATAGATAAAGGACAGGTACCAAAAATAAAACAATAGTCAAATTATAAAATTATTTCATTTATTAAATTCAATATTGTAAAATGTCTTCCGATTTCGGAAACTGTAACAACTCGTGCGCACGAGAAAAGCCGGTCGACGTAACATACATACATAACTGGAAAGAAAACAGAATAAATATTTAAAAATATGATTTCTAATAAAAAGAATACACATATTAGGTATATTATTTTTGCTGGGTTTTTTTTTTATTTTTTCTTTTACTCGACAGTCTCACTTAAAAAGTACGCAATTTTGTGGGTAGGTCCTGTCTGCAACAACTAAATATTGACCTTTGAGACGTCTAAAACCTTAAGTCTTTTCTGTGACCATGTGCACCGTAAGCATTCGAAAAGTCGGGAACCAAACATCAAAATAAATCCGCGAAAAAATCCGAAAAGATTCATTTAAAATGTTAAATATTCGCGTAAATCTAAGAAAGTATTATAAGACTAAAGTCATTGAAATTAAATACATCCTTCATTTTTAACGACAATTATTAATAATTGATATTTAGTATAGATTTCTCAGAGACAAGATATTTTACCGCAGTAAAAAGTATCCTATATGTTAACCCGGATAACCAGCTATCATCATACCAAATTTCATCAAAATCGGTCTAGTAGTTTTCTCGTGATGCATTCCCAAACTGACAGAGAAAAATTCTAAAAACTATAAAATAATGACTATTTCAATAAAAAATTTCAAAAAAAAAATCACATATACACAATCAGCGACGAAAAATGTCGTCACCGAATGAGCGCTCATTTGAATATTTTTGAGCGCGTTTTTAATAAAAATTTTTTTGTGAAAACTTAAAACAAAAAACTTTAAGCATTGCTTTTAAGGTTCAATTTACGTTATTGTATATTTATTTTAACTAGAACAATTACCTAAGCACAATTGGTAACAGTTTTAAGAGAACTTTTGCACCGGATTGTGTATCTAGTACTACTTTGATCGACGATTATCACACTATCCTACTCACTACTACTCACAAACTTTCGCGTTATTTAGTAGGATTCTTGGATTAACACAATTATTTGACATTTTTACAAAAAAAAAAAAAAACAGTTTTTTCGCGGTTTAATTTTGTTTTTTTTTCTCCGGCGTCTCGAATGCTTGTCATAGACATATATAGATGTTTTTGAGATGTCAAAAACTTTAATCCTTCCCGTAACCATTTTTGCAGCGAATCATTGAAGCGACGGAAAAAAAAATCCGCGAAAACTTAAAAAACAGTAATTTAAAATATATTAAACTACATGCGTGACTAGCACAAGTTTTAAATATCACATCGGTTAAACTGATCGAAATAAAACTGTAGGTCAAACCAAAAAAGGGTAAGGCCCCTTTCAAAACCTTTCTTTGAACATTTTTCAGGCAAAACTATAATTTATGAATGTATGTTTGTTACATCTTCACATTATAACAAATTAATAGACTCTTCAGTCTCTTCTCTTCAGAAATTTGAAAAAAACATAACATGTATTTTGGATTAACATCACGCGACCGAACCCGTGGACATAAGCTAGTTAAGTATAAGGAGACCCTTAGATAATTACCTTAATCCAAAGCCGACACATCCATACTAACATTAACATAACTGGCCCCCATGTTTTCTCTATGCCGAGGCGATACCACGTGACGTTTCGCGTTTTCCCCATCATCCACATCACTCTCACATACACCACACTTCAATTTACCGAAATCATAATATACGTATTTGTTCCTCGACAACATATTAATATTATGCTTTAATTCCAAATAAAAACGGAATATGTTCTCCGACGTCGGTTTCTTCTCAAAATGGCCGGCGAAAACCAAATGAGTTAGCAAAGAACGTATGGAGTTGAAGACACTTTTGCAAGGAACACATGTAAAAGTAGCACCTTCAGAGTGCAATATATAGTTACCGTGCATGTATACACTTATAATATCACCTTTGTTAGCTTTTAATTTGCTATCCAGCACTAGATTCTGATGTTCGATGCTAGATAAGATATGCTTTATGGCTTCCCCAATATCTGCGAAAGATTCGTCACAAAATTCGCATTTTACGCCATCAGATTGGGATATTTTGTGCATATCCAACAAATTCTGATCAACATCTGGATAGAGCGCCGAACGAATCAATTTGCAAATGGTTTCGACATGCAAAGTGCTATCGAAATGCTCTACGATAGCGGCAAAAGATGGTAAAGCCACGTAAGTTGGACACATGGAACACACGTAATAATTCCCGAAACTCGCAAAATATTCGGCTGGGCGACAATGGTTTTTATATAGCAAATCCAATTTGTGAGGTGCAGCATTACGCAGATGCTTTTTTTGACGGATATGATTGAAGAGCACTTGTCTCGGACCTTTTAGAGTCATGTCGCAACAAGAGCAGTAGTTGGCAATCTTGCCGGAAGGTCTGATAAAATTTTCTATAACCACGTGGTCGCGGTTATTCAAAGGTTTGCCAACGCTGGCTAGGAATTTTGCCCAATCCAGGCTCTTTGGTCCCCATTCATCTGGCACGGATCCGTCAGTATTTTTCATCTTGCGATACAGTTTATCGGACAATCGTCCAAGATGGTTTTCGTCCAAAATATGCATGATCACATTATCATTGGTTTCGATAAATATTTTGCACAAAGAACAATTAAGGCTATTGGTATCGCTTATAATACCGTGGTTGTAAAGGAACTTGTTATTCATGTCTTTAATTTTTTCAATGGATGAATTCTCCATGGAAAATGGGATGTGATTGTCTGATTGTAATATGCATGCGAGGTTATGTATGTGTGTCTCACTGAACACGTGATTCAATACACTATCGTAACGAAATCTTAGTGTATAATATTCGCATGCCATACAAAAAAATGCTAATTTCCCTGTACGGTCGTCAACTAACGTCAACAGCTTGTGATTCATCAACAACTTAACAATAGAATTCTCGATTGGACCGTAATAACGGTATTTCTTGATTTGATTTTTAACGGGTCTCTCTGGAGCCTGCTCGGTCTCCTCGTTATCGAAGTTCTTATTCGCATCTGCCGCGAAGTTTTGGTTGACATTATCTTTAATGCTCATGATTATTGGTGCCACTGAACCGGTTTGAGTGGAGAAATCCTTAAACGCAATTTCCTGACATAGTTTGTCGTATGTAGTTTGGTAGAACTTAACGGCAGCGTCAATGCTAGCTTCAGAGTTATCTGGCAAGTGCCTGATCAAAGAAGCCTCGAGTTTCCCAGAAAACATTTTATCCAATTTCTCCATCGGTTTGACCAGTTGCAGGATATGCTCAATATTAACTCCATCTCCGCTCTCCATAGCGGAAAGTCGTCTGGACATTTTTGGCAGATTTATTGGCTCAGCAACATCAATACTATCTCTTTTCAACTTGGGCAAATGCACTTCTAAGTTGAAATGTTTCTGAAGCGACTCCATCAACGGCTCTTCTTCATTTAACTCGATTTCTACATTACAATCCGTGCAAATGTGCACCTGTTTCGCGGTTTCAGCTATTGAAAATTCGGTTTTCAACAGCTCTGGCACCTCACTAACGGGTAAGCTATTGAATCGCTGTCTTTGAATGTTACTCTTCTTTTCAGTTGTAAATATATATTCAACTTCAACACCTTCCCGTTTCGTCAAAAAGATCTTGCGATGAGTTGCATCCATGTCCCTTAGATAGCGTAAAACAATGGAGTTTTGCTGAGTTATTGGATGGTTAATCACATTTTTAAAGTGGTTTGCCAATCTCTTAACATCATCCACCTTTCTGAATGAAAGAACAGTTAGTTCGGAGACGCGTTTACATATATCTTCAACAGTTTCTTTAGATTCAGACATTTTGATAAAGTTTTAAAAAACGTTCTGTACAATGATTTATGGAAGACCTATCTCGTTGAGCCGAGAATAATAAGCCTGAGCCAATATTGATTGGCGTGATGCAGTTTTGCCCGTACGATGTTTTGGAATTTGTGCGTTTTTGCCTGGAAGAGGTTGTATCGAATTTTTGTTTGAACTGGTTTGATCTGAAGACTATCACCGCATTTCAAGATCTGGAAATTAAAAAAGTTTTAATTATTATTTTTAGGTCACTTGACATAACTACACCAAAGAGGTGATTTTTGCTATCTATATGTGTAATGTATATATAATTCGTAAAAGATATAACACTATGTACTTTCTAAATACTTTTTTATTATTTGTTGTTCCATCGGCAATAGAAATACAACTCAAATTTCAATTCACTACCTATTCCAGTTCATGAGATACAGCCCACAGACTGCCAGAAGGACAGCAGAGGCTATGTAATAGGGTCCGTTGGGGTATGGAACCCTACAAACTATAAAAATATACTAATTTAATATATAATTCATGCTCCATTAGTTCTTATGTTTTATTTATTTAAGGTATGTAAAAAATATCTGATAATAACATACACCACTCTAAATTTCACTCAAATTTTTTGAGCCTTGGTTGCGTTTTTGAGACCAACGCCAAAAGCGTTCAAACAAACAAACTGCCTCTTTATATATATTAATAATTAATAATAATAATATAGATTGCAGGTGTTGAAGCCACTATTTATAATTTTCTACCATAGCTTGGGACATACATAACTTACATGTAATATACATATATTATGTATATACATCAATATTTACTTTATTGTAAATAAATATAATAAAACTAAAAAAAACTCACACAACAATGTAGAATAACTTAACCTACAATGAATTTAGAAAAAGTCTATTTAAAGGAAAACAGATGAATGAATCAGCAAATGTCAAGTAAATAAATAAACAATGAGTAGAAGACATCTTTGATAATGTATTGTATTATATAATAATGTACTTAACAACTAACAAAGAAAGAATACACTGTGTGTAATGACACATTTTACTCAGTTTGTAGTGACCTACAACTACTTGCTGTACCAGGGGTCACGGATTCAAATCCTGCTAGCCTGCATTCCTATATGTGATGAGCACAAATGTTTTTACTCTAGTCATGGGTGTTTATATTTTATAATATTTATGCATTTAAAGTTATATATTATGTGTAAATAAATCCTTATTATGACAGCGATTTTGTTGATTATATTTATGATATTGATGTGTGATAGTTTTCTAAAAACCAATCTCCTTCATATATTCTCCATTCTACATGACATTGGCGAAGTAATCTGTGCTCAACTGGCACGCTTTGAAGACATTCACAAGAGAATTGAAATGACTATATTGTGATATTTTTCATTTCTCCTAGATCATTTTAGCTATTACAATTAATTTTTGTGACACTAAGATATTACAGTGCACATACAACAACTCTATTCCTCTCAATCTCAATTTTTATATTGGCAGTCCATCCATACTAATATCATAGATGCAAAAATAACTGTCTGTCTGTCTGTTACCTTTTCATACTTAATTTGCTGATCTAATTTAGATGAAATTTGATATAAAGATAGTTTAAGTCCCTGGGATAAATATAGGATAGGAAGATTTTTATCCCATCACTTAAAGGAGAAGTTTATAATGGAAATGAATTATTTCTCAAGTAAGAGATATAAAATTCATTGTACCTATGTATATAGTCTATCTATTCCACACTAAGCGTCAAAATATGCCAAGGGATAAATCTGAGCAAAGCGAGGGTGAGTCGCTAGCTAATTATATAATATATTTATTAGTAGATATTTGTTTTTCAAGTTTTATCTACATAATGTTATATAAATTACTGTGCTATTTATTCTGTTTCAGAATTAAAGAGTGTATTATGGCATAATGTGTGTCTGTATAAGATGGATAAGTAAAGGGTAAGGCGAAAAAACTGGAGTTCATTCAATGCATCCTATAACTCCATAGGCATTAAGCATATAACAATCACTTTGTTTTATGTCTATTAAAAATTTTAAGTAATATATAGTTGTTATTTGGCTCAAGATTTCAGGGCAAAACAGATTATGAATACTATTAATTTAATGTAATGATTTTGTTTATATTATTGCTTATCTTGACTCCAATATTATAGGTTATTTGGAAGATATTATATTTATTTATGTACAATTATTTAGGTTAAGGTAGTAAAAATAGACTATTGAAGTAAAAATTTAGAGCACAGATATAAAAAAATTATGGCTTCAGAACAAATATACAAAACATAAGTTCTATATGTATCATATTTGTATATATTATTGGCATTGCTAGAACTCAAATAAATTTAATCATTATTACTGTTAAAAATTAAGTATAACTCTATGGCATACAATCTCAATTCTCCACCGACTCAAAGATGTTTTTTATAAATACAAATTAAGAGCAATAAAGTTATATTACATTTAATTTAAAATACACATTATTATATTTTAAAATAACACACAACATTAAAGACGCGTTAGATAGATCGTACGATGATATCGTAAGAAACTACTAGACGTGAATAACTTCTCGAGTAATTAAGTACTTAGTATAACTAATAATTGTTCTTGTTTTGTACTTTTGATCAATAATATCTTGTTAAATTTTATACTTAAACATTTAATATGTTGAAATATCTTAAAAAACATCAGAAAATGCACACATTTTGTACACTGTCATGTTATTTATCCCTACAAAGACAAAAAGAGCGTACACACAAAGTAAGGTTATAATGATGGTGCAATTAGTAAAAAGTGTCTAAAATAAGTTTCTATATAATAGGAATATAGGAAATTGAGTAATTACTTAGAATAATTACCTGTAAGTCTTGATTTTGTGCATGGCAGTGTAAACCGCCTATAAAAGTACGGGCATTGGGTGACAGTCCTGTGATGACATGATAGATAGGAAGAGACAATATGACATAAGATAGACAACTGTCACAGATTAAAGATTGTTAAAGAAAATTTTATATTTTAAATCTATACATATAATAAAATTGAGTCAAATCTGTACATTAGTGACTTCAAAGCGTGCCAGTTGAGAATAACATTTTATCTATATATATATATATATATATATATATATATATATATATATATATATATATATATATATATATATACTTATATTTATTGCCGATTTATTTTATGGCGAGCAATACTGAAAATATATGTCAACTGTCAAATTGTTAAGTGACATTTGATTTCTTGTTTACTCGACTCGTACTGATTTCGTGTTTGTAAATGAAATAACTTTGCCAAATGTGCCGCAAGTTAATGGAAAATGTGAATATTTATATGGAAATAATATTCCCTTAACTTTATACGTGTTATTAAGATAAATTTACGTAAATAAGTGGCGATATGGCGGAATTTCTAGACGATCTAGATAACGACACCATTTGCGGCGTTTGTAACGCAGAATTTCTTGATATTGATGATTTAAAATTACACATTACTCAATATCATTTAACAAAAACAAATCAAAATCGATTTTGCAAGATTTGTTCTACAATCTTCGCTGATATTGACAGTTATGCTTTACATATAAGAGATGTACATCTAAATACATTAAAAAGTTGTAAATACTGTGTTAGAGTATATCTAGATCAAGATGCCTTAATTGAACATGAAAAGAGACATAAAAGTGTTAAATATTTCCCTAAGCTGTCATGTTCTCAGTGTGACACTATTTTTCAAAGTAAAGAAGACTTACAAAATCATGAATATGTAAATCATAAAGATAATGAAGATGGGTTTATGTTACAACACTGTTTTGCTGCACTATCATCATTTATTAATATGAATATATATAAATATTTTGAAGCCACTCAACACCATTTATTATTTGTCTGTACTGCTTGTGGAAGATCCACTCCTGAAACATCTACATATATATATCATTTAAAAACAAAGAACTGTCGGTCGCTAACTTGTGAGGAATGTTGTGATGTATTTGCCAAGAAGTCTAAACTCAGGAAACACTGCAAAAACCATATTTGGCGTAAAGAAAATAAAAGTTCATCTAAAACACAAAAACAATGTGTGAAGTGTAGCAAATACTATTCCTTTACAGAGATAAAATCACATTTAAAAGCTTGTAACACTATAAAATGTCGCAAATGTCCACTTACTTTCAGTTCAGTGAGTGAATTAACACAGCATATAACTGTACATTCTCAGAATATATCTGTGTCGTTTATAACTTGCAAATATTGTCGAAAACCTTTTATTGGAATGACTGCTCTCCGAAAGCACATTGAACGAACACATCAACATAATATTCACTTATACAAATATAATTGTATTTATTGTAATATAATTTTCAAACATCCAAAATTATTATTTGGCCATTTTTATACGAGGCACAAGGACATACAGCCATATACATGCAAAATATGCAATGAAAAATTTAGAATAAGAAAAAGATTTACATTACATATAAAATTGAACCACAAAAGTGTAGGGTTTGTTGAGTTTGATGATAATTTTCATGTTTATTTTACTGATAAAAAGTCCGATAGGAATGAAGGAACTTTAAATAAGAATGTCAATTTGGAAAAAAAAATTGAAACTACTGATGTGGAAACTTTAGGAAATGAAGCTATGCCAAATGATTCTTCTAGTAAACTAATTGAAAAAGATGAGCAACATAAACAAATAATGTTGGATGATGAAATAATAGATGATGCCACGGAATGTTCTCTTGAAAGAACAGATAAAAACCCGTTATATTTAGAAGACAAAGATAAAATTGAAGAAAAAAAAAATGAAACTGTTAGCAAAGATTCAATTCAAACAAAAATAGAATGTAGGAAAACGAATGAAAAAGAAATTGAAATAATTAATTTGGTAGGTACCCAAGACCATGCTGACAATACCTTGTTGGTAGAAGTAAAAAAACGTAAAAATAAAAGTGCTGAAAGCAAACCACCTAAAAAGAAATCAAAACTAGAAAATGATAGTTCATCTGACGACTCAGATGTGCCGTTAGCACAAATATTAGGTAAAAAAGATAAACGAGTATATAATAAGGTGCCAAGGAAAAATTATCGAAAAACATTTATGTGTATAAAATGTAACAGAAACTGTTATACCTATCAAAACTATCACCGTCACATGAGCTTACATAAGAAAAATCAGCGAAAAACATGTATCAAATGCTTTAAAAACTTCAAAACTAAAGAAGATCTGAATATACACATGAAATCAGAACATTCTAGTTCCAAGCTAACCGAAACACTGAAAAAAATTATGGACGAACGCAAAAAAGCGCACCCTGAGAGCTATGCTTCGGAGAAATTTGCTAAAACTATGACAAAAGTGCCAATAGTGATGACAGCATCGCAAGCAGCAATTACTAGAGTAGAGAATAAGTTGTCTGTAAAGAAGTTCTTAGAAAACTTCAGTCCAGAAATCAACGAAAACAAAGCAAATATTACCAACAATCTCACTATTAAACCAGTATCTACTGTACGCACTAAACCATTCATAAAACTAACTAAATTCACTCCAGAGCAATCTGTGACTGATCGTCCAAAATTAAAAATGCCAACAAAGTTTACAGAAGAAAGCACAGAAGAATACAATGTGTCGATTAAACTCGTCCATAGTGACTTGACTCCAACATCTTTGAATTTGAACAATGAAATCTCTACAGCCGACTTAAATTATAACAATTTTGATGATCAAAGTAAAGTAGATGCTATACCAGAAGTGGGCCACGAGATAATGTTAGAAGAAACTGAAGTTAAAAATGTGAAATATTTGAAAAAGACTATAGTTATCAAGGATTTGTTAAAATACAATAATGTTAGGATTGGTCATTTAGCACCACAAGCGCCATTTTATAAAATAGTCAAAATCGACGACATTTTGGAAGAAAAAAAGGTTGAAAATAAACCAGGTAATGTACTTTTACCGAATGGAACTAAATTAGTGAATGTGAATCCCTTAGCGCATCTTCTGGATAGGAGAAGTATCAAGGAAATATGCAGGTCTAGTCTGAACACCAAGTCGAATACAAAATTGCAAGACTTTAGCGAAGCCATTGTTAAAGCTATGACAGTTCTAGAAAAACCTATGAAGAAGAAGAAGAAAAATGTACCCGAAAATACATTAGAAAGTTAAATTCTGATCAATTATGAATTCGATTGAATTACTTAGAATTTTATTAATTACTTGTTTTCATTGTGAGCGGGAACAAAGATTGTTCAAATAAAAGTCAATAGATGGCGTCATATGCATGTAGCGATTTGTTATTAATGCTTGTTTTAAACTAACTTTATAAGTGACTGAATTAAAAAAAAAAGTTAAATGAATGAATATTTTAGATATTTCAACACATACGTATGTACATATTTATGAAATAAAATAGTTTTAAACATTTTAACACTATTTATTGTATATTTAAGCAAACTAAAATAGTCCGAATTATCTGATTTCTTTGCCTCGTACTAAGAACTTGTATGAAACACATGAATTGTATGAAACATGGGGTTATTCAAGGGGCGGACCAATAAAGTCCTGAAAAGCCGGCAACGCATTAGTGGTGCCTCTGGTGCTACAAATGTTCATGGGCGGCGGTAATCTCTTAACATCAGGAGACCTCTCGTTTGCTCGCAAATATTATAAAAAAAAAATCTGTACCAGTATAGTATAATGTCATCCAAGGTAATTATTGAGAAATAATTTTGTTTGTATGTAACATACAAATTCTATAGAACAACTGAAGTGATTGTATGAATATATATACATACATATATATATATATATACATACATATATATATATTAAAATATAAAATAATCCAACCCGCACTTGGCCAGGTGGACTATGGCCTGATCCCCCTCGTACTAAAGGGAGGCCCACCCCCAGCAGTGGGACGTTAAAAAGGGCTGAATACGAATACAGTCTTAAGGGTGACTTTTAAGTAATTTCTATGTTGAGAGCAAGTTCGCTACCCGCATATTACAAAACTTAAACATGTGTCATAGCGCATGGTGGGCGCTGAATTAGTTTGTTCGAACTGATCTCAGGAATTACTTCATATTCTTATATGGTTTTCCCTAATAGGAAGATTCCTAGCATGGATTCGTCAGGAGCAAAGATAAATTAGTTCAAATAAATGTCAATAGATGGCGTTATATGTATCCATTTGTTATTAGTCAAGTTAATAAAGAATAAAAAATAAATCCCAAAAAGATGCATCTAGTGCTAAAGACATGACCAGAATAAATTCAGGCTATTCTTTGGGATCATTTTGTTTTCTGATACAGCCGATAGATAGCGTTGGTCGATTTGTTTTATTTTTAACAAGTATGTACTGTGTAAATTATTTTGCATTCAATGAAACAAATTTTATAGAATTTTTCCGTAATAATGAACGAATAAAGTGTAAAACCATCAAAAAATACTAATAAAGTGTAAAATCTCAAAAAGATCAATTTATCACATATGATTTAAAATCGTAATTTGTCATTTTTTTTATTTTCAGCTTCAAAACCAGAATATACTATTTTGGAATTTATTATTTTTATTTCACAAACTTCAATAAAACAATCGATATATTTAACGCCATCTATTGACATTTATTTGAATTAATGTCTCTTGTAAAGTTTTAATGCCTACCTTTACTTTTTACTATATTATAATCAACTAGTGTTGAAACTAGCGGCTCACTCTCGCTTCGCTCGGGTTCACCTCTAGAAAAACAAACCTATCCCACGGGAACCGTACATTTTTCCGGGATAAGAAGTAACCTATGTGTTATTCTGACGTATGAACTGTATTATTGTAGTTTCATTAAAATCCGTTCAGTACTTTTTGTGTGAAAGAGTAACAAACATCCATACACCTATACATTCATACATCCTCACAAACTTTCGCATTTATAATATTAGTAGGACTAAAAATTAATCAGTGATGCCAACAATTGAACCCCTTATGAGTAATTTCAAAAACCCTCTAACTGTCAATTTGAAAAATGTAGGTTTTTAACTAGTGCTATATTTTTATTTTAAATGATTACAAGTAGTGTAAAAACTTATTTATGGTTATTATAGTAATAATTATATATAACTATTTAATAATAATAATTAATTTGATAGTAACTTAGAAAATAATAATAAAAAAGTATAAATGAGGGAAATGATATTTAAAGATATTATATGATTTTTCCAAGTCTTTAAAAGAAACTTTATAAAACGTTATTTATATTTAAGTCATGCTATTAATTTAAAAAAAACCCTAAAAATCTCCTAAACAATACCCCCCCCCTCCCCTCCCCTACCCCGGTGCAATGTTTTCAAAATCCAACCCCTAAAGCACCTGTGAAATAATGAAACACTTTTCCTGTTATAATCGTTATATTCACCGAAATTAATAAAATTTATATACACAACAGAAAATTATACGTCCCGCCCAAACGTCAATCCATATATATTCGTCATCATATTTTTCCTGCCTGCCTGGCACCTGCGTAGACGAACACCACAGAGGTTGTATGAAGGCGTAAATGATGTCTTCGAATAAACTAGCGGCGTGTAACATACCCTTTAGTAAGTAAAGTAGGAAAGCCCCTAATTTGGCTACACTCAAATTAATAGTAAATAAAAAACAATATGAATTCAAAAATACTTTATTACAATTACTCTTATTAATCTATCAACTAGCATTTTGACAAATATGTTATTTGCGACATTCGGGCCAAAGGCAAAAGTCACTAAGTCAGTTTTCTACAAAAACTCACTTTCCTTACTTCTGAGACAAGTAAAAAATCTAAAAAACTAAAAAATTATTAATAATATTTTATATTTCTCATTAAGACTTAATGATTTTTACCTTCGTACCGACTTGAAAAAAAAAATAGTTTCTAAACAGCATTTTACCTTAAAAACTAAACAAAACCCTTAATTTACCTTAATCTATACATTACAATTTATATTAATTGGAAACTAATTCTCATGTCACTTAAACTTATAAAATAATACATAATATGCTATGAAATATCTAAAACTGATTGATTTTGACAATATTTTTACAAAATATTTAAAACTAACAACACAAAAATTGACAAAACCAAAAAAAAATGAATAATTCCATAGATAATTTTTTTTCTCCCCAATATGTACATTTTTTTCAATTCAACTTGAAGTTTTAGAACACTTTTGCTTTGTAGCCATTTAACATTTTTATTATTGATTTTGATCAAAAAGCTTTAGAAATTCGAATTCACTTTAGAATAAGAAATTTTTTTAATATCATTTTATTTCATTACAATAATAACATAATATATTAAATAGTGAGTTTTCTAAAAAAAAATGTATCTTTCTTCAATTTTACTTCTTCAATTAAAACAACATAGTAATTCTAAAAACTATTACAAAGCTATATAAAGTATACATCTCGCTCACTCCATATGACGAAAGAAAGAGACAGAACATACTTTAAATTCGCATATTACTCTTAAATTAAAGGGTACAGGCAAAGTTACAATAAACTGTATTTAGCCACACGTTAGTTTTGAACATTATTTGTTATCGCTGTCTCACTCACTCATATGGAGATAGACAGAGACAGATCATAATTAATCGAGTATAATAGATTGGCAAATAAGTTATGGGTGCATTAAGACGAGTTTTTAAGAAAAAAAGCTTTATCATATATATTTTTTTAATTACAAAATAGAAAAAAGGGTTTTTATAAGCTTGTACTAAATGACTTAATTTACTCGTGTGAATGCACCTAAATATTAGGAACTCTAGGAAACCATAGAGTAAAATATTTTGATATCGTTAATTATCTATGAGTCCCTCACGATAATAATTTTATAATTAATTAACACTAATGACAATTGGACGTAGTTATGCAAAATGGATTCAGCCAGTCAACGAAAACCGTTTGTTGAGTTACTGTCATAAATAGCACCGACATATCAACTTCTATACAGAAAGTAGATAGAATACCCAATATTTAAGAGGAATTAAAAAAAAACTACGATTTTGTTATTGTAATTGGTATATCGAACCAATTTTACTAAAACTCATATTTTCTCAAAATTATTTTTTTTTTGGTTGGATCTATTTTGCATTTATACGTTTAATTACGAAACATGACAAAAATAATTATTTTTAATTATAATTAGTCGTTTTGGCTTAAAATAAAATATGACCGTTTCAAATGAGACAGATATAATAAAAATTAAATTATAATTGGACACATTCTTCGATTCATTGATTATTTAAATTTACTTAACTCGTTTTTTTGGCTTAATATTTTATATCGATATTATGAATCGATAAAAAAATGACTATACAATATTTTACTAGAGCTCAATTCGATAAAAAATATACATTTCATAGGCTATAAAGAAAAACAAAAGAAAATGAACAAATGACAGATAGTAAAGTGTCACTTTTACTTGTTTATTTTGAACATTATGATCAATATATTTAATATCAATTCCTCTAGAAACTTCGACGTAATAGACAGAGAGAGAGAGCCTTGTGATGTAACTCTAATCGCGTGTACTTTTACAGGCACTAAGTTTTGTCTCAACCAGACCTCATACATACAAACATACATACGTATACATGAGACATACTAAGGTTCTTAAAGCGGAAACCGAACCCGCGACTTCCGACTGAGTAGACATGAGTTTAAAGTTACTTATTTATAAGAATGACATAACCTACTATTTATACCGGTGTATTATCTTTTTTTTCAGTGGGATATTTATTATTTACAAAAAGTTAAATCTTTTTGATGTATGGCTTTTAAAATTGCCAGTTAAATAAACAAATTACTACACAAATGTTACGTAAAATAGGATAAACTTAACAAAAATATTTAGCGACGTACGCATAAGTTTGAAAAAAAATATGTATTATTTAATTTGTATAAATATAAAATATTAAATGTATGACATTACACGACAATGGTATGCCTCTATTCTCTCTCTCCTTCTCTCTCTCTCTTTCTCTCTACCAACCACTTCACTATTAAAAAAATAACTCAAAAAAAATCAAAGCAAACCTAACTCAGTCATATGTAATTTACTCATTTTGTTACAAAAAATATTTGCATTTTAATAGTTAAATCCAGTAACGTAATAAATGTTCATATACAATATAAATATATGTATATATTATCAAGTTAATTTCATTAAAAAAAACTTTAATTAAAACTCTCAGTGTAAAAACGATCCAACTACGAAAAAATATACATACATATATTTATATAAACATACGTACATTTATAATATTATCTACATACAACAATCAAAACACAAATAAAATTAATTCCACCAAAAAATACTACATTTGGCTATATAAAAAGAATTCACAAAGTGACTTATGCCATTTTAAATAAAACTATATTTTCGGATCTTTTCTAGGATTTATTTTGATTTTTTGTTCCCGACGTTTCGAATGCTTTACAGCAATCCAGTGACCATGATTGCTGTAAAGCATTCGTTACGTCGGGAACAAAAAATTAAAATAAATCCGCGTAAAGATAGTTTTATTTAGAATGTCACATATTCGCGTACATCTAAGAATCTATATATCCCTTAAACAAATTACAAATATCGATATTTATGTAATCGAGTCAAATATATAAAAATGTTAAGAACGGTTACTTTAAAGATCTTTCTAGAAGGAATTATCACGTATTTCTACTGAGATGTGAAAAATATTTTTTTGATTATTTTTTTTTTAGAAATTGTAATTACCTGCAAAGTTTCCTAACAAATATCTCCTCAAAAAGTGGCGTTGGATAACATTCAAAACTCGACAGTTCTAATTGTCTAAACAATTCAAACACAAATTCAAACTTACGAACACCACATAAAGTACTTTTTTAAACGAAACAACGTGCGTTTTAATTTTGTCATCCGAATAGCGATGAACAAAAGAGATTTGACAAAGACAAAACTTGAAATATCTCAAAATATATTTTGACGTAGTTGCGGCCATCTTTTTTATGACGTCAAAATTATACTTACCCTGGTGCCTAGTATACTCTAAAGTGTAGATTCTTAGTACATTTTAACTCTTGACGGCTGTCCGGTGTGAGGAGATAGGGGAGCTCTGGGACGACTCGAGGCACAGCTCGGAGGCTTGCTCCGCTAAATCTGTCGTTATCTGTGAGGGAAAAACATAATTTATGTTAGTATGGAATAGATAGACTATATTTTACATATATATGTAGATATGATGAGTTGTTGTGGATTGTATTATAACGTGTTTTCCCGTGGGAATGAGATAATCTCCCGCAATAAAAAGTAACTTATGTCAGTCTCCAATCCTCCAACCAGATCTACACAAAAATTTACGCTAATTTGTCACTCTGATTTTTTCGACAGAACAATCTCTCGACCCGGGAATCGTACCCAGAACTTCGTATTTCTACAATAAATCTGCAACATGATATGGTCTGGTTGACTGACGGGGGTTGTTGGTGGAGGGGAGGAAGTTTGAAGGTAGAGAAAAGGAGGATAAAAACGCTATTGAGTGAAGAACCTTCTTTCTAAATATAGATCGGTGGCGCCGTTATGTAAGGAGAGGTCCTCGCCCCCCTCTCTCCCAACGCCCGGCCCGCCTCTGTGGGCGGCGTGCCATATGGTTGTTTGTCGTCGGGGCGTCGTAGTCGAGCGCGTTAGCAATCCTGCGACGTCCCATTAAGACGGGGAAGGTTTTGTTGGGTTTTAGTGGGTAGTTCTGGCTTGGCCGGTGAGTTCCACACCTCGTGCCTAAATGCATTTGCCAACATAATACTTTCTTAGATTTACGCGAATGTTTGACATTATTAAATAAAACTATCTTTTCGGATTATTTCGCGGATTTATTTTGATTTTTGGTTCCCGACGTTTCGAATGCTTTACAGCATCCATGGTCACGGGAGAGACTGAGGTGTTACATGTCTTAAAGATATAGTTGTTACAGACAGCCTACCCACAATCAACAAAATGAAAATTGCACCATCGCGGCGATTTTGTCGAATCACTGTCCGTAACAACTTAAAACTTGCCTGGTTTACGATCTTAGCGCTTCCTCGTATGTTCTTTTTGGAAGATATTTTTACACACGTAGGAATGAGACGATGATCACGACATCTCTTCAAGAAAGTTAACGATGTTAATAATCTTGCGCGCTTTGTCTTTAGATCTTCTAACCGGCGTATCTTGTTTGCGGTTTCCAGTCCGTACTGGTTCACATAATACTTTCTTAGATTTACGCGAATGTTTGACATTATTAAATAAAACTATCTTTTCGGATTATTTCGCGGATTTATTTTGATTTTTGGTTCCCGACGTTTCGAATGCTTTACAGCATCCATGGTCACGGGAGAGACTGAGGTGTTACATGTCTTAAAGCTGTCTATAACAACTCGGGAACCAAAAATCAAAATAAATCCGCGAAATAATCCGAAAAGATAGTTTTATTTAATAATGCATTTGCCAACGTTAAAAAAAAGGTAAGAGGAGGATGGGGAGCGTGTGTGTACCTTGTCCTGCGCGCGCGCGGCGCAGTCGGGCGGCAGGCGCAGCGCGCGCAGCAGCGCGGCCAGGTGCGGCGGCGGCTCGCCGCCCGCCAGCGCCAGCTGCAGCAGCCGCGCGCCCATCTCCGCGCGCGCCGCCGCCACGCGCGCCGACACCGGCGACCTGCGGATTTACCGGACTCGTATATCCTTTATTTCACATTAAAAAAAACGTACGAATAAAGTTATACTTCTTTGGTCTAACAGAACAAAAATAGCTAAAAATTTCATCCCGTATGTCACAACTCTCTGTATTGTAAAAGGGGTGCAGCTAACTTCATCATGTCGCTTTTTGAATGTCGGTGTGCGCGCGCATCATGAAACTCATATTTTTTTCCAAACGTGCCAAAAAAATATAACTTCAAAAACAAAAATTACAAATATTAAGAGAAAATTGGAGGCAGAAATGGACTTATCTCTAAAAGAAATCTCTTCCAGTCAACCTAGAAGAGTGAGAAAGATTGTCGTTAACAGAGCAAAAAAGTGCAAGGTAATATGGAAATAAAGTTGAAAAAAAATCACACTACATATAAAAGTAACATCTACATAATATAGTATATTGAATATGTTAGCAGTATGTTAAAGCAGTGGTAGCCCAGTGGTGACGCGCTCGCTTGGGAGACCGAGTGAGAGCGGGTTCAAATCCTGGGTCTCGCACTTCTGATATTTTCATGTGCAAATCATTTCTGACATGATTACCACTTGCCTTACGGTGAAGGAGAACATCGTGAGGAAACCTACATGTCTGAGAGAACCTAGCGAGTTGTCTGCAGCATGCTCAGTCCGCCCGCACTTGGCTGGCGTGGGGGACGGTGGCCTAGCCCCCCTCGTATTAAAGGGAGGCCCGCGCCCAGCAGTGTGTGCGTGCGTGTGTATGTTTGTGTGAGAGGGAGAGAGGGAGAGAGAGAGAGAGAGAGAGAGTGGGAGAGCGTGCACTCACGTGGCGGTGAGCCCCCGCAGCGCGCGGCAGGCGGCGGCCAGCGCGGGGCGCAGCGCCTCCAGCCGCGCCGCCAGCGCGGGCGCGCCGCGCGGCGCCGCCACCACCAGCCCGCGGATCTGTTACACGTCACACCGATATATTATTATACAGATAAATAAAATTGAAGTGTCTGTGTGTAATTTCGAAGTCGAAATAACTACTAAATTCATATGAGCAATTTTTAATATTTTTTTGTCTGTTTTGGCTAATCACCAAAATATCGGCAGCGATTTTGACGGGACTTTCACTGGTAGATAGCTGGTGTTACAAGGCACAACTTAAGCTACTTTTATGTTAGAAAAAAAATTGAGAGTTCCACGCAAAAAAATATTAAAACCCATGAAATTATAAACAAAATCAAGAAGACAAAAAAGGTAACTCTGTCTGTCTGTTACGTTTTCACACCTAAACTACTAAACCAATTTTGATGAATTTCGATATACAGACAGATGGAACCTTGAAGAACGACATAGGTTAGTTTTTATCATAAAAAAATTCTAGGGGATAGAACATGTGTGTTTCGTAGTGTACCTCGTCGCAGACGTGCAGGTAGTGGTAGAGCGCCTGCCCGCCGCGCTCCCAGCCGTCCACGCGCTGGCGCGCCGCCGCCGCGCTCAGCGCCTCCAGCGTGTGCTTGATGCTCTGCATGTTGTCTGCGGAACAGAGACATTGACAATAAAATAAAATATATAAAAATAAAAAAAAAATGAAAAAAATCGAAGAAATAGCTAACTAATAACTCGTTGTAATTTTTTTTGAGTCAAATTTATATTTTAGTTTTTTTTATAGAGGATTTATTTTTAATTTCATTTCCAAATATATATAAAATTATTAACTAACCCATATCTATCTGTATAAATAAAAATGAATGTTCGTATGTTTGTCCTATATGCATTCGTAAACCATTGACCGATTGTGACAAAACTCTGGTGGTCATTTTATATACCCCTGCGAAAATTTTTGATCCAAAAAATATTTGGACGTTTGTCTTATATGCGTTCCTAAACCATTCAAGCTTATGGACGTTTCGGATTTTTTCGGGGGTTTATTTTGATTTTTGGTTCCCGACGTTTCGAATGCTTTACAGGAATCATGGCCACGGGAGAGACTGAGATTTTAGATGCAAGGTCATTATATAATTGTTACGGACATCACAGTCTCGAAAAAGTATGAATAGGTAGTTTTATTTTAAATGAATTCAGCACTAAAGTCTCACCAGACAACACCGCTTCAGGCAACAGCTCGTCCAATAGAACCTTATGTGCTTCATTCCATTGTTCTGCGCCAACCAAATATTCCACTTCTAGCGCTGGCTTGTGCTGGAATAGATAAAAGAAGCATTTTTACTAAAAAAGTTATAACATTATTTGACATTTCATATAAATGTTTTTTTTAATTAATTTAGATTTGATTGGAAAAGGTTAACGAGTGTTATTTAAAACGTCAAATATGTGAGTATTTCTAAGAAAGTATTATGGGTAATGTTGTTTAGAGAAATTAATAAGATTTCAAATTAATTTCAGAGAATAGAATCTAGTGTCTTGATACACGCCGTTAGTTTACTTTAAAAATAAAAAAAGTGTGTGTGTACTTCTGTACGCACGTAAGAAGTTATACTTCTTTGGCGAAACAAAACAGAAATAACTAAAGATTTCATCCCGTACGTCACAACTCTGTTTGTAAAAGGAATGCAGCTAACTTCATCATGTCGCTTTTCGGCTGGCGATGTGCGCGCGCATCGTAAAAATTTTACACTCATAATTTTCTCCAAACGTGCCAAAAGAAATTCTAACTTCATAAAAAAACAAAACGTGAAGCACCCACCTCGTACTTGGCCCTGTGCGCCTGCGCAGCCAGCAGCCACGCCTCGGGCACGCGCAGGCGCCGCGCCAGCGCCAGGCGCCGCTGCGCGCCCGGCGACTGCGCGCGCGCCGGCGCGTGCCGCGACACCACCTCGCGCATCAGGTGCCCGCGGCTGTGTTGGAAATAGTAGTTTTAATTTATTTCAATAGATGGCGCTGTTTTGAGTTATTAGATTTTTGTGTAAAACTAATAACGGTATTATAATTAGGAAATACCTTAAACAAAAAATGATTATGATTTATAATCAAAATTATATCAGAAAAATATTTGCCGTCGGGGCGTCGTAGTTGAATGCGTAAGTGATTCTGCGATGCCCCATTAAGACGGGGGAAGGTTTTGTTGGGTTTTAGTGGGTAGTAATGGCTTGCCGGTGAGTCCCACATAACCACCTATGCAGTATACATGCAGGTGGTATGGCGTATACTGGACCACAAACAAGCACACTCACACGAGGTCGTCGGGGTGGTAGGCGAGCACCTGCAGCGCCAGGTGCCAGTCGCCGCGCGCGCACAGCTGCTCCGCCGCGCCCGTGATGCTGGCCGGCGACGGCGCGCCCAGCCAGCATCCCAGCATGAAGCTGTGGAGAAGAAGATACACATCAGTTAGACCAAGATCTTATATAAAAGTATCTCTTATTTAAAAAAAAATAAAAAACAACTTCCAGACACTAAAATGTAAAAAATTACTAAACGGAGGTCATCATTTAGAATAGATACCTAATCAGATATTTTCGAAATCGGTGCCAGCCGATGCAAAACAAATCTAATATATTTCGATACGTAAAATACATATTACCTATTAGATATTCATATCTTAAAATATTGTCGGCTGGCAACGACAAAAAAGATTCCGACGAATTGAGAACCTCCTCCTTTTTGGAAGTCGGTTAAAAAGGAATAATATAAAAAATAACTGCACTTGTTTGAGGACGTACTTTTCAAAATATGACTATGGCTGTCCGAGTGTTTTTTTTTCGAAATTGGGAAACTTTGTTATAGTTAGGAAATTGTTAATGATTGTAGCTGTAGACTGTAGCTTAAGAAAGCATGATTGTAGCTGTAGACTGTAGCTTAAAAAAGCATGTTGAGGAAATTTGAGCTACGTTTGAGAATCGTCAAAAAATAGTCACGGGCATTGAAAAAGATAAAAGTTTAAAATTTCAAAAACTCGTGTAATTCTAGCAGTGTTGAGCGTGTTAAGCGTGCTGGATATTCACCTGAGAGCGTGATCGAAGGGGTCCGGCGTGTAGCAAGCGGGCGAGAGCCGCGGGCGGGCGTGGAAGGCCCGAGCCCGTAGCAGCTCGTAGCGGAGGTCCAGCACACGACGGTACTTGCCGTTCTGGAATGATCGATTAATGTTTAAAACAAACAACTAGAAACAAAACCACAGAAAATTGGAAAATTCAACAATAACTGACAATACTTTTCCTATAACATTTCCACATAAACTAAAAGATCATCAACAAATTAAATTATTAATTTAAATAAATTTCTATTTAGACCTATCATCTAACCAATCAGTTACTACCAATTTTTTTAGTAAAAACCATAAACCCTCTAAATTGGGGTTAGTTAAGTAAGCTAGCTAACTTAACCTAACCCCATAAAAACACTAACCATGGTCCAACTATACTCTTCAAGGTAGGGTGGCGTCGGGAACTGCATGCCCATCTCATCATCAGGGAGCGTCGTCAGATCCACCTCCTCATCCGAGGAGCTGAAGTAGCTTTCGTACGTTCTTATTATTTGCTCCAGCGTGGGGATTTGTGGTGTTGTGTACCTAAAATTAATGATTTTTAATTAAAAACCTTCCATCAAAAAAGTACTGAATACACAATCCCATGCAAAAGTTCTCTTAAAACTGTCACCAAATGTGTTTAGGTAATTATTCTGGTTGATATTAAAATACAACAATGTAAATTGAACCTTAAATGCTTAAAGTTGTTTTCACAAAAAAAAAATGAAAGCGAGCTCAAATGTTCAAATGAGCGCTCATTCAGTAAGGATATTTTTTTGTAGCTGATTGTGTATCTGGTACTTTTTTGATCGATGCTAAAAACTTATGCTTTTTTTTTTAATGCTCGAGGATTACCAGAAGATATCTTTTGGAGATAACGAGAATAAATAAAAAAAAAACATGCATATAATCTATCCTATTATAAGCACTAATCTAGTCACAGCATCTAGACTCTGTAGTCATTGTACGTTTGGGGCTTTTCCCGCAAGACTTCGGTGCATTATAAGCCCCATTATGCGCCCTATTATAAACCTTGTTATAAGCCCTATTATGAACCCTATTGCGAATCCTACTATGAACCCTATAACAAACCCTATTAAGAGCCCTATTATGAACCCTATTATAAAAACTATTATAAGCACTCACCTAGCCACAGCGTGTAGAGTCTGTAGCCAATGTGCGTTCGGGGCTTTGCCCGCAGTAGACAGGAGGTTTAGAGCTCCGATGCGATTTTCCGCCATGAGCGACAGGGCTCCACATTCCCGCCACGTGTTCATTTGCCGGTATATCAGGGATTTAAAGGCTGGATCACCTATAAATATATGTTAGTATTATAAATGGGAGAGTTTGTGTATAAATAAATAATAAATAAATATGTTGGTACATTAACACACAGCACCATCTAGTTTCATGGTAAGCTAAGAAGCTTTACATACATATATAACTTTAAATACATACATATTATAAATATAAACACCCTGACTGGAGTACAAACATTCGTGCTCAACACACAAATGAAAGCCCCCAGCGGGACTCGAACCCGCAACTACTGACACAACAAGCAGGATCACTACAAACTGAGCCAAATGTGTCGTCAAGTCTGTTATTGCTTGACGTCGGAACAACTGGCCGGATTGCGATGAAATTTAATACATAGCAAAAGCAAACGAAAACAAAAATATCTCTCTCTCTCTCTCCCCCATCTCACTCCCCTCCCTCACTCCCACTCCCCCGTTCTCCTCACCAGCACACTGCGCGAGGAGCGCCGCCATGTTGAGATCCCCGCTGTCCCGGCACAGCTTGCAAGCCTCCACAACCCTCCCACCGAGCAAAAGTGTGAGCACTCGAGCGCTGTGGAAGTCTTTCTCTGGAACAGAAGAAGATATTTGTCAAGTAACATCTATACATATAATAAAATTCTGAGTCGAATCTGGACATTAAATATTTTTTGAAAGAACTTATTGAAATAGTCATTATTATCAATAGAGACCGAATCTATAGTTTTTAGAATTTTTGTCTGTCTGTCTGTTACCACATCACAGAAAAAACACTGGAGGGATTTTGATGAAATTTGATATGGTGATAGCTGGTTATCCGGGTCAACATGTAGGATACTTTTTACCGCGGGAAAATATCTCATTTCTGAGAAAAAATACAAAAACTGCAATGTAAGAGTATACTAATACGTAAAACCTAAGAATTTGGTTTTTGGTCATCTGAACGCGGGCGGAGCCGCGGGCAATGCTAGTCTATACATATAATAAAAGTGTAACTGATCGCTGTCTCATAGAAGATATTTGAGAAAAACTATTATTAGCGGGTCTTTATTAACGCAATAGAACCCAAAACAATGATTTTTAGATTTTTTTTAAGTAAATAAATATGCTTATATATAAACTAAACACCTACCGTCTTCTTTCTCAGCTTCACGCGGCTCTGCGAGCTTCTTATCTGTTATTTGCGACACCGCGTCTTTGAACCACTCCAATAGACGATTGTGTCTGTTCACAATTGACTGTTCGTCCGTCCCTGGCACACCTGCAGAACAAAACATATATTGTATACAGCCCCTTTTTAACGTCCCACTGCTGGGGATGGGCCTCCCTGCAACACTCGGGGGACTGAGCATGTCTTTTGACTTGCTATGACTCAGAATGCAGGTTTCCTCACGATATTCTCATTCACCGTAAGACAAGTGGTGATCATGTTAGAAATAATTCGCACATGAGAATATCACAGGTACGAGACTCGAGATTTGAACCTGCTTCACTCGATTTCCCCAGCGAACGGGTCACCAATGGGCTATCACTGACAATATGTTTTATTTCTATATATATACATACTAATATTATAAAAATGAAAATAAGTTGTCTTAGTGTCTGTTTGTAAAAACAATGTATCTTCATCAATCAATAAAAACACGTATAAGATCAATATCAGAATGCACATTGCATTTTTCTTTACTAACATTATTTTGTATATATTTTGGTATCATCCATCTAAACCAACACAAACACAAAAACTTAAACCAAAACATACGATTCCAACTATTGACAATTGGGTATACGCGTGTGATTTAAATAAAGGTGAAATATTATTTTTTTATGATCTTTATTGCGTTTAAAGTATTCGTATCGCTATAATGTTTTTAAAGATTTTTTTAACATCAAATTTTTATTTTTCGGTGCTGGATATTTTTTTTCAATTATTTCCTATTATATCAACCAATTCTATCTATCGATGGCAACACTCACCGTCATTATCGAGGTCGGCTCCCCACAGAGCGTCGCACAGCTTCCACACTTGCAGACAATATTCACCGGACACACCAAACTGTAGATAATGATTATATACATATAATAAAATTCTGAGTCAAATCTGTACATTAAATATTTTTTTGAAAATCTTATTGAAATAGTCATAATTATCGGTACAGAGGCCGGATCTATAGTTTTTAAAATTTGGTTGTGACCAGACCAAACCACTGGAGGGATTTTGATGAAATTTAGTATAATGATAGGTTGTTTTCCAGATCAACATATAGGATACTTTTTACTGCGAGAAAATATCTTTTCTCTGAGTTAAACGTTAAAACGTAACTGGGGACGATCCCGAGCGAGTCGCTAGTACCGTGTATAATTCCATATGCATTCAGTAAAAGCTGTTATTTTGACATTACATACTGTGAGACAATTATTTGTTACAAGCAACATTTTGAAATATTAAACAAAAACCTACACTAGTGTCACCCCCGGCGTCGCGCGCGTCGTCCAGCAGCCGGCGCAGCAGCGCGCGGCGCTCGCCCGGCGACTGTCGCACGACAAGTCTGTCGCACGCGCCTTGCGTCTGCACCGCCGTGGAAAACTCCAGAAGGCTCTCGAGCTGACGCGATAGAATGTTCTGGAAGGAATTAATTTTTTTAATACTTACTTTTTGAAGACACTTTTGTGACAGCAATAGGGAATATCCGTGTGATTTAAAGTAAAATATTTGTTTTCTTTATTGCTTTTGAATTAAGGCTAAATTATTATCCAAAATATTCGAAAAACTTTTAAATACTAGACTCGTTAAGTATTTAAATAAACATAATATCATTGCGGCTAACCAATATGGCTTTAGGAGTGGTAAATCTACAGAAGATGCTGTTTTGGACTTAACAAATTCTATAGTAAAAAATTTCACTAAGAAAGAAAAAACTATTGGTATATTTTTGGATCTAACAAAAGCATTTGACACTGTTTCCATTCCTAACCTTCTTCAAAAATTACACCAGGTGGGTGTACGAGGAGTTGCAAATGATATTTTTAAGAGCTACCTCGAAAATCGTTCACAATGCGTTGTTATCGAAGGTGTTATGAGTGCAGAGGAAAATATAGATTTTGGAGTACCTCAAGGCAGTGTCCTTGGGCCAACTCTTTTTCTCATTTATGTAAATGAATTGTCCAAACTGAATTTACAAAATTGTAAAATAATCTCATATGCCGATGATACAATTCTTCTTGTTAACGGGAAAAATTGGGCTGAAGTTACAATATACGCTGAATCTGCATTATCTGCTGTCAATAAATGGTTACGCAAAAATAGTTTAACTTTAAATTTAGTTAAAACGAGTTAATAACCTTTGCTCCTAGCAGTATTTCTCTTCCGTCTCCCCCCGTTAAAATTTTTATTCATAATCCAAGTTGCACTAGAGATATCGCTTGTAATTGCAGAAGTATTAATAATACCAATCAAACCAAGTATTTAGGCATATACATTGATAGCACCCTTTCATGGCACGAACACATTAAAGTTACCTGCAATAGACTTCGGAAACTAATATTTGTCTCTAAAAGACTTAGAAACATTGTTGACTTGTCAACACTTAAGAACGTGTATTATGCCCTCGTACAATCGATCTTATCATATTGCATCACTGCCTGGGGAGGCACTGATAAAAGTAAATTATTGCGTTTAGAAAGGGCTCAAAGATCTATACTCAAAGCAATGAACTTTAAACCTATATATTTCCCAACTGTCGAACTGTATAAAATTTCTAAAGTACTTTCTGTTAGAAAATTGTTTTTACTCCAAACCATACTACGTAAGCACTCACAAACCCCTTTTGATTACCACATGATCTCTAATAAACACAGATCAGATTTAGTTTGCAAAACAATTCGTATTACATCGGCTTTGGCTAAACAGCATTATGATTTCTTTTCCCCAAATTTATATAACAAAATAAAGTTCTTAGTATATATCCCCAAACCTTACATGTATGCAAAAATATAATTACAGCTTACTAAAATAGGTACATTTTATATGGCTGACACACATGCACACACACCACACAACACACACACCACACACACTCATACACACACACACACACACGCACATACCGTCAATCTACTTATACTATACATCATATCATAACTAATATCTTAAATTAATTTGACTTTTAAATCTTATATTGGAACATAATGTGTATTTTTTTTTAATCTGGAGGTGGGCGGTAATGACTACGACACAGTTTTAACTAATGTAGTCATTATCGAACATAATTTTGTAAATTGTAATCTTTAAAACGTGTCCAAAAAAGATTTTATTTTTTATTTTATTTTTATTAATATTTTTTAATGTTATTTATTATATATTAACACCTCCAGGTAAATTTCTAAGAAATTAATTAAATTTCTAAGAAATCTATTGTTAACTGTAACGCCGGCGTGTCCGCGCACGTAGAGGGATTAAGAAAATAATTATTAAAAAGTGCAAATATAGGTGGGGAATTCAAAGTAGTAGAAACGCACGCCATCGGTCCGTCCGAGTGTGACGTCAGAGTATATCACAACAGAGCGGTGTCTGTGTGTACATCACCCTGTGACGTCACGCCGAGCGCAAGGAATGGAGAGCGTTTAAAGTACGTGTATCGGTATATTTTTAATATTTTTTATACTAAATTTTAGTTTTTTTATGAGCTGAATATTTTTTCACAATCATATAACGATGTAAGCTATTGTATAAAAAAAAATTACAAATATTCCATATTGTGCATCTTGAGTTTTTGTATATCAACGACCTACACCATCTGTTTTCGGGCAGATAAATTTTGTTCAGTCAATATATGAATGTATATATAAATTAATTTTAACAATGTACCTGAGTGCTATCCCCCGTACGACCTATACACATACGGGTTACCACAGACTCGCTCCAGTCGTCCTCCGAGCGGCCTCGCACGTAATGCCCCAACTCACTCAGATTTGCAGCTGGAAAGGAGAATATAATAATAAGGATAATGTTATTAAATAAAACGTCTGTAACAACTATATAATGACGTTTTACGTCTAAAACTTTAGTTTATCCAGTGACCATGTGCACTGTAAAGCATTCGAAACGTATGGTACCAAAAATCAAAATAAATTCACTAAAAAAACCGAAAACATTCGAAATTATTTTAAATCTATGAATGTATTAAAACTAATGGTATAAATACAAAAACAAATTCAAATAAAATGGGTCAAGCGCGAGTGTGACCTTTTGTGATGTTGCTACAAATTTACTGTTTTCGATTTTTTTTCTTTACTTGTGCTATAAATTGCTTTAAAAAACATTGCTTATTGCCAAATTTCATGATTCTACGTAAACGGGAAGTACCCCATAGGTTTTTATTCCCTCGCGAGTGTCAACATATACGGCATAAACGGCCGTATATTTTGATTGCGTTGACTCAGAAGTTCGATTTTTTTACAACTTCTAGGGATTGTAGACCTGAGTATTTAATATTAATTTCAACTTAATACCTTCATCAAATTAAAATCATTGACACACATTTCTTATCATTCATGCCAAGGGTGAGAGGCGACTAAACTCACGATTAGCCATATCACTGATACAGATTATTTATAATTCATGCCAAGCGTATACATTTTTCAATCTACTTGTTACTTGTCTTGCCTGTGAATTTTCGATGTACCTATTGAAGTGTTAAGTTTTAGCTAATGTGATTACTCATGTAATTGAATAGTAATATTCTTTTGAGAAATAAATGATCTTAAACCTGAAGCGTGAGGTAACTAAGCTCACTGTTAGCCAAACATACTATTAATCATTTATGCCAAGCGTAAGAGGTAACAAAACTAACAGCCAAAACATTGATACACAGACTCATTATCCAATTCTGTCATGCCAAGTGTGAGAGACAACTTACTCTTAGGCAAATCATTGACACAGTTGTACGTGGACACGAACACGAGCGCGCCGCCCGGGCCGAAGCCGGCGCGCGAGTGCCGCGCGCGGCTCACGCTCATGTCCGCCAGGCACGCTGCGTTTAGGCGACCTGCGGGATACATTTATTTATTTTTATTAGGATAACCAACAAAAGTTACATTCATTCATTTGTTATTACATTTAAAAAGTTAGAGCTAAATACATTTTTTTTACAAGTTATCTACCACATCATGCAATAAAACAATATAAACAAAACGTCATTATTAAAAAAATATTAACAATACTTTTAACATATAAAAGTCAAACTAATAAAAGTTATTTACAATTCAATGAAGTAAAAAATATTAATAACGTAATAAAAATAGGAGATTGTAATTTAATTCATAATACATATCTTTGTTTAATAAGAATAATAATAAAAGTGTAATTACTAATAAATACGTACATATGAGACATATCAGCAGTATAATTCACTAAAAAAGTTATATATTTTACTCATAAATTCAGATCGAGAGTTATTATTTATATTATATATTCGTTATTATACTAAAACATTCAAAACAGATTAACCGGAACAAACAGACAAACATGCAGTAAAAAAAATTAAAAGTGTTTTTTATTGGATTACAGCTATATTTCAATATAATTGAGTAAGAATTTTTATATTATGATCAAATATTTATTTCAACTATGGAATACAACATTACTTTTTCAATGATGACATTAAAGAGAGTACAAGCGCCACGCACAACCAAAAAACGACGGTTGTTCGTTTGTTTATAAAGACACTTAAATCTATTTATTAAGGGCTTGTATAATAATAATTTTTTTGATTTTAGTAAAAAGCTGTTATTTTGACATTACACATAGACAATTCAATTTTATTTATCTGTATGTACGTATAGAGTAATATAGCTTATCTCTATATAAATTAAATCCCCTTAATATTAAAAATGGGAAAGTTTGGATGGATGGATGTTTGTTACTCTTTCACGCCAGAACGGCTGAACGGATCTGGATGAAATTTAGCACAGAGATAGATTATAGTATGGAATAACACATAGGTTACTGTTTATAACGGAAAAACTTTATTATTGTATTTATATTGTATTTATTTTTATTGTCGTATTTATATTGTATTTATTTTTCACTAGACGAATATTTAATAAAAAGACTCACCTGCTATGGTTTGTTTGAACGGCGGCACTTTCTTATGAAACTGCAGTACGATGGTGTGCGGCTGGATGTATAGCGGGCGCATTATTGCTTCTGCAAAAAAACTTATTTCGTCTTAAAACTTTCACATATAACGCCATCTAAGGTAAAATAATAATCAATAAAAATTCATTAAATTCACAAAATTAAATAAAAGAACATTCTGTACACAAGTGCTTAAAAAATAAAAAAAATAAACTTCAAATTAAATCAAAGCCATCAATTTATTACATTCCACAATATAATGATATAAAAGCTCGTCGCGAGATTGATGGGAGTGCATAAAAAAACATAGTCCGCTATGTTTGGGAGTCCGCGATATTGGATTTAGAATGACGCCATTTATCTAACCAGCTCAGCAAAACTTCAGCTCAAATCAAAATCAAATTTCAAATTCAGTTGCAAGGTTTGACCCGAACAAACATATATACAAACATTGCAAGTTAAATAAAAGTTTGCACCATTGACCAAAAAAATACTGGACACACACAATCAACGACAAAAAAATCTCCTCACCGAATGCGCGCTCTTAATATTTTATTATGAAAAGAACTTTAAGCATTACATTTAAGGTTCAATTTACATTGTTGTATATTTATTTCAACTAGAACAATTACCTAAACACAATCGGTGACAGTTTTGAGAGAACTTTTGCATGGGATTGTGTATCTAGTACTTTTTTGATCGATGGCTTGTACATATAAAACACCATCACAATCACCTTCAGTCAGCATCACGGGCACCATCTCGAGGTCCTCCCGCCCCGCGGGCGCAGCCTCCGGCGGCAGGGGGGCTGCGACACTCGCGTGGGGCACGAGCTGATCTCCCGTCGATACTGATATGTCGTCATCCATTTCTGTTTATTTTATTAATTACATATTGATAACATATATTATTATTTTGTTTTTATCGGTGGACCTTTTATTTATATACACTATTTTTTTTTTATTATTAAGTGCGTCTACAAACACCACAGATTTATGTCTATGGCTTATTTTTTTAATTTATAAAATCAATATATTCTAAATAACCTCGCATTGAAATTTGAGAATTAAGAAGTATATTGGTTAGATAAGCTGTCATGGCTACCATTTGAAGTTTTAAGCATGGACAAAAGTCAGTGGTGTTTATGTACTAAAGCCAAAAAAATACCAAATCCCGCGGCATACCCACCGGTGTCGTTGTAGAGGGACGCCTTCATCACCTGCACGTGGTGGCTCTGGCGGTGCTCGAGGCGCGCCAGCTCGCTTGTCGGACTTTTCACGCCGAATGCTGAAAGCGAACAATTATATTATGTACTTTATAAATACAAATCCTATTATGATATTATAAATACGAAAATTTGTGAGTATGGATGTATGGATGTTTATTACTCTTTCACGCCAGAACGGCTGAACGGTTCTGGATGAAATTTGGCACAGGATAGATTATAATAGTCTGGAAAATAGCATTATAAATGAGAATGTTTGTGAGGATGTATGGATGTATGTTGCTCTTTCACGCAAAAACTGCTGAATAGATTTTAATGAAACTTCACAATAATATAGCCCATACATCAGAATAACACATAGGTTACTTTTATCCCAGAAAAATGTACGGTTCCCGTGGGATAGATTTGTTGTGTTTTTCTAGAATCGAACCCCAGCGAAGTGAGGGTGAGCCGCTATTGATCACATAATTATGTTAAAATCGACTTTCACCATTTAATTACATGGTTACAAATGAATATCTATTACAATTGCTAAAGAAAAAGCAGTGTCAGATTATCCTAAATTACCAAATTTTTTAGACCATTTTTCGAATTAATACAAACATCAAAAAATATAGCGAAATCAATCGTTCAACACACAACAAACAAACCGTCCTAAAGTTTCACTTTTATATAAGTAAATTAACTAGCGACTCGCCCTCGCTTCGCTCGACTTCATCACTAGGTATGTTTTAACGGTTAATATGGAATAGATAGATTATATATTATATGACTGCCCCGCTCCCTTGGTTAGTAGCATGATGATATATAGCCTATAGTCTTCCTTAATAAACGGGCTATATAATGCAAAAAGAAGTTTTCAAATCGGATTAGTAGACCTGAGATTGGCGCGTTCAAAGAAATAAACTCTGCCTCTTTGTAATATTAGTATAGATTATCAGAAAAACAAAGGCAGTGGTAGCCCAGTGGTAACGCGCTCGCTTGGGAAACCGAGTAATGCGGGTTCAAATCCCGGGTCTCGCACCTCTGATATTTTCATGTACGAATCATTTCTAGCATGATTACCACTTGCCTTACGGTGAAGGAAAACATCGTGAAGAAACCTGCATGTCCGAGGGATCTTAGCAAGTTTTCGAAAGATATGTGAAGTCCGCCAACCCGCACTTGGCCAGCGTGGTGGACTATGGCTTGATCTCTTTCGTATTGAAGGGAGGCCCGTGCCTAGCAGTGGGACGTTAAAAAGGGCTGAATACATCAGAAAAATGAATCTAATACAAATATATTTACCTCTATGTTCTTGATATAAGCTCGGCGCGTCCGCGTTGTCGTCTGTCGTGTCCATATCGAATACTAAAAGAAGAAAAAAACAATTATTTTAAACAAAACAAAAAACGGTCAAGTGCGAGTTGGATTCGCACACGAAGGCGATAGCGACCTGTGTGTGACGTCACTCACTATTTTATTAAAGTCAAAGCAACTAAAAATATAATTTTACAGTTATTTGAAAATGTATCAGGTTTTCAGGGCTTAAATAAGGTTTTTTTTTAAAGAAGTTATGCCTTTGGATTATTGGTTAATGATGTCAACTAATCCAAGTAAAAATGAGTTAAAATCCACTTCTAAGAATCCAACATAATAATTTAAAAACAAAACTAATAATAATAGCGCGTGTCAACAAAATATGCCTGTAGTCGAACTATGAAAATACACTAGAATGTTTACCATGTCCTAGTGGAATGTGTCCGAAATGAGGTCGAAAGATTAGAATTATTGAGCAATATAAATTTATTTGAATTAGGTGCATGCAATTGTATTTTAGGTCGTCCTGAATCAAAGGAAGCTAGAGTATTATATAAGATTTATAAAATAGCTGTAAAGCGTCGGTGAGTTTTTTGAAGTTGCTCCAATGAGGGTGGCATGTTCAATTTATGAACAAACCCTCTTTAAAAATAAAATAAAGATTTAAAAAAAAAAAAAAAAAAAAATACACTAGATAAATTTTGATAAAATTTGGTATAATGATAGCTAGTTATCCGGGTCAACATATAGAATACATTTTACTGCGGGAAAAAATCTCATTTCTGAGAAATCTATACTAAACGTTAAAACGTATATATAACATTTTCATTACCTTTAGACCCGCTTAGGAGATTTAATGAGCTTTGTTGCATATTGAACAGCTCTCCGCATGGTGACCCCCCGACACCCCCAAGACCCCCCATACCACCAACGGCCCCCAGACCTCCAAGACCCCCGAGACCCCCCAGCATAGGTCCAGAACCGTTGACTGCGACTCCTGACAAACTCCCAAGAGGGGTTGATGTTGGAGTCGCGATTAGGGGTTTTTGTACTAAAACAAAAAAAAACGATGTAATAAAAAATATATTCCAATCAAACAAAACAGGTAAAATACATCATTAAAGCTTTTTTAAAGTAAAACGTGTATTTAATATTAATAGAATTGACATTTAAAAGTCAATGATTCTGTATTAAAAACTCTTTCGGTAAATTGGTCGTTTGGACAAATAAGCACTGAGACGACGACATAGCCTTTTAACAACACACTATCAACACATGCAAACACTGGTATATATATGTATATAATACTTAGATTTACGCGAATATTTGACATTTTAAATACAAACTTTTTAAAACAAAATAAAAACCGACTTCCAGGCCCTAAAATGTAAAAAATAACTAAACGGGGGTTTTCATTTAGAATAGATACCTTATCATCTATATTTTCGAAGTCGGTGCCAGCCGATGCAAAGCAAATCTAATATATACGTAAAACACATATTTACCTATTAGATATTCATATCTTAAAATATTGTCGGCTGGCACCAACTTTGAAAACATCTGATTAGGTATCTATTCTAAATGAAAACCCCTATTTAGTTATTTTTTAGATTTTAGTGCCTGGAAGTCGGTTTTTTTTAAGTTTTATTTGTCCATTTTTAGTGTAGATGTAATAAGCAGGTAATTTGTTAGAAGAAAGTATTTAATAACATGTTCGATTAAGTAATTTATTTAAAAAAAATATTTATTTGTTGATTTTAAAAAAATAAGCTTGACCGATTTCGATAAAATTTATATAGGACCACCTGGGAAGTTGAACCAAAAAAAAATCCAAATCGGCTCAGGCGTCTTCGAGTAATCGGTGAACATACATAAAAAAAAAGATTCCAACGAAGTGAGAACCTCCCCCTTTTCGAAAGTCGGTTAATATAAGTATATTTACTTATCCCGACGTTTTGAATGCTTTACAGCAATCATGGTCACAGGTTCGAAACGTCAGGAACCAAAATTAAAAATAAATACGCGAAAATATCCAAAACTACAGTTTAATTTAAAATAGTACACATAATTATGTATATATTATAATTATTATTAAATAAAAAAAAAACTTACCCGGTGCAGCCGACTTCTGTATACTTTGGTTGACGATTTGTCTCTTCAGCACGTCTGGCGTGTCATCTTCCTCATCAGAATCGGACAGTCCATATTTACTAAAATGCTCCACCTGTTTGCAAACACATTTACATTGTTAGTCTACACTAATAATACAAAAAGGAAAGATTTATTTTTTTGTTTGTTTATTTCGTTTGTACCGAAACTAGTGAACCGATTTAGATGAAGTTTGGTAAGATGATAGTTTGAGCCCCTGAGAAGGACATAGGATAGTTTTTATCCCGGAAAACATCCCTTAAGGTGGTGAAAATGGGATGAAGGTTTATATGAGGAAGCAACCTAGGGATGAACCCAAGCGAAGTGAGGGTGAGTCGCTAGTAGATATAGATAAATAATATTAAAAATATTTAAGGAATAAAGTAAAAAAAATGTTTTTTCCTTATAAGTACCATATATAATTTCATATGCTATATATAAAAAAGCTGTTATTTTGACATTACACACAGACACTTCAATTTTATTTATCTGTATAGAAGACAGAACACACTGACCCTGAACACCCAGCTACCAGTCAGTGGACGGTACTCGATGAACTTGGTGTCGTATTTGTCGCAGATACGACGCAATTTGCCCTCGTAGTCCATTTTCAATAATCTGGAACATAATATTGTATTGTTACGAAAATTGCTTATTAGGTTTTTTTTAATTTATGTTTTTTATTTAAATATAATTTATTATCTTCTTTGAAATTATTCCAACTAATATCATATATGCAAAATTATTTATGTGCGTCTGTTATTCCTTGACACTAATTATTGTAATTGTGCGTCAGTGTGTATTTAATTATAATTCACCGACATTCAGACCAGATTTCAGGGGGTTAGTAAAATCTCATTAAAACTCACTTTAACTGAGGGGGGCAAAATTGAAAATCTCACGTTAACTTTAAAAGAACATATATTTTATAAAGATAATAAAAAAAATATCTTTTGTTTCCTTTGTAAGTATCCCATTTTGCCCACTGAAAAACAGCTATTATAAAATAAAAATACATTTATTTCGAGAATACCTGAATGTTGTATTACTTTAATATCTTTAGCTTAAATTGCACGTGAAGAGGGTGGGTCTCATAAAATCTCATTAAATCTCACCAAGCGGGGGATGGGGTCGCGGGTTCAAATTATGATAAAAACAGCTCCCACAATCAATGTACGTCCCCTAACTACTCGTAACAAACTCACCTATCAGGCTCGGTGACGGGCCGCCGCTCCGTCTTGTCGCGCGGCCACACGCGCTCCAGCGTGACCACGGCGCGGCGGTTGAGGCCCGCGCCCACCGGCGGCTTGTTCTCGTCGTCCGGGTAGATTATCACCTCTTTGTTCAGGAAGTGGACTGGAAATAAGAATAATAAGTATTGTATACATATATTACTTTGTTATTTAGTAAATGAAAATCCATAGTTTGAACCCCTGGGAAAGACACAGGATAGTTTTTATCCCGCAAACATCCTTTAAGTGGATGAAAAGAGGGGTGGAAGTTTATATGAGGAAAATAATCATTTCAATATCAATATATAATCAGTCACGTGACGTTCACTAAACAATAGGGAATAAGCGTGTGATTTAAATAAAGGTGAAATACATTTTTTTATAATCTTTATTGCGTTTGAATTAAGTATATGTTAATATTTTTAACGTAATTTCTTTTTTCTAATAATTAATTGATTAAGTAAATAATAATTATTAAAAAGTGCAAATATATGTGGAAAATTCGAAGTAGTAGAAACGCACGCCATTGGTCAGACCAAATATGGCGTCAGAGTATATTACAACAGAGCGATGCGATGTTATCGCTACACACTAAAGTCGCCATGTCTGTGAGTACATCGCATGGAAAGCCGAGCGTATCTGTATTGGTGTGATATTTTTTTATACTATTTTTTTTTGTTTTGGAGCTAGATATTTTTTTCTACAAAGATATAAATATATAACGATGTTAGCTATTGATAAAAAATAACAAAAGGACACGCATATTCCATATTGTAATATTTTTATAGTATTGAATTAAGTTTTTATTACACCAACCAATTTACCTCGTGTCTTCTCCATTCTACATGACATTGGCCAAGTAATCTGTGCCCAATTGGCACAGCTTGAAGTCATTAACAAGAGAATTGAATGGGATTTGAATTATTTTCTTTTTATATATTTTTTTAATATATTAATATTCTTTATTTAACTCACCCAAAGCATCTAAGTCCATCCCAGCGACGTCAATCTCGCAGTCAAAGAACACATTGCCGTAGTTCTTGCGCCCGATCGTGAGGTGCGGCACGACGCAGGACCCGTCCGGACGTAGGTAGTCTGAAAATATTGGTATTATAATAGTAAATATAAAATACTATTGCAATAGCGTGTTATAGAACTAAGTATTTTAGGCATTAGTGATTAAAATTAAATTGAATAAAAAAATATATTAAAAGATGTTAATATTTTCGACGAATAAGTAAATAATATAATAAAATATACAATAAGTAAATAGACCGAATGAAGCGGATTCAAATCCCGAGTCTCGCACCTCTGATATTCTCATGTGCGAATCATTTCCAACATGATCTTCACTTGTCTTACGGTGAAGGAGAACATCGTGTGGAAACTTCCACGCCTGAAAGAACCTAGCAAGTTTTTGAAAAACATGCTCAGTCCTTCCGGACTCGGCCGGTGTGGCTATGGCCTGATCCCCCTCGTATAGAAGGGAGGCCCACGCCCACTAGTGAGACATTAAAAAGGGCTGTATATATTCAGTATAAAAGCGTCACAACTCACTGGTGATCTCCTCCAGCGACGGTATGGTGTAGTAGCCGGGGCGCGTGAGCTTGACGCCGGCGGGGTGCGGCGGCGCGCGCGCGCCCGCCGCACTCTCGTCCTCGGACACTGTGGGCGAAGTAATGATTAGCTCCAAATAATAATTATGACTATATATTTTAGAGCCGATCCACACTATAGTGTCGATCATGGTTCAATATCGGTTAGATATCGGTCTGGTAAAGTATTGGTATACAAGAAATAATGAGTACATTCATATTTCACACTATCAGTAAGACTCAAGTTCCGGTCGAATCACGCTCCAGCAACGTTTTTTGTGTAGAAATACTTTACCACAACGATATAGGACCAAGAACGTGAACTGTGATCGGCATTATAGTGTGGTGGGGCCCTTATATAAATACATAAATCGATACTAACATAGCTATTTACTGTAGCTATTTACTGTAACTATATCTAAACAACATTTACATATACTCAATATTACATCAAATAAAATGAAAATATTTATTAACTATCAATATCTTTTGCATAATACCATACTAATAAAATACAGTGTAAAAACGGCTTAACCAAAAATAAAAGTACACATATATATTTTTTTATTTATAAATAAAGATCACAGACAGACATCAATTATCCAACAAATTTACTTAATAAAAAAATATAGACGTAAATTTCATTAAAAAAAAACAGACCTTAAGCTAATATTACTAACAAATGCGGTAGTTAAAATCTCAAAGTTTTGAGTTAGGCCGTTACTCCACTGACCAAGCTAGTGGTACATAATATATATCAATCGACATAAACCATAAACGCCATGTATTTGATGGGCGATCTTCTCGCACTCGCACTTGGAGCAGCCGGGCCGCCCCCAGCGGTGGCAGCAGAAATGTAGGTCTGTGTTACCACCTTTATTTATATATATACATATATAGCAGGGATATTGTAAAGTCATGAAATTATAAATTCACTAAAGATATTATAGTTTAAAATGTCAAAAAATCTGATCAATCAAAACGTTTTTCAAATTTAACGGCGCTTTTTAGTGAAATTGTCAAAATTTTATTGATTCACAACGACTAATGTGCCCAGGGTCTCAAAATATCTTCTTAGCAAATTTCATCTAAATCGGTTTAGTAGATACACACAAAGCAGATACACAAACTTTACCTCTTTATAATATTAGTATAAAATATAAATATAAAAAATAATTTATATAATATTTACCTGACAGAGTGTCTATATTCTCCTTATCTTCCGACAGCCGGTGCGTACGGACGCCTAACTCACGCACTGAGTTCTCTACCGAGTCGGGGTTCGAATCCAGGGGCTTTCGTAGAGGCTTTGTTGTCAACCTGGAAACAATTTCACATACATGTATTCAGCGCGTTTTAACGTCCCACTGGTGGTGGCGGGCCTTCCTTCAATACTCGGGGGACTCCACTGCATTCCGAGCCAGTGGTAGCTACCTAACGGACTGACTACACTGACATTTAATTTTAATTTAAAATGTACAATAGACGATTCAAAAGAGCTTGTAAAAGTCTATTTGAATAAAGTATATTTTGATTGATCAGGCCACAGTCCCCCGAGCTGGCCAAGTGCGGGCGGACTGAGCATGTCTGCAGACAACTCGCTAGGTTCTCTCAGACATGTAGGTTTCCTCACGATGCTCTCCTTCACCGTAAGACAACGTGGTGATCATGTTGGAAATGATTCGCACATGAATATATCAGAGCGAGACCCAGGAATTGAACCAGCAACCTACTTCGCTTAGTTTCCCAAGCTACGATGGCAATATCGCTGGGCTATCACTACCTTTTGCCAATAATAATAATAGAAAAAATAAGTATTTTTTTATAATTTTCATAGTATCTAAGCATTTTCCGGTAATAACGTTGAGCAATTCCCTATCTACACTAATATTTTAAAGAGGTATAGTTTGGAGTTTGTGACGTTGTAGGGGGTAATCTCTGGATTTACTGAACCGATTTAGATGACGTCCGGTCCTCAATAGTCTGAATTTGAATATTTGGTGGACGGTGACTCCCCTCCCACTAGATTATTATTATATTACTAGCAACTCACCCTCGCTTCGCTCGGGTTCGTCCCTATCTTGTTTCCCAATACAAACTTTCATCCCCATTTTAACCCCCTTTAAGGATGATTTCCGGGACGAAAACTATCCTATGTCTTTTCCAGGGTCTTAAACTATCTTGTTACCAAATTTCATCTAAATCGGTTCAGCAGATCCAGAGATTACCCCCTATAACCTCACAAACTCACAAACTATACCTCTTTATAATATTAGTATAGATAAAATAAAAATAACACAGACAGATAATAATAATAACATGGGCCCTACCAACTCGCCCGTCTCCGTCTCTCCGATATCTGCGCTGATAATTCTGTGTCTGAAACAATAAACAACACATGTATTACTTATTATTAGTACTAGTATGTAATATTTAAATGAATATTTTTAACCGAATTTAAAAAAAGGAGGAAGTCCTCAATATGACTAAATATTTTTTTTTCTTTTTTATATGTTATACTTACTAAGCGTCTAAGTCTATAATATCCTTTTACTCACTTTTTCTACATGTACATATGTATTTTTATATGAATAGATCTATATATATATATGTCTATTTTTTATAAATATATTTTATTCACAATATCATACAATATACTATCTGTTTGTTCCGGCTAATCTCCGAAACAGCTGGACTGATTTTGACGTGACCTTTACTGGCAGATAGCTGATGTTATAAGGAGTTTTTCAAAATTCAAAATAACTTACTTAGAGCAACTTAGGCTACATTTATTTTAGAAAAAAATATATAGGGTTCTGATCAAAAAAACTAAAACCCATGGAATATAGGGACTGAGCTATTAGTATACAATAAATAACTCACCTAAATCAGGATATAGTCTCGGAGTTGACTCCCCATCCATAGACTTCTCTTTCTCCGACCACGACTGCTTGGAAGAGGTGGGCCTGGAATGATAGCTTTAATGTAGGTAATATATGAATATACATATCTATACATATAATAAAATTATAACTAAGCCGACTGTACATTGATTATTTTTTGGAAAATCGTATTGAAATAGGCATTATTATCGATACAGAGGTCGAATCTATAGTTTTTAGAATTTTTGTCTGTCTGTCTGTGACCGCATCGTGGAAAAACCACTGGAAGGATATTGATGAAATTTGGTATGATTATAGCTGGTTATCCGGGTTAGCATATAGGATACTTTTTACTGCGGAAAAATATCTCATCTCTGAGTAATCTATAGTAAACATTAAAACGTAAATAGTAATATTAAATCGTAAATCACAACCAATATAGGAAAACTGCGGATATACTTATCCCGGAAAATGAAACATCCCACGGGATAGAAGACATTACTTATCTTTTCAACTTACCAATTGCCATGTCTGTCAGAGTTTGAATCAACATCTGAAAAAAAAAACAAAAGGAAAATTACTTGCAGTCTCTACTTTTTTTTTTAATTATCTTTAGCCATTTTTAACGTCCCACTGCTGGGCGTAGGTCGTCAATTAACATGACGGGGAATCAGGCCATAGTCCACCACGCTGGTCAAGTGCAAGCAGCTAAACACCCATGACTGGAGTACAAACATACGTGCTCATCACACAAACGAATGCCCCCAGCGGGTTTCGAACCCGCAACCGCTGGTACAGCAAGTAGCATCATTAGAAACTGAGCCAAACGTGTCGCAACGCAACATGAGCAATGAGCATAACATGTGACATTATTTTAAGTAAATGATAAACCGAATATGATGATGTTTAAAACACCAAAATGTATATCTTCTTTCCCTTCTGTATTAAAAAAAGTAAAACACAAAATACATAGTCTCGTGGGTAAAGACGGACTTATCTCTAAAAGATCTCTTCCATGAAGCAAACCATAAGTCCATATATGAAAAATGGAAAAATACATACAAAAATAAAGAAAATAAATATACGCGATAAATGCGAGAATACAGAGAAACTATTTATTTTATGTTTTAAATTAAAAAAAAATACACATTTTGTGGTGATACAACGGTGTAAGCTGATTAAATTAAAAAAAACCGACTACGTATACGAGTATGTATATGTTTTGTATGTTTTTCATGACACACAAATTGACAACTCAGATGCGCCATTTTGACTTATAATGATATTTGTATATCCTATGACACTCCTATTTTGTATTATCAAGACGAATATAACTACGTACGAATCATTAAAATCGATTGAGCCGTTTAGTAATTACCCGGGAACATACATACATATATACATACAGGTCAAACACATAACCGTCTTTCGGCCTTCACCGCAGTCGGGTAGAAAATAAATTAAAAAAAGTCTAAAACCAAATTAAAAAAAAGTCCATAAAACAAACAACTTACTATTGACATTGTTGACATCTTTTACTGCTCTATTCTCATCTCTCAAGGACACAAAATCGTTTCTCTCCGTCTGTCTGTCCTCTTGCGTGTTCGTCGCTTCTTGACGTGAATCTTCTAGCGATCTGAAAATAAAAAAAACTTAGTATATATTAATTCCGTTAAATCCCCTGAACAGAGTCATCAATTAAAGCCTTGTGTCTCAGGGAATAAGCGTCACGGGACAAGCAAGTTTATGGGGAAGAAAATGAAAAAAATATTTGGAAATATAGGAAATATTGAACAAACGATTTTGTTTCAACATAAGAATAAGAAACAAATTAATTTGGACAGGATAGGAATTTTGCTACACATCTGTCTGATTAGTTAGTATCAATATCATAAAAAAAATATGTCATTGTTAAAGGTAAAAATAAAGTATTTGTGTGTGTGTATGTTTGTTCTTACTTCACATTTAAACAACTAAACGGATTTGATTACATTTAGTACACAGATAAGACACTTGGGCAGTAAAATTAACCAAAAGATGGCGTTGCTTGTAATTTACAATATAACAACGGCCGATTTCGAGCGGACCGAGAGCAAACTTGATGAATAATAAAAACTGCGATCAAGACATAAAAAAAGAATCCTATGTTATTAAATACTAGCCAATTTTTTGTATACAATTCCATGGGTTTTAAATTTTTTACGCGAACCATTTTTTTTTCATAAATAAAAGTAGCCAAGTTACTCCTTATAACATTAGCTATCTGCCAGTGGAAGCCCCGTCAAAATTAATCCAGCTCTTTCGGAGGTTAGCCAAAACAAACAGACAAAAAAAATCAGTAAAAACCTATTATTTTGACATTAGAAACAGACATTTTAATATTATTTATCTGTAATCTGTACATATTATTATTTATACCTGTTATTGTCGTCCACGTTGTCGGCGGGCGAGAGGTCCCGCGGGCGCAGCACGAGGCGCTTGCGGCTGGGCTTCAGGCTCAGCTTGCACTCCAGGCTCGCGTCGTACTCCTCCAGACCGTCGAATAGGGACTTCTGGATAAGATATTTTTATTAGCCAACCAGAGTTACATTGTATATACATATATGTATATTAGGATGTTTGAAAAAAAATTTTTTTTCGAGTATCTTACGAAAATATGTTACTTTATCATTTTTTAAGAACCCTCTCTAAAGATTAGTTCAAAAATAAATTTTATAAGGACGCTCAAAATTTTTAAAAATTTCCAAAATCGTTGAAAATCAATTTTAATTTTCTATTTCTATTTTCTACTATAAAAATGATTAGGATTCTGAAATTTTCAAGTCGATATTTTAATATTTAAAGATCGCTGATAGCTCAAGATTTTTTTTAAGTTTTTAAGTAGAGTACCTTAGATTTTACCGAGCGACTTCTTCAGAAATTTTCTTTTGCAACGCTGCGTGACTTATTTCTATTATTTAGTATGTCAACTTCAAGTGGGTACCTTGTCCCCGGCCGAGGCCAGCGGGCGCGGGCGCAGCGCGAGGCGCGCGGGCGGCGAGGCCACGCGGTAGGCGCCGGCGTCGAGCACGGCGCGCACCGCCGCCGGGTTCGTCGCCTTCAGGATGTCCTCCGTCGAGGACGCTGCACCGCAACACGTACACGAGATTACATATAAGTACAATTAATATTATGTAAGTATACTATTTTACGCGAATATTTGACATTTTAAATGAAACTGTTAGGTTTTTTTCACGTATTTATTTTGATTTTTGATTCTCAACTTTTCGAACGTTCAGACCTTTGAGAAGTCCAAAACCTTAGTCTCTCCCGCGGCTATTTGCGCTGTAAATAATTCGACACGCCGGAAACCAAAAATCCCACGAAAAAATCCAACAAGATAGTTTCTTTTAAAACTCAAATTTAAGTTTAAATGTTTTATTCAGCGTTAAATTATTTATAGTTTTTGACTAAACATGAGTCTAACACTAGTTTAGAAAAAAAAAGCCTCAATCCTGAAAACAACTGGCGAAACTCAACAGGACATTTTTTTTTATTTTTTCGTCTAACTCACAGGCATCAGGCACCAGGTCCTTGAAGAGAGGCGTGTCTCCGTAGGGTCGCGCCGCCAACGTCAGGATCTGCTCGTGCACGTTGCCGCCCGCTGAAGCACCGGACAGATTGCTGTAGAGAAACATTTGATATACATATTACTATATCTTTATAAAATACTAGCAACTCACCATTGCTACGTTTCGGGTTCGTATCTAGTCAAAAACAATGCAATTTTATTATACGTATAGATTATTTAGATCTGATCCGACCGAATACTGATATTTAAAAACTACGTTTTTTTTTTCTTTTCATTAAAACTGCAAGAAAAAAATATACATGAGGCAAAAAACACAAAACTGTCAAGTCGAGATACCGAAAGGTACAATCTCACCGACTACCAACTATAGGGCTCGCAAAGTGATTGAGCAAGTACAAAATTCACGATGACACCCGAACACGCCTAAATTCTTCCGGTAACAAATACTTATCGCAACATACAACGTGACATGTACCCGGCTATCCGGACACTTACGTGTATCCGGCTTTACATCTCGCCGAATATCCGGTATCCGGCCAAACAACTATCCGTTTGTCTCTATCTACCAATCAATATTATTAACTAGCAGTACCCGCGGCTTGGCCCGCGTTTAAACTTCCGATATAAACATCAGTTTTACAATGATGTATGGAAGTCTGCCCGATTTGTTCACATTAGTGATTACTGCTCCGCTCCCTTGGACAGTAGCATGATGATATAGCCTATAGCCTTTCTCAATAAACGGGCTATATAAGGCAAAAAGAATTTTCAAATCGGATTAGTAGTTCCTGAGATTAGTGCGTTCAAGCAAACAAAGCAACAAACAAACTTTGTTTCTTTATAATATTAGTATAGGTCATTGCCCATATACTAATAATACCAATACTGTTAATTTTTAATATTTTAAATGCTCCGTGTAACTGTTTATGCATGTCGTGGTTACCTATAAGTGGGATAACAGTTTGATTTAGACCTCCTTTGAATAATCGTGTATTTTTGTTATATTACTGTATACATGTTGGTGATCCTAATTAAATAAATAAATAAACAAGCACTCACCCGGTAAAGCTAGCGTTATTGGCATTCATCTGCCCGAGACCACCAAGAGACCCGCCGCCAAGTGCCGACGTGTTGCCAAACAGACCGCCTCCACCCAGACCTGAGTCTAAACCTGTTTAGAAGATTAAAAATATAAATATTATTTACTCTCTAGAAAATCAAAAGCAAATTTACTCCACAGGAAACGTACATTTTTCTGGGATAAAAAGTAGCCTATGTGTTATTCCAGACTATAATCTATCTCTGTGCCAAATTTCATCTAGATCCGTTTAGTAGTTCTGTCGTGAAAGAGTAACAAACATCCATACATCCATACTCATAAATTTTCACATTTATAATATTAGTATAGATTTATTTACAAGCTATTCATTGACCCTTGGTTCTCTCAGGAGCGTCTCTAGATACGTACATATAGCTTTGCTACCGTTTAATACATCTTTGTAATTGTGCTATATTTCTAAGATTTATATATATATATACATATATATATATACATATATATATATATACATATATATATATATATATATAGATAAAGTACATGTATTCGGTTTTTTTATATAAAAAACGTTTTTTTAATACCAATAGAATTGATATTTAAATCAATAATTCGGTATTAAATAAAAACTCTTTCGATAAATTTTAAAACACGAGGCTGACCAAATGATTACTAGACTCCACATGCAATACATGTTACAACAGTTAGGTTCTCTGAGACATGCAGATGTCTACATTTTTCATCAACATTTTCACCCCCTTAAGAAATGATTTCCAAAATAAATAATACCCTATGTCCTTCCCAGGGTCTCAAACTATCTTTTACCACATTTCATATAAATCAGTCCAACAGTTGTTGAGTTTATTCGGTAAAAACATATCAAAATTAAAACCCTTCCTCTTTACAATATTATTATTAGTATAGATTAGTGCAGATTACATAATTATTTTATTTTATATTTTATAACATTTAGTCTTTATACGAAAATATAGCATTTATACAGTCCATTATAAACATGTATGTCAATTTAAAGACCTAGAGCCAAAACCCACACATTTATGCTAACTCAAAAAAAACACCCCTGTTACATGCATAATGTACCATCCATATATTTTGTCATATTCTGACTACAAAAAATGTCTTGCATTTCACATGAGACACCTACCTACTTAGCAAATTTCAGTAATATAGCTACAATATTGTCCTCTCTAGTAAAATGTCTGACATACAGACAGATGCACATGATAAAATAATACATGTTCCAATACGATTTTTTGGCAGCTATACAAGCAAGCAACGTCACATACTGATTAAAAAAAACACATTACCATTAAAAAAATGAGCTTAAAAAAGGTGAGAACGAGTGCACGAAGTCACATAGTATTACGCAGTCAGAGACATACATACATGTAGTAGAACTCAGTATAGAACGTATAATGTATACCCAAAACAAACACATAACCGCCTTGTGGCTTCACCGCAGAATATCCCGACGCGAGACCCGAACCTAGACCAGACCTCTGTATCTACAGTCAGACTCACCAGTCCTGAATGTATTATTCTGTGCCGGCTGAGAGAACAGCGAGCCCGCGCCGAGAGACCCGAAGGCGGGCGCGGCCGGCTTCGCCTGGAACGACGTACCCAGACCCGTGCCTAGACCTGTACCTGGAAACAAGTTATCTATGTTAGGTACTCAACACAGACTATTTAATAACCTAGGCAGGAAGTTTTGGAATTGGGAAACAGGGACTAACACCTGAACTGAGTACATCACTTGTTCCCGTGACCTTGTTTACTGTAAAACATTCAAAACGTTGGAAAGCAAAAATCTAAATGAAATCACGAAAATATACCGAGGCAATAATTTTAATTCAAATCATAATGATTATTTTTTTATAATAAAACAACAAATACCTCAAACAAATACCACATACATTTTTAATTATTATATCGTCGTAGTAAATGCTGCTTAAATTTTATATGCTGACATTCTCCATTGGGAATAATAAATATATAATTTTAATATACACATAAACCACTCACCTAAGGTTGGTTGTGCATTGAAACCAAAAGACGGTTGTGTGGTTGCCGGTTTACCGAAGGTCCCACCACCAAACAGGCCGGAACCGGTTGTGTTCGTACCAAAACCGGTTGTTGCTCCAAATGCTGAGAACCAAAAAAATTTTTTTTATCTACAGCCTAAAAATTCATAGATCCAGATCCATAGGTAGGGAGGTTCAGTTAGGTTTTAGTAGGTAGTTCTAGCCTAGCATACAAACTTTCATCTCCCCATTTTCACCCCCTTAAAAGATTATTTTCAGGATAAAAACTATCCTATGTCCTTCCTTCCCAGTCTCAAACTATCTTCATACTAAATTTTATTTAAATCGGGTTAGTAGTTTTGGAGCTCATTCGGTACAAACAAACAAAGAAACAAATCTTTCCTCCTTATAATATTAAAAATAGATTAGTAATACTTCTTAAATTATAACAATGAATTTGTCAAACCAACAAAGTTTCACTTTTCCTTTTCAGAAAACAAATACTCACTGGGCGCAGTAGAACCAAAGGTAGGTGCAGTAGTCTGTTGAGGCTTCGCCCCGAATAGGCCTCCGCTGCCGAAGCCCCCGAAGCCCGTGCTAGCTGGGGTCGTGCCGAATGCCGAGGTTGCTGGCTTAGCACCGAACAGCCCACCGGTGTTCTGGAAATTATGGAAACCATCAATCTGTCTGTCAGTGCAAAAGTGACCCAAATCGAAATAAAACATTAAAATTTTAGTCCATTTTATATATTTTTTTATATAAAATAAATATTTAATTAAAAGAGAAATTTTTAGTGGTATTTAAAAATAAATTAAATGAAATCATATTGCTAATGAAGAAGTGGCTTAATTTGGAAAATTATACCAAATTATTACAATATTTGAAACTAGCAGAACACACAGCTTCGCTCGCGTTGAAACTACTAAAAACCTCTGAAAAGGTAGGTTTCAAACAAACTTTCATCCCCTATTTTTATGGAATGAATTTCGAAAAATGATAAAACACGTATTTATTTATTTATTTGTATTAAAGACCATTAATACCAATTTTCAAGTAATTATGATCATAAATATTTTTTTGGTTTGTGTTATAACGCGTATTCCCGTGGGAATGAGATAATCTCCCGCGATAAAAAGTACCCTATGTCACTCTCCAGCCCTCCAACTATCTCCACATAAAAAACCACGCCAATCCGTCACTCTTTTTGACATGAAAGAAGGACAAACAAACACACTTTCACATTTATAATATTAGTATGGATTAAAGTTTTTCTAACTTTGACGTAAATAGATAAAAAATTAAGGGTAATTTTAATAAGGGTAATATAACACGCAAAATAGGCGCATAGTCGTCGAGTTGCGGAAAACAGCCCGAACATACCATACCATACCAAGGGTAATTTTAAGTACGTTTTTGCATTTTATATTATCCTATTTTGTCCAATGTAGTCAACCAATTATCTTATAAATATATCACCTCCAGGTAAATTTCTATGAAATTAATTAAATTTCTAAGAAATCTATTGTTAACTGTAACGCCGGCGTGTCCGCGGTCGTGAAGGGATTAAGGCACATTCGTTAAGAGTTTGCGCAGTTAACAGTATTTTTTATTTTTTAACTTCAAAAGTAGCGAAATCTTATATAAATAAAAATGAATCACCGAAATGTATGTACGCGCATAACTTCCGATCGACTGCACCAAATTGGATAATTCTTTTTTTTTTTGTGTTTGTTATTGTCAGGACAAGCTTTGTATAGAAGATATTGAATTTTTTTTATTAAAAAAGTTTTTTTTAAATCTCATGGATATGAAGTGAGTGAGTGTAGTGTGTAAAGTATTTTTTTCGCTCATTTAGTTTATAATATACAAACTACTTTTTTCACCAAAACTGCACATTTTATCCTGTACTTTACCTCACTACTTAAGGTGATTTTCAATGACGCATAGCTAATTAAATAAAACCTTAAAATATGCGATGCTAATTCAATAAACAAGTATTTGAATTTGTAAGAATTTGCAAGAATATATTGGAGTTTACTCCTTAATAATCGATTTTCATCTATGGCCCCTATATGGAAATTTTATGAGTGAATTTAATAAAAGCGTAACTTTTTACGTCATCGTAAATTTAATATGGCGGACTCTCAAAGATGGCGAACTGTTTTTTATGCACCCCCTATAATATGGATATCAAATGAAAGGGTTTGCTGAGAAGAAAACGAAAAAAAAACATGATTTTAATATTTTTATTATAGTTAATAATAGATATATTAACTATATTATAATTATTTATATATAATACTATTAATTTAATTTTAATAATAAAATTATAATTTTAACTTATAAAACATTCTATTTCTTGTATTCTGCATTCTGTAGTAAACTCCAGTCGTGCATCGGAGCTGACACATACATACTTTTTCTTGTTTAAACATAAATACTCTTACACTATTTCTTGTTATTGCGATGAACTAAAAATGCTCATAAATAACACAAAAAAAAGGTAAAAAATGAAACACTTGAGCAAATAGCTTTATATTTTATTTTTCCCAAGAAAAACAAAAATAAACATTATATGGCACAGCCAATCACATACAACTATTATATTTTATAGTCTGTATAAAAATATATTTTAAATTAAAAACAACAGCTTTCCTTCTTAAATTAACAAAAAAAGACACATATATTCAACAGCCTCTTCTCTAATACACTCTAAGCACTTTGAAGTAGACCGTGGTTATTATTAATGTTAAATAAATTAAACTTAATTATTTTTTTAATAGAAGCCGAATCTGATTAGCGATAAACTAAGTTTGATGACAAACAAGGCGTACTCTAAGTTGTTGTCAATCGAAAATTAAGATAAATTTGAAAATTAAGTTAAAATCGGTTCCGTTATTTTGTTTATACCCCATATAAACTTTTATCCCAGTTTTTACCCACTTAAGGGATGATTTCCGGGATAAAAAGTATCCTATGTCCTTCCCAGGGTCTCAAAACTATCTTTTTACCAAATTTCATCTAAATAGGTTTAGTAGATCCAGAGATTACCCCGTACAACGTAAAAAAACTCACAAACTTTACCTCTTTATAATATCAGTATAGATTAAGAATTATATATGTATATATAAAGATGGCTAGACACTAACTTTAACAATTTCAGATAGAATATAAAAAATATTTCAATTCTCTTGTGAATGTCTTCAAAGCGTGCCAGTTGAGCACAGATTACTTCGCCAATGTCATGTAGAATGGAGATGACACGAGGGAGATTAGTCGGTAAAATGCTACTAATATTATAAATGTGAAAGTTTTGATAGATGTTTGGATGTTCGTTACTCTATCACGACAAAACGGCTGAACCGATTTGGATGAAATGTGGCACAGAGATAGATTATAGTCTGGAATAGCACATAGCCTACTTTTTATCTCGTAAACATGAACGGATCCCGTAGGAGATTCGTTTTTATTTCTAGAGGCGAACCCGAGCAAAGCGAGGGTGAACCGCTAGTAAGACCTTATAATCAATCTATTCTAAACGAATGTACTTGATTGACATAAATCATTCATGTGACTTAAGCATACATACTTATTTTAATATATTTATAATCTGTATAAGTTATTTATTACCTAATATTAAAAATATATTCTATAGTAAAATATTTTAAGTATTTCAATAACGATTTCTTTATTTTTGGTCGAAATTAACTATCCATATTTAGAATACCCATATTTATAATCAAAATGCATTCAAGGCAAAACTGGCCTAATTTACATATTCGATAATGCCTTATATATTAATTTCTATAAAACTAGCAGACCCGGTCACGCGTTGCTGAGGCAACTTATAACTTCGTAAGTTAATATCAATAATTAATTTCTCAATTTTTCCAATACAAAAAAAAGTAACCAGGATAAAAACTATTCTATCTTTCAAGTTGGAACAACCCGCATATTTAAAAAAAATACGATAAAATCAAATATGTAAGTAGTTTCGGAATTCATCTCGGACCAACATCGTGAGAATTTTATATATTAAGATAATCACTAGACAACGATACATATTATATATATATATATATATATATATAGCGTTATAGCACGTATTAATTTTATAAATGCACACAATTACAAAAATATGTCTTATTCAGTTTCAAAACCGTCTTAAAGTTATGCCACTTTTACACCGACAACCAAAAAAAAACCAATTACCAAACATCCCTTTTCTGTAACTTTTTAAAACCTTTGTACTTCATATCCAAAATAAGTAAATCCATAGACAATTTGGCATCAATGGCAGCTTTCGCTGCGGCCGCTTCTAATATCAACTTATCCCGAGCACTGCTATAATCTGTATCATTTTTGGTCACATTCGTTGCAACATTTGCTAAAGTTTTAGAGAAATTTTTGGAAAATTCCTGCCATTTATTGATAGAGTACGCTTGCGCAGATTTCGAACCTATCGCCGATTTCTCATTCCCACTCGGGCTCGATGGCGCACCGTGCGAGGCTGTTGTTTTTTCGCCAAAGTCAAAAATACCGGTCTGAAAACGGGATAGTTTTATTAAAACGACCGTCTTAGTTAGGTACATCTATAGTCTACACTAATATTATAAAAAGGCAAAATTTGCGTTGATTTGTTTGATTGAACGCGCTAATCTCGAAAAATATTAATCCGATTAGAAAATTCTTTTTGCATTAGATAGCCCGTTTATTGAGGAATTCTATAGACTATATACTATCCCGGAAAATTAAGGTTTGTATGTATTTTTCTTTTTGCCGAATCATAAAAAAATTTAATTAAAAACTTTGTCCAAAAAAATTTTTTTTTTTTGGGGTGGACCACCTTTATCCCTTAAGAGTATGAAAAATACTTTTACGTCCTATTCTCAGACCTATTGAATAATATACACACAAAATTTCATAAGAATCGGCCAAGCCGTTTCAGAGGAGTTTTGTTACAAACACTGTGACACGACAATTTTATATATGTATTAGATTAGATTAATCGTACTCTGCGTATGTTTCACAAGTAGATACTATTAAGTATGTGAATAAATATTTAGTTTTTATTTATATTAATATCTGTTTGTATTATTTATATATATAATTCTTGAAAATATATAATTTATATACGTTTAGCAAAGATTTCCCAGATATAAGTTTTTTTCCCGCGGTAAAAAGTATCCTATATGTTGATCCGGATAACCAGCTCTTACCATATCAATTTCATCAAAATATCCCCAAGTCGTTTTTCCGTGATGCGGTCACAGACAGACAGAGAGACAAATATTCTAAAAACTATAGATACGTCCTCTGTATCGGTAATAATGATTATTTCAATAAGATTTTCCAAAAAATATTTAATGTACAGATTCGGCTTAGTTACAATTTTATATTATGTATAAATAGACTTTATACAATCCGCGATATCAACTATTGTACATATAAATAGGTAAAAACAAAACAGTACCTTTCAGTACCTTTTTCTTCTCTGTTTGTCAAACGATTTTTTTTTAAATTGACGAGCTTTAGTGATAATAGTAAAAAACTTAAAAAACTGATATTTTTCTATACTAATATCATAAAGGCGAAAGATTTGTTAGTTTGTTTGTACCGAATAGGCTCCGAAACTACTGAACCGATTTAGATAAAATTTAGTAAGAAGGTAGTTTGAGGCCCCGGGATGGACATAGGATAGTTTTATCCCGGAAATCATCCCTTAAGGGGGTGAAAATGGGGATGAAAGTTTGTATGGAGAAGCAACCTAAGGACGAACCCGAGCATAGCGTTGGTGAGTCACTAGTCTTTTATATATAGATGTGTAAATTCTATTCATATAATATGTTGATGAATTACATGAATTTCGACCACTGAAAGTTTTAATAATTATTCTTTTAGAAACATGCTATAATATCTCGAGGATTGTCATATATACGTTTTAGGAAAAATTCCACCCTTTCGGGCGGAACTTTTTTTGAGCAATTTAAAAGTATTCCACCATTTAGGGTGGAATACTATTTGTTGGGTGATTTAAAAGACCTAAGTACCTTTTTAAAGTAATTTGCAAGAAAATTAACTAAACAACTTTTTCATTTAGTTTTGGGTATATTTTATAATATAACAAATTAAGTAGAAAATAATAACAAATATCTTTTTATTGAAAAATTTAATATTTAGAATATATTTAAAAAGGCAGTGACATCATCATTTCCACAGCAAATATAACATACTTTTAATCTTAAAAATAAAAATCTTTAAAAAAATGTCATTAACATAAAAAATAACACAAATAAAGCAATATTTACATACAATGTCAATAAATCTTCTATTAAAAAAATGATTTAAAAAATACATGATCCATAATTCAATTCAATTATATTAAAATATATTTATTTCTATATAAAAAAAAATTGAGATTAAATTTCCTTAATAATAATACAAAAAAATGGCAAAATTAATAAATATTTCTCATAATATTTATTTATAAGAGAAATATCACTCACTAAATAACAGTGAGAATAAATGCTACAAAATAAATATGGCATGTAAGTTCCTCATATTTTATTTCATGATTTTTCGAACTCCTTTAGGGACGTTTGGAAAAAAATATAAGAGTAAAATTTTTACGATGCGTATTAGATGAAGTTAGCTGCATTCCTTTTACAAACAGAGAGTTGTGACATACGGGATGGAATCTTTAGCTATTTATATATTTTCTTTAGTTTTGTTAGTTTGTCTCCCTTTTGCTCAGTAACTAATCAAAGGACGGAAAGGCAGAGTCAGGAGATTTTTGTATAGACATAATCTTAGTCTAAGCTATCTTCGTGGGATATAAGTGTTACTAAAGTCCGGTCGCGATGCAGGAAGAATTTAGTACATTAACCCGCTATCACCTATCTCTATCGCGCCCGCGTAAATATATTGCGTCGCGCTCACACAGATGCAATGACCGCCATGTTAAGGGATTGCAAACCTTATACATGTAAGAATAAGGTCTGTTCTTGTACGCATGTGATCTTTTAAAGATCTACATATATAACATATAATAAAATTCTAACTGACTCGAATCTGTACATTAAATATTTTTTTGAAATTCTTATTGAAATAAACATTATTATCGATACAGAGACCGAATGTATAGTTTTTAGAATTTTTGTCTGTCTTTCTGTCTGTTACCGCATCACAGAAAAACCACTGGAGGGATTTTGATGAAATTTGGTATGGTGATAACTGGTTATCCGGGTCAACATATAGGATACTTTTTACTGCGGGAAAAATCTTATCTTTTAAAAATCTAGTCGGTCGTTCGGGACGAAACTCCCACAAGACCGACCGACGACGTGGTCAAAGTAGCTGGATGCGGATGGCACGAGACCGGGTATCGTAGAAATCTTTGTGGGAGGCCTATGTCCAGCAGTGGGCATATTTGGGCTGAGACGACGATATGTTGTAATAGAGAAAAAAATTCAGATTTAAAAGTTTCAATCCATTTTCTCTTTAACATTACAGTTTTTAACGTGTACAGTTTGAACGACGTTTTTGTCTATTTCAGCCAAATCCTTTGCCAATTGTACATCAATGGCCGCTTTAGCTGTCGCTGCTTCCAATATCAGTTTGTCTTTACGTATTTTCGCATTTTCCTTATCACATTTAGTTTGTTCAAACGCTTTCGAAAAGTTGCTGGAAATTTCCGACCATTTCTTCGGTTGGAAGGGTCTCTCTGGTCCGAACATTGATTCTTGGAATAATCGGAAATTATTTTCCGGAAATGATTTCTTTTCCGAAAATGTTTTATTTTCCAAATATTTAACGGTTTCTGAATTTTCTAAATCTTTCCCAAAATTCCATGTGCATCCGGACTCGAAGAGAACATTGTACGAAATGTTACAGCTCTACGAAGGAAACGAAAAAAAAAATTTGAAAGATAACTAACATGTCTTACATATAAAAACCTCCTCCTTCTTTCTTCTTTAATGAGCACTTCTTTAACAAAACTCACATACACTGTACACATACATAGAAAAGCAAAATCCTTTTGGAAAAACCGATACCGTACCGTATGCAAAATCGGAATCTGAATTAATAATTTTTAAGATTTACGCGAATATTTGACATTATAAATGAAACTATCTGTTCGCATTATCCAAATAAATCCGCGAAAAAACCGAAATATCTCCTGGACTACTACTTTATAATTTTAAAAATAAAATATTCCGTTTTTTTTATACTAAAGTATTAAAAATCTAAATAAATCAAAATTGTTAGTAAATCAGGCCGTGAAAACAGTAATGGCAATACAATTTGATGGTATCGAGCTGATCTGATGATGGAGCTGCAGATGGGGTAGGTGGTGGAACTCTTCAAACCTAACCAGTGAAACCGAGTTTCTGAGTTTTTCGAGTTTGGGCTCATTTGATTTGTTTTCACGAATGCCGTACATAATAGCTATGTGTTTGCATTTCTAAAACTATAAAAAAATATCTTTCCGGATTTTTTCGCATATTTATTCCGATTTTTAGTTCCCGGCGATTCGAATGCTTTACAGCGATCATGGTCGCGGGACAGACTGAGATTTTAAAAATACACAAATGGCACCAAAGTACATACCTTACGATATTTGTTAATTTTAAAGATTTTTTTCTCATAATCGATATACTAATAATATAAAGAGACAGAATTTGTTTGTTTGTTTGAACGCGCCAATCTCAGGAACTACTAATCAGATTTAAAAAAATCTTTTCGCATTAGATAGCCAATTTATTGAGGCTATAGACTATATATATTTTTATGCTACTACTCAAGGCAGCGGAGCAACAATCGTAAATGTCAACAAATCAGGCAGACTTCCATACATTATTACTAATAGCATAAAGGCAAATAGTTTTTTCTTTTTGCAGTTTTAGCGCGAGCGAAGCCGCGGCCAGTATGAATATATAGATAAGAAAACGCAGATTACAATAACTTGTACGTACACATTACTCCCTACAATATGGGTCACATATTCGATTATGTGTGGTGCAAAAAAATATAAAAATTACCTGATTTTGTGTGTTGGCGCCAAAACCGAAGGTGTTCGTAGAACCGAAAGTCGGCGCTTGAGTCGTGGTCGCACCGAACAGTCCTGTGCCTAAAATGATAAGTATTACATAAATAATAGTTACTTTTGATTAAAAAATATCGAATATTTTTTTTATTAAACAGATATAAATAGTCATTCATTTTTATTTATATAGATTAGCCACACGCCGAAATTTAGTTTTTTTTTTTTTAAAGGTGCAATATAAAAACCATCTTTATATATGCATGTAATTCTTCTGTACGTGTGTATGTCGACTGGACTGATTTTGATGAATTTTTATGTGGTGTTGAGTGGCCTGGAAGGTTTAGATCCACAACTGGACCACGTCAGTGGCACTGCAGTCGGGTTCTAGGGTTTATGTAAAGACCAAAACATTTGAAATTGCACAGTTATCAGAAACCAAATCATTTATTTAAACCAGATAAAACCACTTAGAATTCCCGAAAAAAAAAATCACGTTTTTTTTTAATTAACTATTTTTAAAAACTACAGGCTTAACGAGTCGCCATTTTCAATCCCTTTATTCCATTCATTCTTTAACTGTACATGCAACACTCACCAGTAGTGGAGGTAGTACCGAAGGCAGGTTTATTCGCACCGAAGAGACCTGTGGTGTTGGTGTTAGATTGTGTGTTGCTCCCGAACGAAAATGTATCTGATGATAAAAATATTCATATACATACATATAAAAAATATTTATTAACAAGATAATTGAATTATAAAAAGCGTAATATAAACAACTAACTCGTCTGTCCGAAGGCGGGCGTAGAACCGATGTTGCCCCCAAACAAGGTGGGAGTACTCGTGGTCGCCGGCTGACCGAACGCTGGAACAAAAATACATATTATCTATTATAATTAAAATAAACTCGCTCGCCATCTTGTGTATTAAACATGTATATATTTTTGTCTTATGTATGTATTTATGCTCGAAAACGTAGTTTATCATTGTTGCATTTAGTATCAACTGTACCGTCCCGTCTACGGTTCCACTAATCCATTCACCAAAAGTTGTCTATAAGAGATTGCTCATAGAAATAAGACTGCCTTTGTAAGCCTCTTCATTATTTCTTTTTTCATCATCTGTAATCTTCTTTTGTATGTGCAATAAAGTATTTATCTATCTATCAATCTATCTTGTGAGATATTATGAGTAATATTTTACTAGCGACTCACCCTTGCTTTGCTCGGGTACCTCTCTATGTTGATTCCCCACACAAACTTTCATATTCATCATAGTGTTATGGATACGAGATAGTTGATACACTACACATATATAAATTTAAATTCTATTACATATCTATACTAATATTATAAAGAGGTAAAGTTTGTGAGGTTGTAAGGGGTAATTTGTGGATCTACTGAACCAATTTAAATGAAATTTTGTAAGAATATACTTTGAGGCCCTGGGAAGGACATAGGATACTTTTTATTCCGGAAGTCATCCCTTAAGGGGGTAAAAATGGGGATAAAAGTTTGTATGGGGAATCAAGCTAGGGACGAACCCGAGCGAAGCGAGGGTGAGTCGCTAGTTATAAATATGAACATTAAACACCCATGACTGGAGAACAAACATTCATGCTCATCATACAAATGAATGCCCCCAGCGGGACTCGAACCCAAGACCGCTGGCACAACAAGTATTATCATTACAAACTGAGCCAAACATGTCGTCGAACTTATAATAATATAAGCGACTCACTGCTGCCACCAAACAATGGTTTATTCTCAGCGGGCTGCTGGAAACCAAACATCCCCCCGGACGTCTGACCTTTCCTACCAGCCAAATAATCTTCCAGACGAAGTTCTTCTAAGGATTTTCCTTCATATTCCTGGAAATGAATTATTATTTTTATCATCTATACATATAATAAAACAGTAACGAATGAGAAGAGAAATCGATGTGCGCGTTTCACGCAAAAAGTTCTGAACGGATTTTAGCTAAATTTTGTGTAGCGATAACTTGTTACTCGGGGTCAACATTTAGGATACCTTTTACTACAGGATTTTTTTTCATTCCCACGGGAAAACAAAACAACTGATTCTTTTGAGTCGTCCTTAGACATGCAGTTGTCTACCGCTGGCTAAACCTTAAGAGATACATCAAAACAGTGAACTAGGAAATTGTAGGTCTTAAAAAGGCCTATAATAAAATCTAAAATATAATTCTTCAGTATAATAAAATCTCATTAAATCTCCCTTAAACTGAGGGCATAATTACAAATCTCAGATCAATTTTAAAAGAAAATATATATTACACATTTCTCTCATTTCTTTTGGAATGCCCTACTTTGGCCACAGAAAAAATACCTGAACATAGTATTATTTTCATCTTTATAAAAAAAATGTAGCCCTTTAATAACTATAGCGTAAATATCACGCGAGGGGAAAGCCATCAAATCTCACTTAATCTCGCCAAAAGAAAGTAGGAGTTTAAATTGAAAGTAAAACAGCTCACGTAATTAATGGATTAACCCCTTAACCAAAATACTCAAAACTAAGCTGGACCCAAGCCCAGACTCGAACCCAGGACCTCCAGATATGTAGACATACACGCTAGCTACTAGACCAACTAAATAAGTTAAACAATATCAGCTCACCTTCATACATGTGATGCAATGATGTTTGATGTTCATATTCTGGGAGGTCCCACTCTTCACCACCACATCTGTGCCCACCACCGGGTTGTACTTCACGTGGGCGGTGCCTGTCGCCTGGGTTTGGCCGAAACCACCTGATAGAAAATATTATTTATACCATCTATCTATACATATAATAAAATTCTAATTCAGTTGAATCTGTACATTAAATATTTTTTGGAAAATTTTACTGAAATAGTCATTATTATCGATACAGAAGCTGAATCTATAGTTTTTGTCCATCTAGAATTTAAAAAAAAAAAGCCAGAAAGTATTTTATCTATATATTCTATGTATGTATATTGTATATAAATCTTAGAAATCAATCTTTGTATTTAAAATACAAGAAAAAAATCTGTCTACTGTAAATTACAAGAAGTATTGGTGGTTTGAACAAATAAGCACTAAGGCTACATACTGTTATGCACTTAGCTAATGTAACATACCAGAGGTCCCACCGAACAGTCCACCGGACGAGATGGTGTTGTTCTGCTGACCGAACAGTCCCGTGGAGGTGGAGGGCGCCGAGCCGAACAAGCCGCCGGTGGTCGCCGTGTTGGTTGTGCCGGCAAACCCGAAACCGGCTGGTGAAATAGAAAAAATTGTAAGTCAGATCTAGAAAAGTAAGCAGTTTGAACGTTTCTTGATGGAAGCTGTCATTAACAATCAGCCACCATTTTGATGTTTTTTTTTTTCGAATTTTAAAAATGGAAAAAAAATTAAAATATCGGGAAAAACAGTAATTATGGAACTATCGGACTGGGCTTAAAAGTTGCATGATGGATAGAAGTTTTAATAGAAAATTTTCATAAAAAATTGAAGGATACACAAAGTTTAAAAAAAACACGATTCAAAACTTAAAATTCAAATTCAAATTCAGTCTCGATGAAAACATTTTAAATATTTATTTTTTATATTTTTTTAAGTAAATGTAATCCAAAACCAAAAAATTTTGAAAAAAAAATAATTAAACTTCGACCACTATTAAAAAAGTTAGGAGCAAAAAACCAAAAAGAGCGGTTTTTTTGAAATTTCGATATTTTTGAAGTTTTAAAGCACTAATCAAAAAAATCTCAAAATTTACCAGGAAGCAATAATCAAAAATAACAATTTTTAAAACCGTCCGATTTAGTGTAGAATGCTCCATATAGATATTATAAAAAACTTACTAGCTGGCTTAGCACCAAAGGCGGTATTATTCTGGTTGTTGCCAAATAACCCTCCACCGCTGCTATTGTTGAAGAGACCCCCCGACGATGTACTGGCCCCAAACCCGAAACCGCTCGACTGGCCAAATGTAGATGTTGTTGGGTTGGAACCGAAAAGACCGCCCGAAGTGTTTGGTGAACCGAATAGGCCTATCAAAATAATTATATGTAAATTTAACAGTTTTTTAAAATTTACGCAAATATTTGACATTTTAAATACATATATTACTATTATAAATTTTTCCTTTTTTAAATATTATAAAGTACCATGGTACCATTTATTTATTTTTTACCTTATTATGTAATATTTTGCGAGTACACAACTTTAATAACTTTAACTTGTGAGATGTCAAAAACTTTAGTCTTTCCCGCGACTATGTTTAACTATAAAGCAAATCTAATGCCGGATCCACACTTTCCGAACCTCGACAGGCCATCACAAATTCAAACATGTGGAGAGGACGTTTGGTTTGACCTGAGTATGTGTGCAAGCACTAGTGTTTTGATCAAATCAAAGGAAACTTGCGGTAAGTGTTTATATTTTATGATACATCCACACCTTTGTGTGTTTGTAGAGATTTAAAGTATGGCAAATGGCAAACGTGTGGATCTGGCATACGTACCATACATTGATATACAAAAACACAAAATACACAATTAGCGTATCAAAAGATGCACACAATTCGAAATTATGCACTTTTTTCAAATCTTCTCAGATGACAAAAATAAAAGCATGTTGATGTTGTTAAAAAAAGTACTTCATGTGATGTGCTTAAGTTCGAATTTGTGTTTAGACAATTATTTTGAATGTTATTTTTCGAAGAATTAAAGAATATAAGAAGAATTTTTCGGAACTTTCTGAAGAGATATGTGTTATATGTATCTATGTTTTTATATATAGTGGTACAAAAGTACCTTCTTCTTTTCAAAGTAGGATATACAACTTACCACCACCTGTAGCCGGTTGAGGGTTAGCATTAGCACCAAAGGCCGGGGCCGCTCCGAAGGCGCTCGTGCCGGTGTTCAGTTTGAAGCCACCAAACGGTGAAGTCGTGCTTGTATTTAATGAACCTATTCAAATGTAAACCACATAATCCTATATTAGTTTTCATTAGAACCTATATGGGAGATATCAAACTATCTACTGTTATAAATGAGAAATTTTGTATGTATGTATCTTTGTTACTCATTCATGCTGAAACTGCTGGAACGATTTGGATGAAATTCATTCATATATGCATATATTAACATATTTTAATTTATTTCTTATTCATTTCTATAATACCATATCATTATCTATACAGATAAATGAAATTGATGTGTCTGTTTGCAATGCCAAAATAACAACATCTCCGAAACTGCTGGACCGATTTTGATGGGACTTTCACTGGCAGATAGTTAATGTAATATGGAGTAACTAAGGCTACTTTTATTATAGAAAAAGAATTAAGCTTCCGCTTAAAAAAATCAAAACATACCTAGGAAGTAAATCGCTACTTCAAACTTAGAATATGGTTGGTATTATTTCGATTAAGCAAATCATTTCAATTCTCTTGTTGTCTTCAATGCGTGTCAGTTGAGCATAAATTACTTCGCCAATATCACGTGGAATGGAGAAGATACGAGGTAGATTGGTCGGTAAAGGAAATCAACAAAATAAGACAAAAATATAACTTACCAAAACCAGTGTTGGTGGAACCAAAAGTTTGTTTTTGGAACATGTTCGCTCTATTTCGGTAGCTCTTGAATTAGCTCAATTATTTCATGCCAACATGTTGTAACTGAAACAAAGAGTAGATTATTAGATTCCCTATACAAACTTTCATCCCCATTTTCGCCCCCTTAAGAGATAGTTTCCGGGATAAAAATTATTCCTATGTCCTTTCCAGGGTCTCAAACTATCTTCTTACCAAATTTCATCTAAATCGGTTAAGTATTTTCAGAGCTTATTTAGTACAAACAAACAAAAAAAATGATTTTTCTTTATAATATTAGTATAGATTTAAATTTAAATGCGTTTAGTATTTGCGTGGCTTTCACACAAAAATAATGTAATTTTTTGCCTTAGTAAAACATGGTGGCAGTCTAAGCTGTCAAAGACGGTAAGAACTCGTGTTAATACTAGCCCTGCCAGCGGCCCCGCTCACGAAACTATTTAATACATACATACATATGTATGTATGTATATTGTATATGTATAACTACTGCGCTTTTATATAAAACTATTTATAATAACTATTTTCGCGTTTTTTTGTTTGATAAAAACATTTCAAATTTAACACCTCCAGGTAATTTCTAAGAAATTAATTAAATTTCTAAGAAATCTATTATTCACTGTAACGCCAGGGTGTCCGCGGTCTTGGAGGGATTAAGATACTTCAGTACATACATACACTGATAAACACATTACCATCCTTTGCGTCGCGCATTCGGCTAAAAAATAGCTTTAGTTCAATGATAAACATTCACATAAACCTAAAAAATTATATGTACTCCTCTTTACATAAGAGTCATATCACGTGATATTAGCCTATAAAAAGTTTAAGCTAAGCAATTATACCTACATACATAATACATAAATTATAAACTACTTATAAGAGCTCAAGATTAGATGTCGTTTCTTATATTTAATTTTTATTATAGACGAAAGTTTCCTTCTAATACAAATAACATAGTTTAGGAAAACCCATGTTATGTAAGTACGAATAATTAGCCATTTTAAAATCGAACCTGCTATATTCGTCGTAGCAGGTTGTGACGTCATATCTAACATTGTCATTGTATATCAAAATATCAGTGATGTCAACTTAGCCCTTTTGGGGCTAGATCTAGCCCTTTTTTGGCTTATTCAGCCCTTAAAATGATGATTTAGCCCCTAGCCCTATTTCTAGCCCCGAAACCGTGTAAGAAAACTTTATTCTGGCACACAGTACAAATTTTTAAAAAATCATGCGATACAATGAAAAAGAAATTTAAACATAACAAAGCATTATAAACGCACTTAAGCTAATCAGGCAACACACAACGTCACGTCAAGTCAGACTACCTGTCTCTATTCCTCTTACATAAATCGTAGAAACACTGATAGGTGGTAGCACAGACCTAGTATGCGTTTCGCTCGCTTTTCGCTCGCTCACACAGACAGCTGAAGTGTGCGAGCGAAAGGTTTTAATCAGCATTCACTGCCGCGAGTGAAAAAGAGATAGCGACACAAGGTGACAGTGTGCCGTGTTTTTCGCGGCTAAGAGGCCCGATCAGTTTTGTTCAAAATTAGTTTTGTAAATTTTTGTATTAAAATATTCAATTTTATAATTACGAGCCATGGTGTCTTGTTCAGTGTTTAATTGTGATGCAACACATCGCAACAAGGAGATTGAGTTTTAAGGTGTATTTTTAATTAAAAAAGTTGATTTTTTTAATTTTTTGGTTAATATTAAGTAAACGATTATTAAAAAATTACTTATTTTATATAGAAAAACGAACTTTTCCTATTTTAATTTTTTTGGCCAAGTCACGGAGCTCCTCCGTGGCCAAATCTAGCCCCCATCTAGCCCTTTTTAGAACTCCATTTAGCCCCAAAACCTGACACCGTGTTGGCAACACTGCAAAATATTGTGCAATACTGATCGTGTTGATACATGTTTGTATCAATATATTAATTACATTTTGTATTAGTCGTTGTCTATATTTGAATTTATTATATAACTAGCGACTTGCCCTTGCTCTGCTCGGATTCGTCCCTAATTACGTTTTAATGTTTAGTATAGATTTCTCAGAGATGATATATTTTCCCACAGTAAAAAGTATCCTATATGTTGACCCGGTTAACCAGCTATCATACCAAATTTCATCAAAATCTGTACAGAGGTTTTCTCGTGATGTGGACCCAGGCAGACAGACAAAAATTCTAAAAATTATAGATTCGGCCACTTTATTAATAACTATTGGACTGGTGAGGTCGCTCAGCGAAGCCTATGAAGCTCCCAGGAAGCTTCTGTCATTTTGGACAGACCTAGTCTGGCAGAACTAGCCAGGATTCGCAATATACAACTAGCCAGATGCGAGTCTAAGTGCGGAAAACGAGTTCAATATACAATATTAATAACTATTTCAAGATTTTCCAAAAAAAAATTTAATGTACAGATTTGACTCAGAACTTTATTATAATTATGTATAGAAAACTAGTGACCTTGGTAGACAAAAACATATTCCTTTCATGAATATACAAAATAATAATGTAAGGAGGCTAAAAATTTGGGATTATATTTTTATACTAGCGACTCACTGTTGCTTTGCTCGGATTTGTCCCTAGGTGATTATTTAAATTAACATAACTTTTTAATTTATAAACCGATTGAAACAAAAAAACACTAAATGTTAAGTGAAGCTTACCACAATACATTACCTATAAGCCTAAAAAAATTAAAATGCTTTGAGGCCATTAACATCAAAATTGAATTGAACTTGTATAAATGTCTCTTAGTAAATTAGTTCTCCTTAGTTTTAGAAGATTTTAATAGCATTTTATTATAAATAAAGAAAACATTTAATGACATACATTTTTATGCAATAGGTTTTTCTATTTTGATGACGACACGCGCTATATAAAATTGCGTCACAATTTGCAAAACAATGTTAATCGACGTGTTTATTTACAAAATGGTCCATAACAAAAATTGGATTAAATTATTGAATATTTAGTGTGATTAGATAATGTCGATAAACTTTCTTGGGGTTTTTATCTGTTAATTAGTAATTTTGTAAAAATAATGTAATGAATTGAACACTGGAGGGTAATTTTAAGACATTAAGATATTCTACAAATTTGAGACTTTGTAAAAACAAACAGTTTTTTTTTTAAACACTTATTTAAAACACTCTAACATTTATCAGAACAATCGCAAATATCGCAAAAATTTTGACAAATTTAGAAAAAAATGACATAATAATGTCCTAAACAAATTGTATCGCATCTTTCGTGCCAAAATAAAATAGCGCTACCTACATTATGTTGCAAATTTTAATAATTATTAATATAAGGTTCTCTATAAAATGCAATGTAAAATAAGATTCTTTTACTACTTCTTGAAAAATAGCGGCAGTTAAGTTCAAGCATTATAGGTTACAGCTGTACATATTTAGATTATAGCTATTAAAAAATAAATATTACTTGCCTAGTATTCAGAATAAGATTATTATCACCTATTACGCTTAAAACAATGTCTTCTTGTAACTTTTGTCTCGTCAATTCACTGTTTATAATCCAAACATTCAACGTACAACCAAATTTCAACAATTACAAAATGTGAAGTGAGCACAGAAACAGATTAAGTTGTACATTATAAATATGTCATAGACTATAAAGAGTTTGAATCGATTTGGATCGAATCGTTTAGATATTGATATTGAAAGTTGAAACAATCGACTATGACAAAATTATGACAAGTATGCCAAAAAACTTACGAGCATGTGAACTATATTTTTAATTAATTTATTAATTATTCTACACGACATTGGTGAAATAAACTATACTCAAATTACACGCCTACATGCTGCAGAGCAAAGAACATAACATAATATTATTCTATCTATAAACGTTTTACTTTTAAATCGTTATGCAGTCCATTAATCGTAAATAAAATTTAGTATAAATGTTATTAATGGTTCATAATTTTGTGCTATAATCTTCTATCAATAATAGTTTTTGGTTATTAGAATGTAAATGGACTATTCGATTTCGTTCGACATCATATTTGGCTTTTTCAAGGCCATGCCCATTGTTCACTACTTACGACAGGAGCACACGATCGTTCTTTAAAATTTAATAAAGCGCGCGCACGCGCGCACCCACACACATAAACGCACAAACACGGATGCGGAATTATATAAGCATATACGCATACGTACAGACAGATTTCATGAGTTCATTATTATGTGTCAAAGTTTTTTTATTTCGTGCCAGCTCTAACAATGCAATTAAATTTTATATAGTAAATTTTGTAACATTTTGTGTGACGAAAAGAGTGGAAATGGAATGGATGGAGAGGTAAAGGAAGACCGAAGAAAAGATGGATAGATTGCGTGGGACAGGACATGGAAGAGAAAGGAGAGAATAATGAGGCAACTAGTAATTGGGGAAAGTAGAAAAGGAGGACTTACTGAGCAAACTCTAAGTAATTTGGGAAATGTGCGGGATTCAGGAGGATGATGAGTAAATTTTTTTGTCATTTCATACGAATAAGTATGGTTAAAATAACAGTCAATTATCACAAATATTTATTTCCAATTGAAGACATTTATGTATCACAAACGAAAATACATTTTGTTATTTTGTATTACATTTTGCAAAAAATTTTAAGTGTTGTGAAATTTTATAACACTGTAATATTATAGAACTACATCAGGTGCTCGTAAAAAACACATAAAAGATATTTTAGTACAATTGTATAAGTAGTGGGCAATGATTTTATATGGAATTCCTCTTATTTTTAGTGAGTATACACTTCTATTTGTTATCATTACTTTTTTCTTTGAAATTATTGAAAAATTTTAAAACTTCTGATTTTGAATTAATAAAAAAACGCACATTAAGCTTAATTTTTCGGTATATTTATACTACAGGTTATGCGGACCTAATTTTAGGCATAGATCTAGAAATACAAGGCATTATAGATTTAGGTCCAAAATGGAGCTATAAATATAAAGTATCACCTCTGAGGCATCTGGAACTTACTACTAAAAATAGTAATTTGACAAAACTCCTGTATGTATCGAAAGAAAAAAAACTAAGAAAAGATAAACAAAATAAATCAGAAAATGAACTTCGATACAAACAAACCTTAAATAATGAAAACTTGTCATATGATAGCGAGAATACTTTACGCAATAAATTTCCCGATACTATGAATAAAGAAAATGTTTTTTCTAAATATACCAAAAGTGGTAATAACAGTCGTAGCACACCAATATATTCTGAAGATAGTGTATCAACCAATGAACAGATCGAAAAGAAGAAAAAACATAGCAAAAAATACAAAAAGTCAGAGCAGAAACATAAAGAAGATAAGTTAAACATTAAAACAAGATTAAGACAGTCCAAGGTTAAGGATGATACAAAAATACATAATTATACTATACACATTTTTAAACAATCACTGAAAATTTTTGAGAATTTCAAGAAAATGACAGATAGTTTGCAAATACAGCGTAAAATTAACAAGTTGCAAAATGATTTTGAGGATAGATTTAATATTTTTTTAAAACAAAACGAAGAGTATGGCTTAAGAACGAATTTAGCAACACACAAAGTTATATTAAATACAATAGACACAGCAAATAAAATGATGCAAAGATGTTTAAACTACCTAAGTAAAGATGAAACCGTGAACCGTCATCTGGGCAAAGGGTATTTATTTCAAAAGGAATTAAATAAACAAAGTGAAATAGAGTACATTCATGCTTGCACAAAATTAGGCGTGTGTCGCACGAACGACGATTACATTCAATTTATTATTAATATACTAACAACAATATTACACGCTGACGATTCAAAAATCAAACAAGCGTCTGATGCGTTAACAGAAATCGTGAAAACTAGTGATTTTTCAAAAATAATCGATATTCAAGCCGAGTCAAAATTAAGTAAATCGATGACAGAAATCGAATCGTGGGATTCATTCGTGACAAAGGCCATGTTTTTAATATTTAGAAATGTTTTAATAAATAGAAATAAGCCCATATTTATAATGGACGTTGTAGACAAAGACGTGGCTCGGAAAACAGTAGCGTTACTGCATTTAATTGATATAATAAACAAACAGATGAATAATATTCAAAATAAGAACAAATGGCGGGAAATTGAAAAGCAGATGGAGGAATGGAAGGAAGGCAACCGCCAGGACGTACAAACTATTTTGGAAAGAATAATTAAGCAATTAGCAGAAGAGTTGGCAAAATCAGATTATGAAACGAAGCAAAATATAAATAATAATATCAAATCTATTAGCGCAAAAATGGTACCCTGATTACGTTTTAATCTGAGTTAATAATTTAAGATTTTAAATCAAACTATCTTTTCAGATTTTTTCGCGGATTTATTTTGATTTTTGGTTCCCAACGTTTCGAATGCTTTACAGCAATCAAAATAAATCAAGAGACCATGATTGCTGTAAAGCATTCAAGCCGTCGGGAATCAAAAATCTAAATAAATCTTCTGCAAATAGTGATAAATTTACAACTTTACATACATATTCATTTAATTGGCCATTTTTACTATTTAAAATCAAATGAGATTATAAGAAAATAAAATATATCATTAAAATAATAAATATTAAAAATAAAATAACATATTTCATATTTCGTATATTTAAAAAAACATTGAGCATTAATTATTTTACAGCTATGTCAATAAACATTAATCAGACTTGTTATATGATGGATTTATGTAGACATAACAGAGGGCATGTAGCGGAGCGTCATCTTACTTGGTTCTGTAAAAAAATAAAATAATAATTAAAAATCGATCTTTTCACTAACTAAATTCTTTAGAACTTGTCAAAAATGAAAAATGATCAAAATGAAAAGTTCCACTATTAACACACATGCCAAAAGAAAACTCGTATGCATATCGTTTGACGACACGTTTGGCTTAGTTTGTAGTGACCGTACTTGCTGTGCCAGTGGTCGCGGGTTCGAGTCCCGCTGGCAATTATTTGTATGATGACCACGAATGTTTGTACTCCAGTCATGGATGTTTATATTTATAACATGTAAGTATTTAAAGTTATATACATATGCGTAGTGTATCAATCATCTGTTATCCATAACAAAGGCCTCGTAGCCTACCATGGAACTAGATGGCGCTGTGTGTTAATGTCCCAACTTCCAACATATTTATTTATTTAAATACAATAATTAATTTGAAAACAATATTACACTTGTGTTTGGCCGCGACATGAGCCCTCAAGGCGGAGGCCTGCGTGAAGGCAGCGCCGCAGTGGCACGCGTGCGGCCGCTCGCCCGTGTGCGTCCGCATGTGTACACGCAGCACGTATTTACGCTGGCAAACATAATAAATGTAATCTACACAGGTAAATAAAATTGGAGTGTCTATTTGTAATGTCGAAATAACATCGTTTTACTAAATGCATATGAAATTATAGACGGTACTTATAAGAAAAAAACATTTTTTTTTATTTTTGTTCTGTTATATTTGTAGATATTTCCCCGCAATAAAAAGTATCCTATATGTTGGCCCGGATAACCAGCTATCGTTATACAAAATTTTATCAAAATCCCTCCAGTGGTATTTCCGTAATGCGGTAACAGATAGACAGATAAAAAATCTTAAAACTATAGATTCGGCCTCTGTATCGATACTAAAATCTATTTCAATAAGATTATCCAAAAAATATTTTATGTACAGATTCGACTCTGTTACAATTTTGTACGTATAGATTTGGTGAAGTAAATAAATAGTTATTTGATACTTTCTTAGATTTACGCGAATATTTAATAACATTTTATAATAGAAGTGTTTTCGGATATTATTATTATTTATTCATTCATTATTATTTATAATACTTTCTAATAACATCAGGTCGTATATTAAATTGTTACCAGAGAGACTTACACACATACATACTACAAGGCTCTCTCACACAAGGTACACTATACAGTAAGCTACCAGCTACCGGGGCGGCACTCACCGAGAAGGTCCTCCCGCAGAGCGCGCAGGGCACGCGCGGCGCGCGCGGCGCGTGCGCACTGCGGGCGTGCCAGCGCAGCGCGTCGCGGCTGCAGTAGCGGCGGCCGCAGTGCGCGCACGCCTCGGGCCGCGCGCCGCCGTGCGCGCGCGCGCCGTGCGACGCCAGCGACGACGAAGATACGAAGCGCTGCTCGCATTGTGTGCATTGGTGTCTGTGTTAGTTGAATAGTCATTTAAAACATATTATGTTAATTATAAACAAATCTATCCCACGGGAATTGTACATTTTTCTGGGATAAAAAGCCTATGTGTTAATCCAGACTATAATCTATCTCGGTGCCAAATTTTATCCAGATCCGTTCAGTCGCTCTGACGTGATTGCCTATTACATATTCTTATAAAAAATACAGCAACATTTATTACGCATTTAATAAAAATATTTAGTGACTCATAACCTCGATGTAAACAGCGCCATCTATGAATACACAGAACAAACCTAGTGATGGTCTTTTCAATAGCCAGTAAAGTTAAAGATATTTGGTTTTAAAAGTAATTATTTCACTTTCCTTTTATTTTTAAGCCTAAAATATTATATAGATATTTTTTTTTTTATTTCTTTTACTAATTTTGCTTAATTATTAAAAGAAATAATTTTATTTGGTATGCTCTATGCTACAGTGGAGTGGATACCTACTTGTACGCAGATGAATCCCGATGTTTCTTTGCACGTTGTAAGTGACGTTTCAAATTATCCTGCAACGAAATTAAAATTTTGAAATTGATATGGTGTATACAAACAACCAGGCATTATTATGAAAACTGCCTCGGTGGTCCTGGGTTCGAGTCCCGGGTCGGGCCAAGTTTAGTTACTGAGTCTTACTATAGTAAGCCTCAGTAACAGCCCGGAGTAGGGAAGTTGGCGGTGTGTCACCCCCGTGCCTCGGCTCTCACGTAAAGCCGTCGGTCCTGCGCCGACACTCTCACCGGTCGTGTCGAGCAGTCGTCCCACCGGAGTATGAGAGTGACAGGAATAGAGAGTACAATTGCGTATCTCTCTCACACACGCTGCACTATAATATCCCCTGCGGATGGCGCTAGTCTCAATGAGATTGGCCGCCGTGGCCGGAATAGGTCGGGATTATTATACTCTTATGACATCTCATATTCATGATCTAGTACATACTAGCGACTTACCCTGGCTCCGCTCGGGTGGGTCCCTAGGTATTATGTAATCCCATAATATGTACATTGTTCTCACATAACTCTATTGGTGTACATGATGCAAGCCAGTAAAGCTCACAGTTGGCATAATTCCATGTGTATATATTTCAGCCTATATACACAAAACCTTATTAAATTATACACCTAAAGCTTCCTTATAAATCACTCCGTCCATTAGTCAAAACGGTATGAAAATCCGTTTGGTAGTTTTTATGATCATTACTCACCGAATGAGCGCTCATTTGATAGGAACATTTGAGCTCGCTTTTAATATAAATATTTTTTTGTGAAAACAACTTTTAGCATTGCATTTAAGGTTTAATTTACATTTTTGTATATTTATTTCAACTAGAACAATTACCTAAACACAATCGGTGACAGTTTTAAGAGAACTTTTGTATGAGATGTTTTTTCTTTTTGTAAAAAAACTGCGTTTTTTTAAAAAAAAGACACCTATTAGATATAGTTAAACTTAAAAAACAAAACTTTATCTGAATACAAAATTTGATCCAAATCGTTAGAACCGTTTTCGAGATACACGAAATAAATTTATATATTATATGGGGCATTTCACGCCAAAACGGACACGGAAACGGACACGAAACGGATTTCAAACATTTTTATTTTTGATTTTTTTAGTATTTTGGTTTTTTTAGTACCCCTCAAAAGAGGCTTCCTGGTAAATTTTGATCACTGGTTCAAAAAAAAACGAAGTTTTTTTGCTCCTATCATTCTAAATAATGGTCGAAATCAATTTTTTTTTTCAAAGTATTTGTTTTTGGATGACCTTTAAAAAAATAAAATGTTTTTAATCGAGATTTATGAATTTTAAATTTTGCAATCGTGTTTTTAAAAACTCTGTATCCTTCGATTTTTTTGAAAATTTTGTATTTTAAACTTCTATCCATCATGCAACTTTTAAGCCCGGTTCGGTAGTGGGCCTCCTATAATTACTATTATTTTCGAATTTAAAAACAATAACTTTTTGTACTACTAAATTAGTGTTTAAGTGTCTGAGAGTATCAGTGTCTGAGTGTGTATATCTAAGTGCCGGATTGTCCCCCAACTCACCCTGGACTTGAAGACGACGTCGCACTCGACGCAGTAGAAGTCGGCGCGCACGTGCACGGCGAGCGCGTGGCGCCGCAGCTGCGCCGCGTACACGAACGAGCTCGAGCACGCCGAGCACTGGTGCAGCTTCTTGTCGTCGTGCCGCCTGGACGTTATACATACTTATATTATAAATGTGAAAGTGAGTTTGTTTGTTTGTCCTTCTTTCACGTCGAAACGGAGAGACGGATTAGCGTGATTTTTGTGTGGAGATAGTTGGAAGGCTGGAGAGTGACAAAGGCTACTTTTTGCCGCAGAAGATTGTCTCATTCCCACGGGAATACACTTTATAATACGATCCAAAAAAATATTTATGATCAGAATTACTTGAATCTTGGTATTAATGCTCTTTAATAAAATTTAATAAATACGTGTTTTAGTATTTTTCGAAATTCATCCCATAAGTGGGTAAAATAGGGGATAAAAATTTGAATGAAACCCATTTTAGAACTTTTTCTTTGTAGTTTTAGTGCGAGCGAAAATCAATCAAATTCTTATAACTTACATAATATGAATCCGTAGGGAGTCCTTACTTTTGTAATACTTCCCACATATGTGACATTTTAGAGGTTCGTTAGAAGAATGCACTCGCACGTGTCGTTGCATCGCTGTACGTTTGCTGCAAATAAAAAAAAATGGCACAAATTCATTAGCGAACTAAAATTAAACATTTTTTTATTAAATATTATTTTTCAAGCTTTTTTAAAGTTATACTTCTATTGGCACGTTTGGAAAAAATTATAAGAATCACCAAAAAAATTTCGTCTCTGAAGACCAAAAAACACATTTGGGGCGAGGCTTCTATATATGTATATATAAAAATCGATGTGTATACGGCTGGAGTGATTTTGATGAAATTTGCAGGCAATCTTCAGATTATCCCAGTGAATGATTCTGTGAAGGTTGGTACCAATCGGAAATTTGAACGCGGGCAAAGCCGCATTTACTATCTAGTCCCATAATGTGAACAATATTATAATCCTATAAATATTATAAATGCGAAAGTTTGGATGGATGGATGTTTGTTACTCAATCACGCCACAACTGCTGAACGGATCTAAATGAAATTTGGCACAGAGATAGATTATAGTCTGGAATAGCACATAGGTTACTTTTTATCCCGGAAAGTGTACGGTTCCCGTGGGATAGGTAAGTTTTGTTTTTCACTGAAACAAAGCAGACTCACTTAGTGGTATACTCGCAGGTAGGACACGAGTACACGGCGGGCGCCGCCGCGTGCTCGAGCGAGTAGTGCTCGAGAATGTGTTGACGTGAAAGCCGTATTATATTACAGAGTTTGCATTTATATCTGGAAAAAAATAGGTGCGTGTAACCTTTACGCGCCGTTGAAATAAAACTTCTTTGGCAAATATCGCAATTAAATTGAAACAAATCTATAATTAAATAAGGCATATTAGGTATATTACAATCGTATATTTATAGAATATCATATACGGAAAGAATATAATATTATATATTTGTCAGACAATAACAACGGTTGCCATGGCAACATGCCAATATATTCTATCCCATTCTCTCACCGGCTTAATCCTATATATGTATGTGTTTGTCTCTTTCTAGTGTCGCATTTTCGTTTCATCGAGTTTCGAATCACAACGATTCTAAAGAAGTTTCACTTCAAAAAAAACATCTTAAGGGTTATACTTTCTTAGATTTACGCGAATATTTGACATTTAAAAAAACATGTTTTCGGGATTTTTTGCGGATTTATTTAGATTTTTGATTCCCGACGTTTCAAATGCTTTACAGCGCACATGGTCACGGGAGAGACTGAGGTATTAGATGTCTCGAAGGTATTATATAGTTGTTATAAATAATTTTTAATTTTGTGAGTAGATGCTGTCTGTCTGTACACAGAACTTAATGGTAAAAAAGGGTCATACCTAGAAGAATGGGACTTCATGTGCCCCCTCAAAGACACTTTGCTTGGGCAGTATTGTTCGCATAGCTCGCATTGGAAAGGTCCATTTTTCTAGAACAAAATGAAAGCATTAAATTAAAAAAATGCAGCTGAGTTGAGAACCTCCTCCTTTTTGAAGAAGTCGGTTGATAAAATCTCTTTCTATACAAAGTGATACTAACTTAAAACCCACTTTGAATATTTAATTTTACTAGCGATTTGGTATGTTTTAATATTTTGAGCAGAATCCTAATTCTTTTTTTAAAACAAAAGTGACCTAAGTTACTCCATATAACATCAGCTGCTATCTGTCAGTAAAAGTGCTGTCAAAATCGGTCTAGCCGTTTTGAAGAGCCGGAACAAACAGACGGGCAAAATTTTTAAAAATTGTATTTTTTTATAAGTACCATATTACTTCCATATGCATTTAGTAATATGCAGTTATTTTGATAGTATGAACAGATACCTACTTCAATTTTATTTGCTTCTATGTAAATACATAGATTAAATTTTTTATTTAATTTATTACGGGTATTTTTTAATTTATATAACCCTCGGGTTCGCCGATAGGAAAACAAAACAAACCTATCCCAAGGGAAACGTACATTTTTCCGGGATAAATCTGTCTGTGTATGGTCAATCAATCAGTCAAATAATCAGTCTATGTATAGTGTCAGACTATAATCTATCTCTGTGCCAAATTTCATCCAGATCCGTTCAGCCGTTCTGGCGTGAAAGAGTAACAAACATCCATACATACTCACAAACTTTCACATTTATAATATTTATACAGATACATATACAGATAAAATACCAAACCAATATTATCGAAACTGAGAAAATTCTCTTTTTTAAAAAGGTTCATCCTGTCTGAGCAAAATTAGATAGAATTGTTAGTTTTCAACTTTAACACTTACCACAGAATGCTTTTCCATATGACTTTGCAATACATCCTCAAAATTAAATCCCTTCACACACTTTTCACATTTATATGGTAACATTTTATATCTCTCACTGTTCGCATATTGCTGCATTTCTTCTAAAATCTAAAAAGAAATAACAACAATAAAACATAAAAAAAAACCACTAAAATATACTTCATTCAATAGAGAATATGCATGATTTTTTTTCCTACAATAGCTACAGCGTTACGTAAATGTAAAAAAAATATCCAGATCCAAAAAAACTGAAATTTTGTATATTATTTATATTTATTTTTCAAATATCATACGGATACGGAGATTCTAATCGGCCGCCATCACTTGCGCACGCGACATCGCTCTGTTATGATATACTCTGACGTCACACTAGGTCTGACCAATGGCGTGCGTTTCTACTACTTTGAATTCCCCACCTATATTTGCACTTAATAATTATTCTCTTAATCATAAAGAAAGTATGTACATTAAAATATATTAATATACGCTTAATTCATAAGCAATAAAGATTAAAAAAAAACACCTTTATTTAAATCACACGCATAATCCCTATTATCCTTTTCTAAGTACTTCTGAATCTATATACAAATACATAATCTATATACAAACAGTTTAGTACATTTTCTTCTGTTTGTCAAACGATTTTCTTTTTTGTTTAGAACTATGACAAGCTTAAATTGTTATCAATAAAAAATGATGTATTCCATCATTTTTTATTTTTTAGTTTGACAAAAAACATTTCCACTATTTATACATAATTCGTTGGCTCACTATTACAAGGTTCTATGTTACAATTTTAGTACTTATTTAGTTATTAATGCTACAAAGTTCTATGTGTCATTAGCTACAGTTTTGCAAAAACAAACCACTAGATAGCGGCACTATAACTACAAAATACTCAATTTTACATAGTTCTATGTTGTTTTTTTTTACGATAACAAAATAACGAGGTTCTATGTAAAAATTACTAAACTTCATTAAAATTAACATAGAACCTTGTAATAGTAAGCCAACGAATTATATTATCACATATAAAAAGAGGCAGTGATAGCCCAGTAACGCGTAAACGTAACGGTAACGTGCTCGCTTGGTAAACCGAGTGTACCCGCTTCACTCGGGTCTCGCACTTCCAATATTTTTGTATGCAAATCATTTCCAACATGATTACCACTTGTCTTACAAAATAAAAAAGGCACACATTCTTTTACAGTATAAATAAAAATAAATCTATACTAATATTATAAAGAGTTAAGTTTAGTTTGTGAGGTTGTGAGTTTCTGACGTTGTAGTTGTAGGAGTAATCTCTGGATCTACTTAACCGATTCAGATGAAATTTGGTGAGAAGACAGTTTGAGACCATACTAGGGGGGATAGTTTTTATCCCGGAAATCATCTCTTAAAGGCTGAAAGCATAAAAAACACAAAAATGAAAAATTAAAAATAACTAACCTGTTCCTTTTTGAGCTTAATAACAGTATACTCATTTGTTTCGGTGACCATTCTTGATGAAAAACCTTCTTTGACTACTTTCTTTTTAGTTTTTTTTCTTACACTTTTCTTTATCTGTGCAATTTGTAAGGATTCATCTTTCACAATACTTTCTTTGCTAGACGGACTTTCCTAAAAAACATAATCATTTTATTTATTTACTAGAAATTCATCCTCGCTCCGCTCTTGTTTTCCACTAATTACGTTTTGACGTTTGATATAGATTTGTCAGATATGAGATATTTTCCAGCAGTAGAAAGTATCGTATATGTTCACCCGGATAACCAGCAAACATCATACCAATTTTCATCAAAATCCCTCCAGTCCTTTTTCGGTAATGCCGTCACAGATAGACAGACAGACCAAAATTCTAAAAATTATTGATTCGGCCTCTGTATCAATAATAATGTCTATTTCAATGAGATTTCCCAAAAAATATTTAACATACAGATTTGACTCAAGTTAGAATTTTATTATATGTAGAGATATAAAAATATCAAATGTACATACCAATCTGTCTTCACATTCAAAATAGCTACTATTATCGTAATCATGATTTTCATTTAATAATACTAAGGGTATGTCATCTTCATCTAAAACATCAGATTTTACATCTTCTAATTTAACATCAATTTGCATTTGTGGCCCCAAATAATTATATGTAATAGACGATTTAGATAAATTATTAAGCGTTATGGGAGTTTCGTTAACCTGGAATCAATAAAAAAAAATAAGTGCATGCAATCTTTACGTGTGGTTGAAGTAAAACTCCTTTGGTGCTGATACTGCAATTAATTTAAAACAAATATAAATATGATAGTTTTGATAAAACTCTGAATAATAAATATATATTTTTTTATTGTTAAATATATCTTTAAACAAGCAATTCTTGTAAATATATATATATATATATATATATATATATATATAATAAATTTGACTCTCACATACGCAACACTCATTTTACCAATGTATTGACTTACCCCCAGTCATTCCTAAACAAGTTTTCCTTCAATAAATTATATACATAGTTTTATAAAGAAATATGTTGGGACATTAACATACATTCTACCATCTAGTTCCATGGTAAGCTATGAGGCCTGTGTTATAGATACCAGATACACTACACATATAATATAACTTTAAATAAATACAGATTATAAATATAAACACACATGACTAGAGTACAAACATTCGTGCTCATCACACAAATGAATTCCCCCATTGTCAGTTATGTTCATAAAGAAACATGTTTTTTAAAAGATCATAATCATACCTTATTTATAGCATCTTGAAACCAAAGGTCAGCAGTCTGGCATTGTTCTATAAACTTCACTATCTTTCTTAATAAACTCCTACAATATATGCATATGTATATAATATTTAAAGGATCTTCAACCTGTGAAAACAAGAATCTAAGTCATAACTTTGTATGGATATTTTTTGACAATATAACATAAATTCAGTATTTATAGTAAGAATAAAAATATTTTTTTTTATGCCATAATATAAATATTATAAATGTCAAAGTTTGGATGAATGTTTGTTAGTGTCATTCCAAAACGGCTGAACGATCGGATGAAATTTAGCACAGAGATAGATTATAGTCTGGAATAGCACATAGCTTAATTTTTATCCCGGAAAATGTACGGTTCCCGTGGGATAGATTTGTTTTAATTTTTGACTAGCTAGGGTGAGTAGCTAGTAAAGTATAAAGAGTAGAAAAAGTATTTACATGCCGTTTTCTTTTTTAAGTATAGTTCTATATTTGATATTTATTTTGATTTGATGAAATAATACGAAATTTTTTATTGACGTTTCAGGAAAGTGTACATAATATTAAAAACATACCTTTGTTATAAATAACCGGTAATATTTTAGATCTTGTGCTGTCATGGGATTTACATACTCCCCCGTTCTCAGGCAAGCTTGGCATATTTCCATTTTAAAATAATTACTAGAACACTTTATTCCATTTAATATTAACGATATATTTCATTTTTTTTATCATACAGTAGTAAACAAACGCCTAAAGAATACAGAATAGGAATACACATACAATTATTTTTCTGTCATTAAAGATTGACACTTCATAGTGAGGTGCCATTTTCAACGATGTTATGTTAATATCGATTTTATTTTAGCTGTATGACACATTGGTTAAAGGAATATATTATTTCGAATTTCTTTAGTTCTGCCTGCGCAGATGTCACTTCTAACAAATCATTGTATAATAATGAAGAAAAATGCTAATAAATTAAATTTTATATGTCCAATATTTCTACTAAAATTCTTATTTACTATTAAATAAAAAAATAATTTGCAAAAATAAAAAATCCGACTGCGTAAAAAGCTAACTGAAAAGATTGATGAAGAAATTTATGAAATCAGAAATTCGAAAAGGAATCTTTCTTTACATATTTTAGTGTATTGTTTTTTGTTCTTCATCTACGGAACAACGGATTTACGAGATATTGTACATGGAACCAATATAGAATAGAGCACAATGCAAAGTTAATTTTTTTTTCAATGCAATTCTCTTGTTAATGTCTTCAAAACGCGCTAGTAAAGCACAAATTACTTCGCCAATGTCACGTAGAATGGAGAAAACACTACGGAGATTAATCGTGGAAATCAAGATTATCATTCTAAATTAAATTATAAAATATATTTCTAAATTATTTTTTTAGAAAGGGAGTAGATCTTTTGTAAGTGTTGAATTTACAAGAAATGTTTTTTTTGGGAAATGTAATTCTTTTGAAAGTTTTATCGGTATTAGAGGCGAGAAATATTTTTAACAGAGTGTAACGAAACCAAAAGGAGGGTATATGTTTGACCTGTATATATTGGGTATATATAAAGAAAACTTAGAATTTTTCGTTAACTTGTTCTCATCTTTCAGCTTCAGTCAGTCTCTTTTAATTCCTTTTGATATAAAGATTTAACATATCATTTGCTAGCCACTAGCGTAATCCATCATCTGGGTAAGTAGTTATTTATAGAATCTGCATGGTGTTAGGTGTTCATAAAAAGGAAAAAATATATCAGTAGGTATCATTTATTTTATTAATAATATTGGACAAATGTACAAACAATTAATTTAAATAACATTATAGGTACAACAAATATGTTAGCTAAATATTACAGACAATTCATTTATATCTATATTTATTTACAAAAAATGGTCTTTTTAAATGTATGATATACCTAAATATATTTTATTAAATAATGAAAAAATAATAATAATATACTTTTTATTCCAACGCTTCGAACACTTTACAGTCTTCCTTTGCGAACATAGATAAATATACTTTGTAGAAATATTAGTATTTGCCTATGCAAATCCAAACGAATGCAAAAGATGTTTGCGTATTAATTGCGCAAATAGCCTTATAATACATAGTTAAGGGTTGTTGTGATTCAGAATCTCAATAACTATATAAGTTCTATAGGAAAATAAAAAAGTGTGTGTGTGAGTGCAATTCACGCACAGCAGAAGTGAAACTTCAGAAAAGTAACCTACGAGAGAATGAGATGAATATAGAATATCAGGAGTAGAATTATTGTAGGGTTTAGTTTTTTATAATATTTTTACCAAGTTTAATAGTTACTTTACATTTTATTTAATGTATATTACATTACATATTATTTAGTATTATTTTTATTATTTTTCACTTGTGTGTTGTAAGTGTAACGTATTCTATCTCACTCTCTTGCCGGCTTAATCCTGCATATTTTTGTGTTTGTCTCTTTGTCGCGACGCATTTATGTTTCATCGAGTTTCAAATCACGACTCTAAAGAAATTTCACTTCAAAAATAATATATAATTAACAAACATTTCAATTGAATTTATTTTCGGCAATTAGATTTCCCTAGAGGTTGTTTACGAAACTAACAATAACTGTTTACATTCCTAGGTACCATGTGATGCCTTGATCAGTCGACGATAGTTCTATGACTTGCCGGTTGAGAATCTACGCACTGCCAATAATTAAATACCTCGATTAGCCTTAAATAAAAAAAAATTTAATAGCTAAATAAATAACAAAAAAAAAACGGTAATACAAAATATTGTAGAAGTCCACCTTATCTTTGAGGCCATCAATGTGATGTTTTTAAACAACTTAAAGAGTTAGAGTATGCTTAATAGGGCTATTTCTTTTCCTTGTTTGTACAATACGCGTTGTTTTTAAGGGCCTATTTAATTGAACACACTGTCCTCGATGATCACATTTAAGGCACACGACTACTTTTTAACATGACACATTCAGATGATTGTGAGATGATTGAATAACGCCAATTAAGACAGGGGAAGGTTTTTTTGGGTTTTAGTGGGTAGTACTGGATTTGCCGGTGAGTCCCACACCGCGTGCGTAAATGCATTTCCCAACGTTAAAAAAAAGGGTCACCTCTGAAATAAAATCGATTTTTCAAAACTCGAATGATGCAAACTCGGCACTGCGACAATCAAGAGCATTTAGCGCGGTTATCTAATATTTCCATAGGCCTTGTTCGCACTGCTATATATCACCGCGCGATTTTTATTCTCGCGTATTATATTCCGTGATCGAAATTGTACTTATTACACACTGCGAATAAAATTTCGTACGATTTTTGTCAGTTTGATGCAGTTCCCGACTGAGACAAACGTCTAAAATGATAAATCTACTATATCTACTGAGACATTTTAGTAATCTAAAATGATGTTTTTCTACATTAAATATCAAGAGTTGCGAAAATACAGTAAAAAGTTTTTGGGATATTACAGAATGACTACAAAATCATTCGATAAACCAATAGCGTCGGTGCACGACTGAGCGAAACGCGCGAATTTTATTTCGCAGTGCGGCCATAGCCATACATATTATATACTGTACAAAACATTCGCGCGGAAATAATCCGCGCCGCATCGCGTTCAATTTGCATCAAATCACAGATTTTTTTTCCGCGCGAATTTTTAACCGCCAGTGCGGATACTCCTATAAGATTCAATGTGTTACAGAATTGCGAGAATAAAAACGTGCGGTGAAATATCGCAGTGCGGACAGGCCGTTAAGTTTAAATCACTTCAGTGCAGTCTAGTCTATCTACAATACATCCCACATCAAAAAAAACGTGTGTGTGTACTTATGTATGCACATAAGAAGTTATACTTCTTTGGTGTAACAGAACAAAAATAGCTAAAGATTTCATCCCATATGTCACAACTCTCTGTTTGTAAAAGGAATGCAGTTAGCTTCATCATGTCACTTTTCGGCTGTCGGTGTGCGCGCGCATCGTAAAAATTATACTCTCATATTTTTTCCAAATGTGCCAAAAGAAGTAAAACTTCAAAATTATGACTATTTTTTGTCTCAAATGCTTCTAGCAGGCTACAACACAAGTTAAATTAATAAAATATTTAAAAAACAATATAGCAGGTAAAGCTAAAGTGTGATGTTTCTAAAAAATGTTGGTAATTAATAATATAATAAATAAGGTCAGATTATTATGTGTTATTAAAAAGAAAATAAAATTTAAATTCAAATAATGTACAGACTTTAGTTTGTACAAGTATGTAAATAGCACTTTTATATTATGCTTTAGTGATGTATAATAATTAATTATTAATCTTAAGCTATTATTGCTAAATTATATTTTATAAATAATAAGACCCCCATTAAATTAAAGTTAATTAAAGTGATGTTTTGATTGGGAATGATTTCATTGCTTTAAAATAATTTAAATTCAAAGTTAAAAAAAAATGATACATAACTTCTAACAGACAATGTCATACAGAAACAGGTGTTAGACTTTCAACTTTACTGATATGAATGTTCATTCGTCGCTTACGCCTCCTGGGCTTATTGCATTCATGTCGTGCAAAAAAGTATGACCTCTTAAAAGATATATTACAGACTTTGCAATGATGTCTCTCTACTTTGCTGTGTCTCTCCTCATAATGCTTTTTAAAGGTGCGTTTTAACACTTTCATGTTACATATATCACAGGTTATCAAGTGGCTTCTTTTGCCCGTTGGATAAAATTGAGTTAAATCTAATATTTCTTCACATTCCTGTATTGATTCGGGAATATTCTCCTCGCATTTTCTTATTAAAAGTAAATTATGACTTACTTTTTTAATTTCAACTACTGATTGAGAGTTTAACACTTTTTCAAACCATACTTCGTTTACTCTTTTATTAATCGACAGTGGAATTTTAGCCTTTAAATTGTAATGTTCTCGCCTTATGTGATATTTCAAACCAGCACTGTTTGAAAAATGCTTTGCACATATAATACAAGTGTTTCTTACGTCTGGATTTTTTATGCTGGAAAAAATAAATATTTACTATTTTCATAATACATATGTATACCTTTTTTGAACTTATTATTGGCATAATGGGAAAGTTTCATGATGTTTTTAATATTATATTTAGTGCAATGGAATTATAATATAGATCAAAACTAATAAATCAGTGAAAAAAAATTGATATCTATCAATAAATGACTGAGAAATTAATTTAAATGTTGGTAATTCAGGTAGTGTGACGTCACAGAATTATTCTTACAAGCCACTAGCGCAACTTAGGTTTGTAACTTTTTCATTTGTTGACATATTTTAATAATTCTTTCATATTCTTGTTATATTTTACTTAAATTTTTATTTATAATTAATACATAAAAAAATGGAAACTTCTCCAATGTAAAAACACTAACATTGTAATATTCTAAACTTACTTTTTATCGTCGTGAATATAAAAAGCATGTGTCACGAGATTACCTCGATTTTTAAACACTATTTTGCACCAGCTACAAGTGCGGTCAGAAAGACATACAAGTACATGTTTACGCATTCCATGTTTTGTCGTTATTTTTTTATTACAGTAGTGACATAAAAAGTATTTATTGAGGCTGCTCGTGCGTTTAAATTCAGCTTTGTTTTCCTCTGTATCAGTTCTTACACTTTTTACGTATGCCATTATTAACTACTTAAAATTAGGCATATTTTTGGATAAACATGTAGTATATTCCGTACCAAACGTTTTAAAAATACATGTTTCCATTATTTTATCGGAAGATTTGGTTTTAAGCTTACGTACACGTTTTTAAAGATATTTATTTATGTTATTTACTTCATATTTGTAAAAATTTTGCATCAGCTGTGTCAGACTGTCAGTGTGATATTATGTCATGCCACTCAGCTGTCTATGGCCACAGACTATCAACTATAATTATACAACCAAAGAGAACAGTAATTAGGAAGATTTTTCGAAAGGAGAGCGCCACACGTATGGCTTATTTACTATATTCAGTCTGAGGTTAAAGCAATTTCATATAATATCTCTTTCTTAGAATTACTTTAAATTTGGTATTATTGCTTTTCAATACAATTAAATAAATATGTATTTTAGTATTTTTCGAAATTCAATCCTATAAGGGGGTAAAGTAGAGTATGTATGTGAGTATGTAATTTATGCGTAACAAAGTACAAAAAAATATATTCACCTATAGATGATTTAAGAATTTTGAAATCACTTGCTTTAAAATGATGTCCACAAAGCTTCAAATATAAAGATTGTAATGCGCCAATTTTGGTCATCTTTTTGCTTTAGCCTACAATTTCTTCAGTTTTTGTCTATTAGGAACAAATGATATCCATTTTCTTTGCATCCTGGCACTGCAAAACTTGTCATTTTAATTAAATTTTAAATTAAACGAAAAAAAAACCCTCTACGCTATATAGCTACAATATACTTAGGGCCATAGTGATTGCGACATCAGGTGGGTGAAAAAGGTTTAATTCTAACATTTTTTTAAATTTTTTCTATATTGTAAGATTTAAAAGTTGTAAACTTTATAAATAATCTGTAGGCAGTGGACTATAATCATGGATGACAAATAAAAACTATATTAGTTTGATTGACAATTGACATTTGACATATTATATCATAGAGTATATTGCTATTTGCTACATATATAAATATTAGTATATCATAAAATTGAGGTTAAAAATTGAATTTTAACAAAAAATATTAAACTTGTTGTTCTTTGTCTGTGCCCTGTGGTTCATGAATATTGAATCATGATAAGCCGTGTAACTATGTCCAAATAGCAGCTTGAACATAGCAACGAATTTAGTTAAATTGTAATGCTGTTGGGATGACATAACAGGCATATTAGAGAAAACATTAATAATGTTCATACATAATAAACATAGATGATTTAGTAAGCATAATTGTTAATTTTATTTTAAAAAATTCTGCTTAAACTACATTAAAAATTTAGCTTGAAGATAATTATCAATAATGGAAGACAATCCAGATGCACGGGTTTTTATAGAAGTGCCTACAGATAATTCATTAAAAGATTTTAACACAGAAGAGTTTGTGAGCACTACCAACAAGTAAGTTCACTATTTTGGTTTTATGCGTGAAGGGTCGATACGCGGTCCTATTACTAAATATATACAGTTCATCAAACACTAAGAGTTATTAGGTATATTAAATACTGAAAATGGGTGGTATTTTTTGAGGTATGTTTTAGATATTTTTGTTTTGCCCATTTATTATGAATGGTATGTAGCTCATAAGTTGTATTATTACAGAGGTAATAGTAAAAGAAGTAAAGAAATGGTGTCCTCGCTAGAGGTTGTTTTTAAGAATAATCATTTTATTATTTATATCTATCAATAGCTATTGAGTAGTTTATTTGATTGTTAATATAAAATAAAATAAAAAACTTTCTTACATTTGATTTACTTATAATAAAATATATAATTTTCAGAAGATTAAAATGTCCAGAATGTAATCGGTATTCGGCAGTAAATGAAGAGCAGCTAACACGACATATAACAAAAGTCCACCGTGGTGAAAATCCTTTTCAATGCTCAATGTGCGATTACAGTACTTGTAATAAAGTGTTATTTGAGGAGCATGTTCGCATTCACCAAGGGATAAAACCATACAAATGCTCGTTTTGCCCACATACAAATGTGTCAAAGAAAAATCTTAAGAAACATGAGCTTATTCATCGACCGGACAATCCTTTAAAATGTCCAAACTGCCCCCATATAGCAAAACATAGAAGAGCACTGGCATGTCACAAGAAGAAGTGTAATGGAAACAATAAATTGAAGTGTAAATCCTGTGAAAAAGTGTTTTCTGAAGAGTCTCTAGTGTCACATAGAAAAGTGTTGAAAAAGTGTGATCAGTGTTCGTACAAAGTTTGTACTAAAAATTTGCTCTCAGTACATAAAGTAATGGAACATGGAAAGCAGGATAAGCGCTATAAAAAGTCAAAAATGGATATTTTTAAGTGTGCGATCTGCAAATGGTCTTCGAACAGCAAACCAAGAATTCTTCTGCATCTGATCCATCATCCCAATCAAAAAGTAAATGAGGATATTATAGATATATCGGTTTTGAGAACACATGGAATTATGCCATAGATATATAAAAACATAGATATATATTTCCTAACAAATATCCCTTAAAAAAGTGGATTATACATGTGACGTTATAGTAGCCCAAGAGGGGATTTATGGAGTTACTAAAGCACGGCAGATTAACATAAGGGGGATACCTTGCATTCTGTTGAGTACCTCCACCATATATAAGTCCTATATATAAGACCGCGCGTCTAGGGCATCCGATCAAAATATTTAATATCTTGAAACCATCAGATTAAGGTATGATGGGTTAATTACATCCGGAAAAGCGTGCAATTCAATAATCTACCGATTTGCACAATTGGCTTACTTATTATTATAGCTTTTTAGTTTTAATTACGAGAATGACATTGATGTTCATAAATCTAATTATTTGTATAATTAAAAATGATGGAACCAAAAAGTAATAATTTTTTTATTGTATTAAAATTGCATGGGAACTTGGTCACTATCTTTAAATCTGTATTAAATACATCATGTCATCATATGCTATATGCATACGCATATTTACGTTACCGTTTTAATCGAAGACACATTTGGCTCAGTTTGTAGTGACCCTACTTGCTGTGTCTGCGGTCGCGGGTTCGAGTCCCGCTGGGGCCATTAATTTGTGTGATGAGCACGAATGTTGTACTGCAGTCATGAGTGTTAAAGTTATATATATGTAGTGTGTCAACTATCTGGTATACATAACATAAGCCTCGTAGCTTACCATGGAATAGATAAAATTAATTTACTAATATTTAACAACTGTTTTGAGTTTGCTATATAAGGAAAGAAAAAAAAATTAGAAATTATTTTTATATTACAATGTATTTTTGGTTTTTATAACTTATAATGTGAATTTCATTGTTATTGTTAAATAAAAAAAGCTTTTAATTGTTAAAACTCAACTACTTATTAAATTTGATCCAAATCCATCCCTTTCAGTGTAAAGGAGAAGGAGAACATCAGTTTACAAACCAAATGCATTTTTCAATTCGGCCATTTCAATCAAAACGACTGAGTAAGTATTTATCACAAGAAATAAACACATTTTTGAAGTTATACTTCTTTTGGCACGTTTGGAAGATATCATGAGATTAAAATTTTTACGATGCGCGCGCACACCGACAGCCAAAAAGCGACATGATGAAGTTAGCTGATAACTGTTTTTTGCTAATTTTGTTCTGTTACGCCAGAGAAGTATAACTTCTTACGTGCGTACATAAGTACACACACACGTTTTTTGTTGTTATTGGCCGGCCCTTGGACTATAATTATTTTTAAAATAAATTACTGATTTTTCTTTATTATTTTTTTTATTATTTATTAGTTTTTTTTTTAGTGCAGTAGCACCCAAATTCATAATTTATTTATAAGCTTCAAAATGTGTAAAAATAGACACAATAAAGATTTTGAAAACTTAAATAATAAACATTTTCAAAATATAAATATGTAATTGTACATTAAAAAAGAAAAAAAAGATCTCACTGTTGTTTTCGCTAACGCTTAGCTCTCAAATATCTATAACTCTATATTATTAGAAATCGCACATTTCGACTTTTATTAGCGACTCGCTCTCGCTTCGCTCGGGTTTTCCCCATGGTTGATTCCCCATACAAACTTTCATCCCCATTTTCACCCCCTTGAGGGATGATTTTCGGAATAAAAAATATCCTATGTCCTTCCTAGGGTCTCAAACTATAATCTTACCAAATTTCATCTAAATCGGTCTAGTAGTTTTTGAATTTATTCGTTATAAACGTACAAAAATACAAATCTTTCTTTTTTTATAATATTAGTATTTTGTATAGATTACGTAAGAATGGCTTTTACCCTCAACCCTCCCGAAGAGTATTTATTGTAATTGTGAATTAAATAAAAATACATGAAATGCCTATTTAATTTTATTTTCCATAGCCCGGTCTTCTTTCATGTGGCTCTAGAATGTGTGTTGGACTGAAAAAATTAGAAATTATTTTTATCTGTGATCATTATTTATTTATTTATTGTTTACTTCTCTTCTTAACCAAGTAATCTCATACTAATAAAAGAAATTGTAATACTCTTACCTAAAGTCTCCAGCGAGCCATCCATAATGTCCCATTGACGTCGTCATCTCAGTAAATCTTGCAAATTGGATATACCTACAATCGGAATAACTATCTAATAAGAAATGAGATAGTTTGTACGTGTGCGTTTGTTTGTTCCTCCTTCACGGTAAAACGGCTGAACAGGTTTGGATGTCGTACACAGACTAAGAACTCGTATAACATATGGGCTACTGATACAAACATACAAACAAACAAGCGCGCTCCAACCTAGACCTCATCAGTGCTTCCCAACGCTGATTGTAGTCAAGCGCAAGCCTATCGTACAATAAAAAAAAAGCGAGGGCAAGTCGCTGGTTTTATAATAATCATAACTGGTTCGATGGTTCAGTGGCTAGCATGTACGGCTGGAGGTCCGGAGGTCCTGGGTTCGAGACCCGGGTTGGGCCAAGTTTTTACATACCCACTTAGTTTTTCTGTTAAGGTATTCTCAGCAGTAGTCGGAGCTGGGAAGTTCGCGGTGTTTCACCTACGTGCCTCGGAGAGCACGTAAAGCCGTCGGTCCTGCGCATTAAATCTCACCGGTCGTATCTAAGTATCGTCCCACCGGACTTTGAGAGTAAAAGGAATAGAGAGTGCAAGTTATGTCTGCACTATAATATCTCCTGCAGTCGGGTGGTCTCAGTGAGATTTCCGCTGTGGCCGAAATCGATCGGAATTACATTAATAATCAGAATGATAATTTAAACGCCTCACCTGTTCGCTGCACAATAGGACCAACTTAATGGCGAACTTTTAACCATTTCTTGTTGCCCTGGCGGCGGACTAAATTCTTTAACAAATAATATTGTAAAAATATTAATATAAGTTATAATATTAACAAAATAAATTTATTTTTATTATATATATTAATTTTATTTTCATTTTATTATTTTTATCTATACATATAATAAAATTGTAACTAAGTCGAATCTGTACATTAAATATTTTTTGGAAAATCTTTTTGAAATAGACTTTATTTTCGATACAGAGGCCGAATCTATAGTTTTTAGACTTTTGTCTGTCTCTCTGTCTGTCTGTCTGTCTATTACCACATCACGGGAAAACCACTGGATTGATTTTGATGAAATTTGGTATGGTAATAGCTGGTTATCCAGATCAACATATAGGATATTTTTTACCGCGAGAAAATGTTTCATTTCTGAGAAAAAATACAAAAGCTGGAATGTACGAGTGTACTAATATGTAAAACCTAAGAATTTGGTTTTTGGTCATCTGAACGCGGGCGGAGCCGCGGGGAATGCTTGTTATTAATAAAATTATAATATAAAAAACCATTGCACCTTTGTTTAACAACTGACATCAAAATCAGTATTAAGTAAATAAGTATTTCTTCCTTTGATTGATTCTTGATTGTACTTTTTTTAATTATGTAAATTATGAATAGGTGGGTGCTGTGTGTATTACCTAACATGTTTGGTTCGTTCATGATCTTTTCGCGGTTACTTTGATTTTTGGTTGCAGACGTTTCTTATTACAGCAACCATGGTTACGAGATAGACCGCGGTAAATTTTTAGAAGAGAAATAATTAGAAGTCACTTGTCGGTAATTTCAATCATATTGGTTACGTACTCGTATAATGTTTCATTCGCGTTAAATTTGTTCGATTATAAGTATCAGTTTTACAATAATGTATGTTCCTCCCTTGTGTAGTGGCATAGGTATATAGCCTATAGCCTTCCTCAATAAACGGGCTATATAATACGAAAAGAACTTTTCAAATCGAACTAGTAGACCTGAGATTAGCGCGTTCAAACAAACTCTGTCTCTTTATAATATAAGTATTTTAAGTAAACGTAAAATATCAGCCTGTCTCGTTGATCTAATGCCTAACATGTAGACGAAACTAGGTTCGAGACCCGAGTCGGGCTAAGTATGGTCGTAGGATTTTCTGTGAAAAAAAAACTCAGCAACGGTATTGGAAAGTTACCTAGTAAGGAGCATTGTTATGCCTCATTGCCTTTGAGACCATATAAAGCCGTCCTACGTCCGATATCTCATCGGTTATGTTGAAGTTCGTCTAATCGGAATTTACGAGTAACAGAAATAGAGAGTGCACATGCGATTGCTAGTCTTACATCCCTATTTAAAAACTCTAATGTAACATTCAGTTATTTTATGGGCCAGTTCGTAGATTTTGACAATAGATTTTTGATATGTCAAGTGGGCAGTCGGTGGTTCGGAATATATGAGTTAGGAATATTAAAATATAAATGTAAAATGAGTATACAGAAAAAGCGAGAAATATAATTGTTAATTGCCAAATACTTGTCTTCCTGGAAAACCCTTCTGAGCTGTTTTAATAGAAACCAATACATATTTATTTCTTTCTATGTGGCTTTTGTCGCTTTTGATGAGATCATATTGGAGTTTTTCAATAGGGTTCAGAGGATATTATTATTAATAAACAAAATAACTTACCTCTCCAATTTTTACAATAATACAAATCTGCAGCACAATGACTGGAAAATGTAAAGAATTTATAATAAGGCCCATGCCCTCTGTTAACCCCAACACACACGGGGCTGTACACGTTGGGGCAGGACAGGGGGCACGTGTGGAAGTCAAATGCTGTATCCACTTCGTATAATGTACTCATTTTATCTTCACGCAATATTGCTTTGGTTGTGACTAAAATATAAAGACTTAAAAATAATGTAGGATTGCATCGATCAAAAAAGTACTAGATACACAATCCCATTATACCTACACGTCCCTAGATACAAAATTTACAATTGCCGATAATATCGCGTAATATCTTAGAAAAAAATATTTATTTTATATTTTCTGCTTTTTTGAACGGTCTAAATATAAAAAACGGATAAAAATTAGCAAAGTATAACTTACATTTAGTTTTACCGACAGATTGAGTAGTTTTTGTAATATTTTGTCCTTTTGAAACATGTCTTCTTGATTTGAAGTAATTTTCACATGTACCATCTGACACTATTGAATATTCTAGATAAAATATTATCTACATATAATAGGTGAAGAGAAAACTTCAACGAATGAGAATTCTTACAAAGGGATACACCGTACACCCTTTTTAAGAATATTGTGCGTTCGGAGGAGTATGAGCTTTGGTATTGTTAAAGTTTAGAATTAGTTGTAAAAAATGTTTTATTTTTTGGAAAAAATTGCGTTTTTTTAGAAAAAACACCTATATAGATAAACTTAAAAAGCACAACCTTATCTAAATACAAAATTTGATCTAAATTGTTACAGCCATTTCAGGGATACTCGAAAAAATATTCAAGAATTCTCTTTTAATATTATTAGTGTCCAGACACTTATTCTTTTTTCATTATTCAGATTGCCAGCAATCCAGTCGGGCGCAAAGCCAAGAAACGTACTGGATGGCGGCCCACCTCGGTGGGCGGTGTACCATGCGGGTTGCTCCTGGTATTTTTCTGATAGCAGAGTGGACCGTTGTCTGCTTCGGCAGACCTGCCGTCGGTGCGTCGTAGTTGAGTGCGTAAGCGATCCTGCGACGCCCCATTAAGACGGGGGAAGTTTTGGGTTTTAGTGGGTAGTACTGGCTTCTCTAGCCGGTGAGTCCCACATAACCACCAGTATGTATACAGGCGCATTTACGCTTAGTAAATGCATTTCCCAACATTATAAAAAAAGGAAGCTATAGTTACAAAAAGCAAAATATGCGAGCAAATCTATAGGTAATAAAAGTGAGTCAATTAAGAGTCACAAAGCAAACTCACCATTCTCATAATAATGACACATATTATTAATAAACAGGAAACAGGAATTTTTAAAATTTAGATACTCTATTTTGCCATGAGACAGTCGCATCGCACACACGGTAGAATCATTACTTTTACATATATCTATATTGTTTTTACAAATTTTCTTCACATTTTCAAACTTTAAATGTTCATTATTTTTAAAATTTTCCTTTAATTCAGGAATTTTTACAGTTAAAGTATTGATATTTATTATTAAGAAATTATAAAGTATTAATATTGTACATATCATGGCTTTAGTGTGTATTTTAATTATTTTTTTTATTGCTTTGCAGTTGAGTGTATAAGAGAAAAGTTACTGTAATTTTAATACTTTATTAGATTTACGCGAATATTTGACATTTTAAATAAAACTATCTTTTCGGATTCCGCGGATTTATTTTGATTTTTGGTTCTCGACGTTTCGTTTCGTTTTTTGCCACCCTCCGAATTGTGCCACCCCTAAAAATTTGCCGCTCTGGGCATTAGACCCGAGTAGTTCTAGTGTAAATCTATAGCTCAAATAAATATCAATAGATGGCGTTATTTGCATGGATTTGTTATTGATGTTTACACACACACTCTCACTCACATTCCGGTGGGCGACACGAGACATGACTAGTGAGAGTTGAGGCGCAGGACCGACGAGAAATCAAAATGGACATAATTTACATCCTGCCTCAAGACAGACTTATCAACCTCGTAGTTAATCTCAGAGAGATAATTAAAAAATAAATAAATATATTGGGACATTAACACACAGCGCCATCTAGTTCCATGGTAAACTACGAGGACTGTGTTATGGATATCAGAATATATAACTTTAACGCTTGAACGGTCTCGGATACGCTATCAAGTCAGTTAACAATTGATTTCCCGGAAACTAACCACGGAGGCGTATAGATACATATTATTATAAATAAAAAACTAAAATATTTGTTCAATGTTTTATTAAAAGCTGTAAAAAAGACAAATTAAATATTCCATTATATTCTATACTCGATTACTCATAAACCATTTACAAGATTACATTTTCATTATTTTCTTAAAAATATATATCATTGCATCGTTTCTATAATATATTCGTCTCAAAAAAAAATTTCTTTGGTTAGATAAATATTGGCCTAAGTCTTATTTTTAATTTTTAATAATTAGAGTGAGACGGATATATGTTAGAAAGAAGTGCAATGAAATTTACTGTGGAAGTATTGATTTATTTATTTATTATGATGTCAATATTTTTCATTAAAAGAATGTAGTATTTTATAATATACAGATAATATATGTATTTAAAAATGTTAAAATGTCGAGCTGCTAGAGTAAAATGGTCTAACTGTATTTAAAAAAATATGTAAAAAAATACCAATATTTATTTAATAGTTATAATTATTTTAAACTTAATTTTGTTTCTAAAAAAATTAAATATTTATTTATTTTTTAAAGTTTGGCATTGCTAAAGATAGCGATATGAAGAGGATAGAGAATTTGTGGTGTTGTCAACATTACACCATTTTTTATATATTTCTTTACTTGCGACGCCCAATGAAGTTAGGATAAATGCAAAGAAAACATTGAGACGAAATAAAATATTACAATATTTTAGTTTTTGTAATACTTAGAGGTTATTATCGCGATATGAATACGATGAAAATAAGTAAAATTAAATAATTAAATATGTACATACGTTAGTTTGTATTCAAATAATAGATATTCTTCTCATGTATAGATTTTCTCTCCAAAATCTCGATAACGTGACATTTTGAAGCACTATATTTTAGATATTTTTTGTTACTTTAAATGTGTTCTATCTATACTTACCAGTTACGTCATGCGCCGCTACTTTAAAAAATATTAAAATGGCGGCATGTTGTTTATGCCAATATTAGGTCATTTTACTCTGGCAGCTTTATTTGGCAGCGTTACAGAAATATGTAAAAATGTCTTAAAAAATTAGAATTTCAGTGTTACCATAAGATATTTTTATTTTACTTATCGCGGGTCCAAGTGCAAAATTGACTAAGAGATATTTTTGCAAAAATCGATTTTCAATGAAAGTAAAATTTATATGGCAAAAATAAAATATTTGTTTTTTTTTTTGTAAATGAAATGTTAACGATTAGGACTTAGCTATTTTTACTTTTGCACCCACGATATATTATCTGTTTCAACGAAAATGCAATAGATTTGAAGATTATATTTAATTAAATGCTTAAAAAACAATTTATGGCAATTTCTAGGAACACTAATACCACGTACTATTTTGAAAAATGACTTTTATTCGAATATATAAAAATGAAAAATGTTATTTTCTATTATATTAAATATACATAGATTGATATACAAATTTTTAAATATTGCTTATAAAATTTTGTACTAGTAAATATTTCTATACAAAAAATATTTTCTAAAAAAAATAGTTTATCAAAATAAATCGTCACTATTTCAAAAAGAGCCGTCAGAATATAAGATCAAATAAAAAATATCTAAATAAATATTTTTTTAGTTATATTATAAAATAATTTAAAACACATCCATTTTTCACTTATAAAATTACATTTTTGAAGTTATACTTCTTTTGGCACGCTTGGAAAAAATTATAAGAGTAAAATTTTTACGATGCACGTGCACACCGACAGCCAAAAAGCGACATGACGAAGTAAGCTGCATTCCATTTACAAACAGAGAGTGGTAATATACGGGATGAAATATTTAGCTTTTTTCGTTCTGTTACGCCAAAGAAGTATAACTTCTTAAGTGCGTACATAAGTACACACACGTTTTTTTTATATTTTTACACTTTACTAGATGGCAACAATCTCATGGCTTCCCTGTACCCAGAGTCACTAGCGCCGTGTACGGTTGAGAAATGAATTAAATCTGTGGCTTCTCCCGCGAATAACACCTTGGGAACCCCCGCCTCGTCGACGAGGGGTTCCCCGAGAGTCGCCCGCGCGTTCGGATACTCGTGCATCAACAAATTGTCATAAGTATAGCTACCGCGTGTGAATGGATTCGAAAACCATTTTGATCTGTAATAGAATTACATTTACTTATTTAAAATACAATTTTTTATATATGTAAAACAATTTATAGCCACATTTTGACTAAATTATAAAAAAATTGATTTACTTACATTACTAATATTAATGGGAAATTTTATATGTTTACTAGCGAATTTCATAAAATTTTGTCCAGTGGCTTTCGCGTGATGTGTTCCCAGACAGACAAACAAAAATTCTAAAATTTGTAGATTCGGCCGTTGTATCTATAATATTTCAATAAAATTTTCCAAAAAAATATTGAATGTACAGATTCGACTTAGTTAGAATTTTATTATATGTATAGTTATAATATTCACGTGAAAAGGCACGGACGTATTTGTATGAAATTTAATACACAAATAGACTGAGTAACACAGGCTACAGTTATTAATTAAAGACATACACACACGCACGCATGTACGCACACGTATAGAAACTTTTAAATATATATAATATATATTATAGTACGATTGATTTTCACTCACCTAATCATGCCCGTAGGTTCTGGCACGGTCAGGTCCTTGCCAAGAAACTGTCTCAAGAGTCCCATCACTTTCCTCTTCACGACGTCTTCTGGTAACGTTTCTACCTACGAGTTATCAACATCAAATTTTAAAAAAATAACTTGTTACGTTTATTTAATTAAAAAAGAAAGAATTTGAGAACATTTTAAATAAAAATATTATTTTCGAATGCTGTACAGCAAACATACATAGTTAAACGAGAGATATAAGTTTTTGATGTCTCAAAAGTTATAAGTCGCTCGAAAAAGATTAAATTATTCTAAAAATATATATCATATATTCAAGAATTAGGATCCGCACTGCAGCGCAGAACACTCGAGTTTAGATCATGCCAGAATATTTATACCAAAAATCATGCAAAAGCGGTCAGTCACTAAACATATTTTGTACATTTTGGTGATCACGTGAGTGGTTTTTGTATGATGTTAGTTATAGGTGAAGCTAATGAAAGCGTATTAAAAAGCGTTATTTTTATTAATTGCCAATCGTCAAAAATATCACGGTATATGAAAAAATATATATAGTCAGCTGATAGAATGATAACATATCCCTTTCTGGAAATTAGATTACGCCATAAATATTTTGTGCGATGCAGTTTGCGAGCGGTTAGCACAGAAGTGGTAAATGCAAAAAAATATTAAAAAAATGCATACAGACATAATATGTGCAAAGAGAAAAAAAGCAAGCAAACATTACAAGTCACACCAAAGCTTTCAAATTTTGGGTACAGTAAAAAAAATAAAATTTTGACTTAGGTCGTTTTAACACTAACGCACTGATATATTAAAAAAACAATTCACAGAAACAAAACGTACCAACTTTCCAACTTCACCGCTAGTCCAAAACGTGATGGCCGTCCTCGAACCCATAGGGGTGCTACACGCAAAAATCCTGGTCGTCCAATAATCTTCTTTACTAACTTTTTTCTTCTCTTCCGCCCTCCAAAAGAAACCGAAAAATTTGCCACTCGGCAACCATTGCTTCTCAAAATTTAATATAACTTTATCCATAACACCGATGGATATTTTTTCGATTATTTTTACTTTTTCCTGCGGCAATGACGGTAAGAAAAGCTTTGAGTGTCTGCAATTCGAAAATTTTGATTTTTGTTTTCAATTTTTTGAGTTTCATTGAAAAAATCCAATTTTCACATAATGAAAAAAACAGCTATAGACAATGCTAATACATATGTAAAAAAGGAGGTTACATTGTAATTCCTTGAATAAGATAGAGACGAAAAATAAAACGAAATAAATACATGTATAAACGAATGTAAGATCTGTATATATTGTATTTAGCCCCTTTTAACGTTCCACTGTTGGAGGTGGACCTTCCTACAATACGAGAGGGAGGCCATAGTCACTATGCTGGCCAAGTGTGGGGGCAGAATGAGCATGTCTTTCGAAAACTTTCCTAGGTTCTGTCAGACATGCAGGTTTCCTCACGATGTTTTCCTTCGCCGTAAGGTGACCATGTTGGAAATGATTTGCACATGAAAAATCAGACATCAGACCGGGGATTTGATTCAGTTTCACTTGGTTTTCCAAGAGAGTGCGACACCACTGGGCTACCACTGCCTTTAAGATCTAAATAGCTAAAATCTAAACGGTTGAACAAAATCAAAATCAAATCTGCGTCTTCAAAAAATTAACGCAGAAAATATGTGAAAAACTTAGAGAAAACGTTCTTAAATTTTAAGACGAAACTCTAGGCAGTTGTTCAAGTTACTAAGTTTTTAATAACTTTTACGTATACGAATAAATATTGATGATTCTACGAAATCACTAAAATCAAAATTAAATTGAAAATTTGTACGAAAGAAACCACCGACCTAAAAAAAACAAAATAATTTCTGTAACGAAAAATAAATAGCAAATACAGATAATTAATCTGTATAACACAACGTTTTGTTATACCAACCATATTGCCGAAAAAATTAATCACCTTCAAGCGTTTTAAGGCATTTTTTTATTTCATACATCAATACCATTCCCTATTTAGGGCATGCTCCGTGTCCGTACAATTTCATGCAATCCCTAAGATTCCCGATATATCCCGGTAATTCCCCGGTAAATACTAACCAATCTAGTCACATCCCCAGAAGTCCATAATGTGACAGTATTAGAGGAACCACTCGGACTGGTCACTCCCTCCAATTTTGTCAACCATGTATCATTGCTAAAGTTATTTTTATCTTCGGACCGATAAAAAAACAAATAACTGTTGCTACGCAACCATCTTTGGGGGAAAGATAATATAATTTTGCCTATAACTCCAAATGACAGTTTGTCTATAGCTGTCTTTTTTGTCTGTGGTATGGGTGGCGATATTAGTGTCGAATATCTGGAAATTATCTAATTTTGGTGTACTTAGCCTTAATTTTTTTATCGAATGGTATATAAATATAGTGATATTTTTAGTTCAATTTGAGCTTAATGTTAATTGAGCCCTTAGTTTAATTATTTAAAATATTGTGCTTGGCCAAAAATCATTTTTTTTCTGTTCTTAATAATATATGGCGTTGCCAAACAATGTAAAAATCTATATATATAAAAGAAAGTCGTGTTAGTTACTTCGCTTATAACTCAAGAACGGCTGAACCGATTTAGCTGAAAATTGGCAGGGAGGTAGTTTAGAGCCAGGAGAAGGACATAGGATACTTTTTATCCCGTTCGACCGCGTTCCAATTTTTATGATATTTTAATTTTTGGATTTCTCTTAGTCCGGAATAGGTAAGTATTAAAACATATAATTAAAATGTGAGAAAGAAAGATTTTTTCTTTTTATATCTATTTAAAACGTACCTAGCGACGAACCCGAGCGAAGCGAGGGTGAGCCGCTAGTTATTTATAAAATAACTAGCTTGAGCAGATATCTTACCTCTCTTTCAAAACCCCAAGTGAGACGGTAACAATAACATTATTAGCTCTATACACGTCGCCATCTTTGCACACCACTTCGACATTTCCGGTGGAGTTTTTCGGCCATTTTATTAGAGTGACTTCCTTGTTTAATTTTATGTCTAAAGTTGGCCAACCTGGGCCGTTATTGTAAGTATTCTGAAGTCAAAATATAAAATAGTTACAATAAAAGAAACTAACTATCAAAATTGAAAAGAAAAACGTGTGTGTGTACTTATATACGCACGTAAGAAGTCATACTTCTTTGGCATAACAGAACAAAAATAGCTAAAATAAATTTCATCCCATATGTCACAACTCTCTGTTTGTGAAAGGAATGCAGCTAACTTCATCAAGTCGCTTTTTGGCTGTCGGTGTGTGTGCGTATCAGAAACATTTAACTCTTATAATTTTTTCCAAACATGCCAAAAGAAGTATAACTTGAAAAAAAAAGACAATTTATTATTTTGAGATGAAATAAGGAAAACTCACCAATAAAATATCAAAAAAGGTTTTATAACCATATCTATGCCAGCTCATATGTTGATGCCCATCCAACTCTTTATATTCAGTCTGTGCGCTGACGTCATTCCAGTCATCGGATGCTTCATAATTATTTATAAGGAGATTCATTAGCTCTAAAAATTCATTTACAAAATCCTCATCTTTTAGGACGTCTGGATGGTTTTCTTTTAGGTAGTCTAATAAACTGGAAAAAATATAAATATTAAATAAATAAATAAGTTGGGACATTAGCACACAGCACCATCTAGTTCCATGGTAAGCTACGAGGCTTGAGTTATGGTTACCAGATAGTTGATACACTACACATATATAACTTTAATACATATTATAAATATAAACACCAATTACTGGAGAACAAACATTCGTGCTCATCACACAAAACCAGCGGGACTCGAACCCACGACCGCTAACACAGCAAGTAGGGTACAACTAAGCTAAACGTGTCGTCGAAATATATAGAAAATTGTATTAGTAAAATCCCTGTTTAAATTTAGATATCTGCGAAAAAAGATATTAAATAAAATATGAATAAAAATTATAAAGTTAATCATTTTAAGATTAGTTAATAGTTTAATGTGAAGAAGCAAATGCACCCCCCTGGAAATAATTCTACTGCCGCCCATGAATAAGACTCACCTCCTGGTTATGAATTTGCCCAAAGCCTCGGGTTTTTCAGGGGGATCCTCAATCCTTGCCAAGCAGTAGTCCAACAATTCATTTATCAAACTATCATTCGCCATTGACCCATCCGACTTGTACACCTTGAATGTTAAATCCTGAGGTACCACGGATATGTTACTTTTGATCGCCGTTTCGTATACTCTGCTCATACCAGTGCCATGGATCCTAAAATTTTATTTAGACACGAATTAAAAAAAAAGCAAATCTAAGCTCAATTATTAAGACTTATTTAAAATAATAAAATTTGCGTCAAAGTGACATAAGTCCAAAAATATTTAAAATGAAAACTACAATTTGTTTGTATTTAGTTATTCAATTGTTTTTGCTTTATAAAATAAATTTCCAACTTCTATAATAACATAACGTTTTTAACGTTGTGCCACTTTTACACTGAGAAGATGATTTTTTTTTGTGGGTAATTAAATAAATTAAAAATAGATATGTTTCAGTCTAAATTTGAAATATTTTGCAATAAAAAATATTTTCTAGTAGAATAAAAAAAGAAATATCCTAAGTTAGATTCTTCCCTATTCGCACTTTAATGGATTCGAGTGAAACTGGATGAACATATTACGGATTAAGTACTTTTTACTGGCGTACCACGCGATCAAAAACGCAAAAAACCTGTATGGTTGTAAATGAACTAAGAATTTACTCTGGTTTCGCTCGGGCGCGTCCCTAGTTTCCTAGTTCTACTCTTGGCTATAGTTTATCTGTTCACTAAATTTCATTCGAATCTATCCAGCCTTTTCGCGGGAAGGAGTAAGAAACTAACATACAAACTTTCGCATTTTTAAAAGTAGTATTAATTATATCACGAGTTGAATCTCACCATTCTGCGCCTTCTTCCACCACACCATCACCAAATGGAACAGTCTTCACTCTACCCCCAATTCTGTCTTGGGCCTCCAAAGCCAGGACCCTCCTCCCGGCTTTGGCCAGAGTAGAGGCTGCTGTGGCACCTGCTGACCCCAGGCCTACCACTATCGTATCATACGTAGCAGGCATGGTGGACCTAATAGAGAAATACGAAAATTGTATATATTGGTCTCTTTCAAACCTATATAATGGCTTTGAGAATGTGTAAATTAGGCATTTTCTGGTATCTTATTGTTTAGGATTGAACTTAAGATTAGGGCACAAAATGTAAATCTAGTACGTAAAGTTTTGCGCTAATTATATCCATCATTAATATATTTTTTAAGCCATGTTATCTTTTTATCCAACTGCGCGCACAATGGAGGGTAATGTGTTTATCAGCCTATGTGTATATGTATGTTTCATTGTATGCGGCACTCTAGAGACCAGACGCGTGAGCTGATTTCGATGATTTATACGTCGTTACATTCGTCTTCGTAAATCTATATTCCTTCGTCAACTTGTTTTCATTTTTAGTTAGCTTTTATACAGTCGGGTTTTTTCTTTACAGTATAAAACAAAGGCGCTTTTCGCGTCTGTCTGCCTGTATATCCGCTAACTCCTCCTAAACCACGCAATGGATTTTGATGCAATTATCATCATCAGTTAGATAATTTTTCACGGAAGGTTTGTATATATAATAAAACTCATAAGTTTTTTATGTAGGTAGAAAAATAACAATATTTTGCAACCAAGTTACCGAAAAATAAAACATGGCTTACGTAGGCTAAACCTTAAGAGATACATAAAAATGATGTACAAGAGAATTGTAGTTTCTAAAATCCGCGGTGGCATATGTCTATTTCTTACGAATAACACACAGTAACCAGTTTTATTTGATTGAAATTTATTTTTAACCGACTTCCAAAAAGTAGGATTCTCAATTCATCGGAATCTTTTTTTTTAATTATAGGTTATATATACTATCTAAGTTATTTTAACAAATATAATAATTATCCTCATAATTAAATAAGTCGGTTACGTTGGGCATTTAACGTAAATAAAATTTGCTGTTTACAGTAAATTAATTATCATTAATATTTTTGAAGATATCACAAATTTAAAATTGCCAAAAAACAATATTCGCGATAACGTCCGTCCGCCCGCGGCCCGAGCGGCTGTGGTGCGTGCCTAATATAATAAGATGTAATAGAGTCGTTCGTATGTTGTACTAGGAAGTTTTATAATTTTTTAAAAAGGCCTACTGAACCAAAAAACCAAACCAAACCAAAAAAGGCCACAAAAACCATTCTTATCTATTTAAAACGTACCTAGGGACGCCAGCGGTGCCAGCCGTTACAAAGCAAAGCATTACCGACTTCGAAAATATTTGATTAGTTATCTATAGTAAATGAAAACTACCAATCAGTTATTTTTTACATTTTAGTGCTTTTTTGAAGTCGGTTTTTATTTTTTAGTCAAAAGTTTTCTTAACTATGAACTGCTTCTAAGAATTTCGTGGCTAACACATTTTACTTCACCCGGAACTCGAACACAAGACCCCATAGCCTGTATATAGCTGTTTTAATGAGCCACTGCTATTTATTTTAACTGTATGGCGTTAAGTTCACTTGTAAAATAACACTTAAAATTACCTCATCCCAAAAAAATCCACATTTAACTTGTAATAAACACTTCTCCTACACTTTTTTATGCTTCTTAATATAAAATCATTATTATAAATAAACTTGAAACGACGAATTTTTGTTAACATATTTAATGCACGTTGCGATAATAATTAAGAATAAAACCGGAATAAAGCCATTATAATATTCAAATGATATAACTAATGTGTCTTTATTACATTATAAGCCATTAGAAAGGTTATATTATAATTTGAATGAAAATTTTTGTACCAGACCCGCCCGAGGCCCTTTTAGATTTTTATTGTTTAGTTTTTGGCGATTCTATATATGCCTTTCATTTGTTTAAATATTAACATGCTATCTCCCTCTATATTTGGCGGTAGGTAACGAGTAGGATAGCAACATATTTCAGTCGCAGCTATCTCATTGGTCTCATCACCATTTGACGTCTCTGTTTTATATAAACATATCATTTTAGGGTTCCGTACCCGATGGGTGTCAGGATGTCCGTCTGTCAGCAGGCTGTACCTCATGAACCGTAATAGATAGTGAGTTAAAATTTCCGGGTCAACATATAGGATATATTTTACTGCGAGAAAATATCACAACTCTGAGAAATCTATACTAACCGTTAAAACGTACCAAAGGACGAATCTGAGTAGAGCAAAGGTGAGTTGCTAGTATTTTATACTATTACTAGCGACTCACCCCCGCTTCGCTCAGGTTCGTCCATAGGTATGTTTCAATGGTTAGTATGGAATAGAAAGATTATACATATAATATATACAAATGAGGAAGGTAATTTTAATAATAAAAATATAATAATTCAGCTCGTTTAGTGCGTGCTATCTCAACGTGAATGGGAAAAGCTATTTTCCACCAAACTGGCCATAACCAGGTCTTCACAAAACCAGCTAAATTTACAATATTTTACATATTCACCACATTAACAAGTGTTTATCACATTGAGAATGATTCATCATTTTCAAAATGAGTGGTTAGCAATAGAACAGTTACTAAAATATATTTCATATAATGCTTGAAATCATGAAATTAAAAATAAAGGAAAAAAATGATAAAACCTACTTACTTGTGAAATACTACAACAGATGAAATATAATAACCAAATTTATTAATAAACACTGATTACTTCAAATTTCATTATGATAATGAATATGTATGATCGTACACTGATTTATATCAGTTTTATTAGTGAACTAGTGACTTACCCTTGCTTCGCTCGGATGCATCCCTAGGTGCATTTTATTTTTTATAATAGCAGAACCCTAATTCTTTTTCTAAAATATAAGTAGCCTAAGTTACTCCTTATATCATAAGCTATGTGCCAGTGAAAGTGCCGTCAAAATCAGTTCAGACGTTTCAGAGTTTTGTTGGAACAAACAGACAGACAGACAAAAATTATAAAAATTGTGTTTTTCTTATAAGTACCACATAATTTCAAATGCTTTTAGTAAAAAGCTGTTATTTTGACATTACACACAGACACTTCAATTTTATTTATCTGTATAGACTCTTTATAGATTAAAGATATGTTTTATCAATTAGACATACTCATATTTCCATTATGTATAAAACATATGCTAAAAAATTTGCATTCAACTACAGTCATTTATTGTATAATACAATAAAATTTCTCAGTATTGAGAAGTTGGGAGATGAAGGCAGAAGAAAGTCAGAGAGAAAATTGACTTTTTTTAGCTTATAATATGTCCCATAGATAGATGGAGGAATTGTAATAAAATAAATCATTAATTTTTGACAACTTTAAAAAGAGAAAGACTTTAAGTATGCCAAAAAGTCATACAGATGTGATTGTTTATGGGTTCAATGGTTTTATGGATATAGGTACCAAACTCAAAACACTAAAATAATTATTATAATTACTATCTCATATTATCTTATGCTTTTATAAATTATAGATAAGTAAAGATTACAGGTAATGGAGATTTATTCATTATTCCAACTATTGAATCATAAAAAGATTACCCCTAACAGCAAATTAAATAAATAAATGAATTTAAAAAATATTATATCCAATAAAGCTGAATCTTTCAAAAGCTTTAAATTATTTATAATTATTAAAATATGGACTTTATAACAGGGAAAAACAAAATTACTAAACAAGCAGACATTTCATAATTATAAGATTATTAAATAATTTAATCTTCTTCAAAAAGTCTTTTCTCTCAGTAAAATCATTAAAACCTATTTCATCCAGAATTTAATCGTATGGCAAACAACAGCTAACGAAATGTTACGATATAATTATTATAGACTCTAAACATAACAATGCCATATAATAAAAAAAAAGCTTGAATACCTTAATCTGACCACTATTAATATTCACAATTGATGTAATACGTTATATAATTCACTTTTAACTGCCGTTTAATAAGATTTTATTAGTTTTAATAGATAAATGTGCTTAACTAAACAAATGTTTGAGTTTGATAACTTTGACATTTAATCTGTCATTACATGTGACATGTGTTGTTTGACGTTGGGGTAGACGTTTAGAAACTAAAGTTAAATATTTGGTTTCGCTTCTGTTTTTGTGGTTGATTTTCAGCCTTTTTATAAAGATTCGAGTTATATAAAGAATAAAAATAGTCAATTTTATATTTATTTATGTGGCTGTTAAGTGTTAAGACAACAACAATTGAGACTTAGGTAGCACGGAATTCTCGCTGTGTAAGCTAAACTTGCGTTTGTTCAATTTTTTTGGGTTTGTTTGACTAATATTTTGTTTAATCTATACATCTACAGAGATAAATAAAATTGAACTGTCTGTGTGTAATATACAAAATAGCTGTACTGATTTTGACGGGACTTTCACTGACAGATATTATAAAGAGTAACTTAGGCTTCTTTAATTAGAATAATAAAAAAGAATTAGGGTCCCACTCAAAAAACAAGTTAAAAAGTAACCACCCACCGATATAAATCGCTATTAGTATATAATTATACAAAAAAAACTGTTTCTTTCGTTCTTTTTATCTATTTTACAAATCAACACATTATGTATTTATCACTTAGCCTTGTATTATTATTATTGTTATCGTTCACCTATGAACTTAAAATATTTACATAAGATAACATATCTTAACACGCCTACAGGCAATTTTTATTTAAATTGAAGGATTTTTATTTTAAAAAAATATGAAAATCGGATAATTGACAAAGATATCGGTTAAACTTCACACAGAAGTAAAAAAAATACGGCCGATATTAACTACTTCCACCTCATATTAGAAAATGGTCAAAATTTAAGCAAAAATGATGTCCTATGAGATTTTAGCGATCGCAAATCTCACTGAGACTAGACTAGACTGGAGGTAATATTATAGCGATTTACGGTGAGTGCGCAGACATAAAATCAATTTGTACTCCTTACACTGGTAAAATTCTTTGATACGACCAGTGAGAGATCTCCTTGAAGCACGAGAGCGTAGCACCGCCCTTTTCCCAACTCTGGGCAGTTTACCGAGAATTTTTGACAAAAAAAACCCCAAAAACTATAATTGGGACTCGAACCCAGGACCTCCGGATCTGTAACCGTACACTTACCACTAGGTACTTACACTTACAATTAAAATAATATAAATACTCACGCATTGCCCACAGACACCACGAAGGTTAAAACAGCTATCTGTATTAGAGTTCTCATTGTACTAATGAACTGATGTTATGCAAAATATATATATATATATATATAACTTGTTTATATCGAAAATATTAATATTCATATTATATATTATAATAAAATATTATTCGAGTTTCAGTTTGTGTATTGAAATTTAAAAAATAATAATCTTTTTTGTTATTTGTTTTGATGCTAGCCATCTCAACAAAACTAGTGTCGACGGTGTCAATCGTGCATTCTACAATGCGGATAGAAAAAAAGGTGCGTGAAAAAAAAAGTGAAACTTCAGAAAAGTAACCTACGAGAGAATGAGGTGAATAAAGAGGAGTAGGATCATTGTAAGGTTTATTTTAACATTGAAAATGTTTTTTTGGTTGCTTCAGTATAGGCCCGATTTTCAGCGAAAGTGCGACATCGCCCTGGTGTCGTGGATTTTGGAACTACGTGTTGATTGGGATGTTAAAAGATGCGTCTGAATGAGGGCTACAAAATGCGATAAAAAATATTTGAAAATACTCAAAGACTTTTTTTTAAATCGAAAAAATGTGAAAAATGCGGTCACTTTGCGCTCAGTTTCGGTCAGAAAAAGAAATCATATCTCGAAATGAAATTAGATATCGAAAAAAATAAAATAAAAATGCCCCTAGATACATGACTTCTGAGATCATTTCAATAAATATTGGAGGTGCATATCACTGATGGGTTATTCAGAAGTTGTACCTTTGTGACGCTGAGTTTATGCGAGGAGAGTGCGTGCGCGAAAATGCCAGTGAATAAATGTTTTAGAGTATGATTTTGTTTTTGAACCGAAGTGATTCTTTGTAAATAAATAAATATGTATTTAAACTAATAACTAACTAATTTGTACGTATAGTAAAACAGTAACCAAACGAAATTTATACGTGAAATATTTTTTCAAAACAATGACTGTAACGTATTGTGTCCTACAGACCCCAAAACAATGATTATGAACATTTTTGTCTGTTTGTCTGTATGTCTGTTTGGGTGTGCGCGTTTCACGAAAAAAATACTGCACCGATTTTAACTAAATTTTGTGTACTGATAACTTATTACTCGGGTTAGGATATTTAAGATATCTTTTACTGCAGGAAAATAAAAGAAAAGGGAGATGAGAGACGCGGAGCGGAGAGGAGCCTGTTGTTGAGATTTGGCCTGTCTTTTGCAGTTCTTTTTCGCAAATCTACTTTTTTGAAGTCTGAACGCGGGCAAAAGCGGTTGTTCTGCTAGTAATTAATATGTTAAAAATTTAATTCAGTTCATTTGGCAGGTTCATTTTCAATGTACTGTAAGGTCGTGGCAGACACGAGAACTGTGGATTTTTTTAATAATATTTTTACTAAGTTTAAAAGATATTTTACAAGTTATTTGACATAAATAGACATTATGTATTATTCAGTAATTAATTTTATTATTTTTCACTTTCTGTGTAATGTATTCTATCTCAAATAACAACGGTTAACATGGCAACATGGCAAAGTATTCTATCTCATTTCCTCACCGGCTCGATCCTTTATATTTATCTCTTTCTCGTGCCGCATTTCTGTTTCATCGAGTTTCAAATCACAACGGTTCTAAAGAAATTTCACTTAAAAAAAATTAATAGACTCAAGTTCAAGCGTTTTTATACAGTATACACGTCAAAGTCACGGTGTTGTTTGAAAAATCAAAATAGTCTCGATATTTTTAGTTTAGCGATCATTATTTTATCGAATAATGCCGCTAAGTTGTAATCGTGAATGATTTCGATGTCGTAATCATTGATGATATCGATTTAGCGGCTCGTAACGATACTCGAGACTGTGAGACATATCTCATCATCATCATTATGAGACAATCGAGGCTGCCGGCTCGGGTTGCTAGTATTTTATAGTTTATCTAATATCTTTTTCAGTGTTATAGATCATGACACTAACAGAGAGATAAGAGAGACCAGCCATAGCGGCTATCAAAATATTAATTAAATGAAACTATCTTTCTAGGTAGGTACTTAGTCTCGCGGGGACACGCATGAAATTGTGAATTTGTGAGATTGTGAGTTCGTAAGTTTGTGATTGTATATATTGTAGGGGGTAATCTCTGGATCTACTGAATAGATTTAGATGAAATTTGGTAAGAAGATGTTTTGAGTCCCTGGGAAGGACATAGGATACTTTTTATCCCGGAAATCATTCCTTAAGGGGGTGAAAATGGGGATGAAAATTTGTATGGGGAATCAAGCGCGGGACGAACCCGAGCCCGGGAGTCGCTAGTCTATAAATATAATAAAAGTCTGGATGGAATCTGTACATTAAATATTTTTAGGAAAATCTTATTGAAATAGTCATTAATAATACAGAGGCTGAATCTGTAGTTTTTTGGATTTTTATCTGTATGTCTGTAACGTCATCACAAGAAAACCAGTGGACAGATTTTGATGAAATTTAGTATGATGATAGCTGGTTATCCGGGTCAACATGTAGGATTTACTCCGGGAAAATATCTCATATCTGACTTTTGAGAAATCTATACTAACCATTAAAACGTACCTAGGGACGAGCCCGAGCGGAGCGCGGCTGAGTCGCTAGTTATTTATAAATATTTTTTTCTCACTATATTGTGATATTATTATATGTTTAAATTCTATGTTTGGGCAAAATATTTTTTTATAGATTATTGTTATTATATTTTAAATTCCACAAAGACAACTTGTTTTCTAGTAGGTACCTACTTGATGTAAATAGGCTAACTTTGAATGTTAGTTTTAATTAATCAAAAAATATAAGTGGAAAAATAGACGATTAAATTATATAAAGTTGTTTTTTTTTAATCTGAATTGAACAATTTGAGCTAATAAGTTATTTAGATATACGAGTATATATATTAATAACGAATGTGAAAATGTCTGCGGGCGAGAAAGAAAAATACTCATCATATATCTACTTTAATAATATTCTATAGACTATACAATAATAAAATATATTCTATTAATTTACTTTCCGTTTTCTGATAGTAATCTTTGAGCTTCCCTATATCCGGTCTCACTTGCACCGTGGACAGTTGCGTAATGATCTAAACTTGTCGCTTCCCCCGCGAATAACACCTTAGGAACCCCCGCCTCGTCGACGAGGGGTTCCCCGAGAGTCGCCCGCGCGTGCGGATACTCGTGCACCGACAAATTGTCATAGCTATAGCTACCTCGCGTGAAGGGATTTGAGAACCATTTTGATCTGTAAATAAAAATAGATATATTATTTATCTGTTAATAATTAGTTTTATAAAAGTGACTCACCCTCGCTTCGCTCGGGTTTCCCTTTACTTTCATCCCCATTTTCACCTCCTAAAGGGATGATTTCCGGGATGAAAATTATCTTCTTACCAAATTTTATCTTAATCGGTCCAGTAATTTCGGAGTTTATTCGATACAAATAAACAAACAAAAAATCTTTCCTCTTTATAATATTAGTAGAGGCTTGGGTTGAATTTAATTTATTATGCGTTCCTAAACCATTGATCTGATTGTGACAACACTCTGGTGAGTTGTTTTGTATACGCCTGTGAAGGTTCTAGGCGCAAAAAAGAATTTTTCTTTGGAAGTTTGATTTTATGCGTTCCTAAACCATAGTACCTACAGCTCAAGTGTAAGTTGCTAGTTTTATAATGAAAATTGGAACTCGAAACACCTTTCTGTTTATTACGAAATTTGTTTTAAGTCAATATACAATATACATTATACACATACTCGTAACTTTACAAAATTTAAAACTTCAAACGAGTGTTTCGATGAACAAAAATGTGGACTTACTGTATGCACGTAAGAAGTTATACTTCATTTTCTCTTTTTGGCGCAACAGAACAAAAATAGCCAAAGATTTCGTCCCGTATGTCACAACTCTCTGTTTGTAAAAGGAATGCAGCTAACTTCATCATGTCGCTTTTTGGCTGTCGGTGTGCGCGCGCATCGTAAAAAATTTACTCTCATATTTTTTTCCAAACGTGCCAAAAGAAGTATAACTTCAAAAATGCAACGGACGCATTCATTTTACGTTTTGAGGTATGAAACAAAATAATTACTCACCTCATAATTGATACTGGTTCAGGTACAGTGTATCTTTCGCCCATAAATTTGCGTAAGATTTCTATCACTTTAGTTTTAACAACATCTTCAGGTAATGTTTCGATCTGAAACATAAAAATATTAGTATTTTAAATAGTTAAGAATTTGTTATTTATAACATAAAAAAATCTGTCTTCAAAAAAAAACTAATAAAATAATGTTGCCATTATTTATAATATAGTCTGTTCAATGAAGAATATAATATTATGTACAACAAAAGCAATTTAGTCGATTCGTTTATTTGAAAAAAAAACAACAGATGTCTGTAGAAAAGAAAACATTTCAATGATTCTACAATAATTTACCATTATAGAGATCGTTTTAGATGCATCTTCTTTACTTTAATACTTTCTTATATTTACGCGAACACTTGACATTTAAAAAAAACTATCTTTTCGGATTTTTTCGTGGATTTATTTTGACGAGAGAGTAAGAGTCTCCCGTAATCTTGATTACTGTAAAGCTTTCGAAACATCAGGAACCAAAAATCAAAATAAATACACGATAAAATCCAAAAAGACAGTTTTATTTGAAATATCTTCTGTCCTAATTAATGATTCCAAAAACGTTTAGATAAGACAAACTTTTTTTATTGCTGATCAAAATATTTTGACAAAGGTCAGTCTTTACAACCTACAGAATACATACCAATTTAGCAACATCACTACTCGTCCAACATGTTAGCGCTTCTCTAGACCCCATAGGCGTGCTACACGAAAATATTTTTGTGACCCAAGAGTCTTCTGGACTGATTTGCATTTTTTCCTCTGTTCTCCACAAAAAGTTATAAAATCTACCTCTTGGCAACCACTCCTCGTCGAAGCACAATATAATTTTGTTAATAACTCCCATGGACATTTTTTCTATAGCGGTTATCTTTTCTTGTGGTAATGGTGGCGAAAAGAGATTTGAATACCTAAAAAACACATATAGATACTTTAATATTGTCTCGCAAATCATTATTATTATTATATTATAGTATTAGCAGTTCTGAAGACGAACCCGTTTTAAGAAAAGGACCACAAAAAAAAAAACAAACCAGTTCTTTAATTTTTTAATAATACTTTCTATTAAGTATTGTTTTTTATAATGCGAATATATCTTTGGTACAAGTTTTACCACAAATTATCTGGATATAAACAAAGATTGGAGAAATAGATTGGGGATCATGTAAGGTTTACCTATTTTCTAGCCTAATAAAATACTAAGGCGTTACATATTTATTTATATATGTGAAGGTTCCTGGCGCAAAAAAGATTTTTTTTTGAATGTTTGTCTTTTATGTGTTCCTAAACTATTTATTTTTAGGGAAGTCCTAACGACTTCGGTTTAAAAACAACCAATGCATTCCATTTTTCCAATTCCATCCCATTCCAATTCCGCATCTATATAATGAATGAACCTGAAAGCGTCAGGTTCATTCATTATATAGATGCGGAATATCATCAATTCAGTTCATCCATTTCCCCAAGATAGAATGACTAATCAACATACTCATACATCTAATTACATAACAAGTACCTAAATACATAAAAATATACCTTTCTTTCAATACTCCAAGTGACACTGTAACAATAACGTTATCGGCTGTAAACACGTCGCCATCTTTGCACACCACTTCAACATTTCCGGTGGAATTTTTCGGCCATTTTATTAGAGTGACTTCCTTGTTTAATTTTATATCCACAGTTGGCCAACCTGGGCCGTCGTTGTAAGTGTTCTGTAAATAATAAGTAATCATAACAACTTTGATATATGTATCTTCTCTTAATGGAATAAATGGACTTTTCTGCGAACAACGGTTTTGATTCCATATTTTTTTTTAGTGGATAGCGTAAGAAAATAGAACACATGTTCTCCTGATCGATTTGAGTCACGACAGCTTATCTTGCTGTGACTAACCATGTTTGCAGAAGTTATTGTAGCGTAGTGCACTCTCTATACCTTATATTCTCACAATACAATAGGACGATAATCGAAACTAACGGTGAGAGATCAGACACTGGATCAATGATTAAACATGCTCTTCGAGGCACGTGGGTACGATGCCATCAACAAACCAATTATGGGCTGTGACTGTGAATTTCTTGCTAGAAAAACCCAATAACTATACTTGGCGAGACTCGTTGGGTTAGTGGCGAGCATGTAGGCCATACATGCTCGCCACTAACCCAACGAGTCATAGTAAAAGAAAAGAACAGCAATCATACACCAATATAAGTGAAAAAAGATGTCACAACAAAAATACTATAATCAACTCCTCTCTCTCTCTTCTTCTTCTTCAAAAAAAGCACGTCATACTTAATTCGAAATTATGCGCTTTTTTCAAATTTCTTTTGTTCATTTCTTTTCTGATGACAATATTAAAACGCACGTTGTTTCGTTTAAAAAAGTACCTACTTTATGTGGTATGCGTAAGTTCAAATTTGTGATTAGACAATTAGAACTTTCGATTTTTGATTTTTATTTATGGTTTGATTTAACGTCACATGTTGACGCCACTTTTTCAAGAGATATTTCTTAGGAAATGTATATCTATGTTTTTATATATCAATGGCTATAGTTCAAATATTTACCAGTAAAATTTTAAAGAAGGTCTCATAGCCGTATCTGTGCCATGATATATGCTGATATCCACCTATTTCGGCAAACCTCGACTGTGCACTAACATCGTTCCAATCATTTGCTGCCTCTGTGTTACTTACAATAAGACTCATGAATTCTATAAAATTCTCCACGAAATCCTTGTCTCTGAGCACATCCGGGTGTTTTTCTTCAAGATATTCTTTAAGCCTAAAAATATATATTTGTATATATATACTATATCTAACACAGTTTGGAAGGGAGAAAACTATCTTTTCATATTTCTTCACAGATTTATTTTGTTTCCCGACGTTTCGAATTTTTTATAGTGCACATGGTCACGGGAGTGACTAAGGTTTTACCAACCGAGCAGGTCATCTCACATCCCCGCAAGGGGAGTGGGGAGATGGTTTCAGGACAAAGCCCCCTGATCATGGTTTCTATCGCCGCCCACTAATGTGGACGTGTCCCTGGATAAGTCTCTAGGACTCGTTGAGGAGTCCGACAGGAAAGAACCATGTGCTGTGTGGGTGGTCAGCCCAACCGACTGAGACCCTCATTTACCCTGAAGGAGGTGCAGCTAGGTGAGACTAAGGTTTTAGACGTCTCAAAGGTCATGATATAGTTGTTACATACAGTGCCTACCGACAAAATTATACAATGATTTTCAAAAGTACAAAAATGGCACTAAAGTACCTTACAATATATGTTAATTTTAATTTTAGAGTGCAAAATTTGTTATTTAATATGCTCAATAAAAATCTTACTTCCTAGTTATAAGACTACCAATAGATTCTGGTTCTTCGGGAGGGTTATTCTGGACTTCCAAACAGTATCGCATGAGCTCGTCTAGAAGACCATCATTTCCTCTTGAACCATCTGACATGAATGCTTCATGTCTTAAACCTTGAGGAACAACACCGATGTTATATTTGACGGCAGCATCGTAAACCCGGCTGTTATTCGTACCTTGAATCCTAAAAATATTCCGAAAGAGAATTCTATTAGTAAATTATTTCTTAAAAATGGACTAGATAATTAATTTATGGGCTTTAGATAAATACACTTCACATATAACTTTAAATACATACATATTATAAATATAAGCACCCATGACTGGAGTACAAACATTCGCGCTCATCACACAAATTAATACTTCCCAGCGGGACTCAAACCTGCGACCAACTGTAGTCTGCTAGTATTGCAAGTAAGGTCACTAAAAACTGAGCCAAACGTGTCGTCGTCTTACTTAATGATTCCAAATTATTATTGGGAAACAAAAATTGACTGAGTAATATGACGTAATTGGTATTTGATAAACAGATATATAGGTACATATCTAATTATCTACTTACTAGCTATAAATTCTTGAGCAAAGCGAGCACCAAATACTATTATTGAAATATTATTGAACGTTATGCCTTCGACATTTTCTTTCATTTCTAATCTCAATCTATTCTAATATTATAAAGTTTGTGAGATTGTAGGGGGTAATTAATCTCTGGATCTACTGAACCGATTTAGATGATTAATAAGAAAGTAGTTTCAGAACCTGGGAAAGACATAGGATACTTTTTATCCCGGAAATCATCCCTTAAAGGGATTAAAATGGGGATGAAAGTTTGTATGAGAAAGCAATCTAAATTGTGGAATTGTGAAACGGGAAAGCAATCTAAAGCAATGTAAATCGCTAGTGTTTTTAATAAATAATTCAGTTCATTTGGCAGATTCATTTTCAATATACCCGAAGATTATGGCAGACACATCTGTATTTTTCTTATAAATATCGTATATACAATATATACCGTATAGAAAATAATACGCATTTACTAAAAATCTGTTATTTTAACATTACAAACAGGCACTTCAATTTTATTTATCTGTAGATGTCTGCAGAAGACTAGAAACGGAAATAGAGTACAAAACCAGCACTGACCATTCCCCACCAAGTTCAATCACTCCATTACGAAATGAAACAGTATTCACTCTTCCTCCAACCCTGCCTTGAGCTTCCAGAGCCAGGACCCTCTTTCCAGCTTTAGCGAGAGTAGTCACCGCTGTAGTTCCTGCAGACCCCAGACCGACTACAATGGTGTCATATGGTAGAGATGTTGATCTGTAAATTAGGATTAATGAAGCCATCACATACAGGGTCATTTTTAATTTACTGAAAACCTTTTGGGAATATACTATTTACATCATAACAACAACATCTGTAAGAAAATAAATATTTCTTAAAATTTTATTTTCATATCAAAATAAAAATATTTTTATTGCCCTTCTAAACGGTAGTTCTTCTAGCATCTGGTCAAGTTTAAATGAGTAAGTGCCTCCTCCTCCACCCCTCCCCCTCTACCGGACACGCGCTTTCTTTTGCTAATGCTGGGCTATTACCGTTTAGAATGAGCAATAAAAATATTTTTATTTCTGTAAAATTTAAGAATATTTTTTTCTTACAGATGTTGTTGTTATGATGTAAATAGTAGATTCCCAAAAGGTTTTCAGTAAATTAAAAATGACCCTGTGTAAAACATAGATACACATTTCCTAATAAATATCTCTTCAAAAAGTGCCGTTGACATGTGACGTTAAGTCAAACCAAAGAATAATATTCAAAAATCGGAAGCTTTAATTGTAAAAGACAAATTCAAACTTACGCATAATAGATAAAGTACTTTTTTAAACGAAACAACGTGCGTTTTAATTTTGTCATCCGGAAAGCGATTAACAAAAGGGATTGAAAAATAGCGCATAACTTCAAATTGTGCGCTTCTTTTTGAGGACACTTTTAAGACGCTAATTATTTCTTGAGTTTTTGTATTATGTTATTTTAAAACACAGTGTTTGGCCCATCACTTACTGTACGGATTTTCATACGGTTTTCATAAATAGAAAGCGGATTTGTTGTATGAGGGCACCGAGCTTTTTATGTATTTTAGTAGGACGACCTTTTTATTTAGTAGGAGGGGAGAGGGGGGTAGGGGGGGGGGTGTTGGCTAGGATAGACGGAACGCGTGCGAATTTAGATATTTCCTTCGTATTATTAAAACAAATACACATCTTGAAAATGTAAAGTGTATACCTACGTTATAGAAAACATATAGTTTTGTTATCATTAAAAACCTGATGAACTTCCTTGAAGTATTTACGCCGCACTAAAGGTTTATTTTGTTTTTAAGAGATCATTTTGTATTTTTTTCTATCGCAGAAACTACAAGTAATCGTGTTTCTAAAGTGTACGATTTATAGAATAAATCCTTAAATATCCTACATATTATTGCATAATTATAGTTTTAGTAATAACAATACAGCAAGGGATCAAACGAACGCAATTATTTCGTAATTGCCTCGGTTACCGCATCACGAGAAAACCACTGGACAGATTTTGATGAAATTTGGTATGGTGATAGCTGGTTATCCGGGTCAACATATAGGATACTTTTTACCGCGGGAAAATATCTCATCTCTGAGAAATCTATACTAAACGTGAAAACGTAACTAGGGACGAACACGAGCGGAGCGAGAGTGAGTCGTTAGTATATATCTAAATGACCTTTGAAACAAGAGACTAATGATGTGTAAATATTTTCGTATGTCCACGATAGTTGCTATCTGGAGAGATAATGAAGCTATTATATAGAGGTCCGTCGTTTATTTATTTACTTCTAATTAGAATGGCGGTGCCATAGTTACACTAACTAGATTATACATTATAAATTATTACAAACATAAAAGAAAAGAAAAAAAAACATTAGAAACAATATTAAATACCTACTACTTGGGTTCTGAGAATATTAATATCAGGGTTGTTCAATATTCTCAGTATATCTTAGTAGCTGAAGAACCAAAGTTGACCGTTTGTCATTGAATGGGTCCCATTGAACATTATCGTCAAAGAGCGCGTTGAATGATGCCAATGAACGGTGGTATAGGTGCCATGATTCGGGCAACAGTGCGAGAATATGGGACAACGAAAAATTTATTTTTTCGGGGGCGAAAGTTATTAGTAATTGGGGCATGAAGACGACACAATTGAGCATCAAGATCCGGAGCATCAACGTCTCCTCGCAAAATTCGGCACATAGTTTTTAGTTGGTCGCAAGTCCGTCTGACTTCCAAGAAGTTTGAACCTGAGAAACCTAAAGAAATTTGGTTGGATAAAGAAAAGGGTAATATCTATAGCAACGTCTAAATAGGTATTTCAGGAAGGCCTTTTGTACCTTTTGTTAAAATTATTTAGCCAAGGGTTTGATATGTTACTCTACCGAAAAATTTGAGTTTTTTAACAACTACAGCTTAGATTAAGAAATAATATAGACGGTGTCATAGGAATAAACATGAAGTCTAACAAAAATATCATTGTATTATCACAAACTAACAACAGGGTAGAATAAATGGATGGTACGTCTAAGAAAAGTACTTTAAATATTGACGCAAGTTTTGCTCAAAGCAAACATTACTTTATTTTAAAAAATACTAATAAGTAACTACATTTAATTTTTTTCAAAAAGCTTGGTAATTGAACCAATTAAAACTACAGTAAATTTTAAAATGTCAGTAGATATATAAGGAATAGAAATTCGTAGAATGCCCCCTATGCTCAGCTACCCCCGAGAAATCGGAGGACGCAGTGTTGAAAAATAGTTTTTTTCAATTTCTGGCGTTTTAAGAACACTTTAACAATAACCTCAAAGTTTTCGAGATATTTGCAGAAAAGTCGATTTTTAACTTTTTCTTTCAAATCAAATCAAACACTTTATTGCGAACTTGGGTTAGTACCTACATACATTTAGATTTTGATAATAATATATTTAATGTTCAGCCAAATTCAGCCTTATAGCATGCAATATTTCAATAATTAAAATATACCTAAAATTAAAAACGTTAACATATATATTATACATATTATTCAGTGTTATGTTTAACTTCCTGTGTAATGTATGTTATAACTTATATCATTCTTTTTTGGCTAGTTAATTACAATACCTATATACCTGCTTAAAATTATATATTACACCTTATCCAACATATAGTCTTTAACTGAATAATACGTCTTTCCCAATAGAAATTTCTTCAATTTATGTTTAAATACATTAATTTCATGAATTTCTAAAATATCAGGCAAATGATTATATAAAAGTGGTTCAGTACAAAACACACTCTTCGAGAAAATATTGGTCTTACAACACGGGTGGCGAAGCATAGCCCTATGTCTTACACTACTACAATTTTCAAATAAATATAAATTATTCTTAATATAATTAATGGTCTCATAGATGTACATACTTGGGAATGTCATAATATTATAATTTTTAAAATATGGTTTACAACTTTCAATCATTTTTAATTTAAATATTGCTCGGATAAATTTTTTTGGTGCTTTAAAAGCTACATCACTATCTGCCGAATTACTCCAAAAAACAATGCAGTATCTTAACAAAGAAGCGGCATAAGCATGATATACAGTTAATAAAGCCGAAACATTTACTGTTTTGGCCAACATATGGAGCGCATAAGAAAATTGTCCTAATTTTATGCTTATTTCCTCAATATGCTTTTTCCAATTCAAATTACTATTAATATTGAGCCCTAAAAATTTTGTTACATCGACTTGTTTGATTTGTTTACCATCAAAATTTATATCCAAAGCATTCAGCATATTTTTCCTATGTCTAAAAAATATTAAATTAGTTTCATCCAGATTAATCATGAGCTTATTACAATGCAACCAATCCATAATAATTCCAAGGGTTTTATTAATATCATTCTTTAGGTCGACTGTGTTATTGTTAGCAAAAATTATAGTACTATCATCAGCAAATAAGATAATTTTATGATCAGCAACATGTTTCCGTAAGTCGTTTATATATGCTTCTTTATTTTTAATTTCTAGAATAATCCTTTGATTTTCATGAAACTAAGGGAATATAATCTTAGAAATACGTATAATACATAACAAAAAATTAAAATTAAAATGTTTGGACATTTCCGAGAAAAGTACGTTTTATGGTCTCGAGAGGCTGAAAATCACTCCCAACTTCAAGTGGACGTTTACATTTAAAAAAAGTGGTTCTATTTTCAAATAGGGCCCATTCTTTTTGTCTTGAATTCTATTTTTGAAAAAATAAAAACATTGTATAGTCGCCCTATAAAACACCCTTAAAAATTTTAAAATTGGAGAAATCGATAATTTTTACTTATCATTAAAGAAGTGTACTTTATTGACCGAATTTTTACAAACTGATTACACCAATGTATTTTTCGGGAAAATACAAAAAAGATGGTATCGTTAAGTTTTTAAGTTGACGCTTATTTTTTATACAATGTCGCCGTAAACTTTGCAATTTGATGAGTCGTGAAAAAATAATAAAAGTTGGAATTCACGTAAAGTACCATTGCTTGTGTAGTTTTTAAGTTTAAGTCGGTGCCAGCCGATGCAAAGCAAATCTAATATATTTCGATACGTAATATTATTACCTGTTAGATGTTCATACCTTAAAATATTATAGGCTGGCACCGACTTGAAAAATATCTGATTAGATATCTATTCTAATGAAGACCTCCATTTAGTTATTTTTTACATTTTAGTGCCTGGAAGTCGGTTTTTTTTTAGTTTAGATTTTTCCGTTTTTAGTGTAGACGTAATAGGCAGATAATTTGTAAGAAGAATTTTTTTAATAATATATTCGATTAAACAATTTATTTAAAAAAATATATGTATTGTTGATTTTTAAAAAAAACCGCTCGACCGATTTCGATACAATTTATATAGGACCACCTGGGAAGTATACCTACCCTTTGAAACAAAAAAATCCAAATTGATTCAGGCGTGTTCGAGTAATCGGTGATCATACATAAAAAAGATTCCCACGAATTCAGAACCTCCTCCTTTTTGGAAGTCGGCTAAAAAACTTTATCAACGCTTTGCGTCCCCCCATTTCTCGGAGGTAGATGGGCATGTGGGGCATTTTACGTATTTCTATTCCTAATATACCTGCCAACATTTTAAAATCATAAAACTTCAGGTTTTCAATATATTTTTTTTCTCTTAAAAATAAACGGATTCCGATTGGTCTAAGAGTCTATGGTAAATCTCTGGAACAAATATGAAATCTTGGTTTCATCCTGTAGAAATGCTATATTTATTACCTTATTAGAGTTGTACTATATGTTATTATAATCTCCCAATTTTTTTTTAATTAATTTTATATTTGATTTAGCGACTCACCCTCGCTCCGCCCGGATTCGCCCCTAGGTACGTTTTAAGAGTTAATCATGAACGATGCTAATTCGTTCATGCAGTTAATATAGATTTCTCAGAGAAGAGATATTTTCCCGCAATAAAAAGTATCCTATATGTCGACCCGAATAACCAGCAGTCATCATACCAAATTTCATGAAAATCTGCTCAGCGGTTTTGTTGTGATACGTTCCCAGACAGACAGACAAAAATTCTAAAAACTATAGATTCGGACTCTCCTTAATGACTATTTCAATAAAAAATTTCAAAAAATGTTTAATGTACAGATTCGACTCAGAATTTTATTATAGTACTTTTATTAGATATTATTATTAAGATTTACTGTTTACTTTCCAGCATAAAATTTGTAACTTTGCATTGACTATACAGATTTGGATAAAACTTGGTTATCTATACTAAAATTATGAAGAGGTAGTTTGTGAGTTTGTGAGATTGTAGGGGGTAATCTCTGGATCTACTGAACCGATTTAGATGAAATTTGATAGGAAGATAGTTTAAAACCCTAGGAAGGACATAGGATACTTTTTATCCCGGAAAACATCCCTTAAAGGAGTGAAAATCGGGATGAAAGTTGTATGGAGAATCAACCTAGGGATTAACCCAAGCCAAGCGAGGATGAGTCGCTAGTTTTTAAATAAAACGGTGAGGATGGTCAAAAAAAATGTATAAATTAAAATACACAAAGTAAAAAAATGATTGACACTCACGAGCAATGTATATACAGAGAGCAGAGGATAAGAATAAGCGTCTTCATTGTACTGCTAATAAAATCAGTCTGACTTTTGACTGGACTAATTTATCTCCAAACATTGTTTACATGTTATAGCCAAATCATTAGCCTGTATAAATGTTAAAATTTCCAAGTAAAAATAATCATGATTTGGTTGGTTAAACTGCGGTGAGGCAAGGAGTGTTATGTGTTTGACCTGGATGTATGTATTTATGTATGTCCGACCCTATGTTCTCTCGTAACTACTAAACGGCGCAACCGATTTTGACGATTCGTACGTCGTTAGATTCATCTTGGTATCGTGAGTGTCATAAAATATATAGTAATATATCATTAAAAATCAAAATGGTTGATTTTAGACGCCAACGTGTGTTGAAAAAAAATTTTTCGTCCGAATTAATCAAGTTGGATAAAATACAGGTATTTAAGAGGCGATTACAAAAATATATACAACTTATTTAAACGGGCAATTCTTGTATATATATATATATATATATATATATATATATATATATATATATATATAATATATATATATATATATTCCAGTACCTGGGCTACCGACCTTTGCTCGGAGTTTTTGGCCTAAAGTACAATTTTCTTTTTCTTAAAAAAAAACTAAAAACTTGAATACATATAAAAAAACCAACAGTAAAATCTTTGTATGCGACCGAGATTCGAACCTGGATAACTGTGATTGTTGATCTTGCACTTTGGCCACTTGAACACGATGCTTATACCCGAGCGTGCAAATTACCGACCATAATTTGCGTGGAATAATGCAAAAGAAAACTGCATGAAAACTCGAAACGACGCGTTTTCTCAGACATAAGACTAATCTAGATCGATTTACCGCCCCCGAAAAACCCCGTGTACTAAATTTCATGAAAATCGTTGGAGCCGTTTCCGATATTCAGATTACAATAAAAAAAAATAGTATTATTATTCGCCGATAGATGTCAGAAAGAGTCATTTTTTTCAGTTTATGTTTAAGTGGCAATATAAGGATTACCCAAACGCCACCGTTTTATTATTTTTCAACCGACTTCAAAAAGGAGGAGGTTCTCAATTCAACTGTATTTTTTTTCTTTTTTTTTATGTTTGTTACCTCAGAACTCCGTCATTTATTAACCGATTTGGACAATTTTTGTGTTGTTTGAAAGTGTATACTTCCAGATTGGTCCCATTTAAATTTCAAAAAAAAATACCACCCCTAAGGGTGGAAAAATAGCTAATGATGAATTTAACCTACTTCAAATTGTCATATTGACTTGAAACTTTGCAAGTATTTCTATTTCCGTTGATAGTACAGTGGTTCGGTATTGTTGATCTGATCTGATGGTAAGGCCAGAAGATGGATAGGTGGAACTCTCCAACGGCTAATAGTAGATACTTTGAGTTTGTGCTTGTTTTGTTTGATTTGACAAGCCTAATACGTTAGAATTCTTACTTTGCTACAACTGTCTACACTAAAAAGGGAAAAATAAAAACTTTTTAACAAAAAAATAAAAACCGACTTCAATCAAAAGCACTAAAAAGTAAAAAATAACTGATTGGTAGTTTTCATTTACTATACATACCTAATCAAATATTTTCGAAGAAATATGTTTATAATATATATATATATATATATATATATATATATATATATATTTCTATTTGTTTTTTTTTTGTTTTTATTGTCTCTAAGGAGGTGAAAATGGGGATGAAAGTTTGTATTGGTAAGCAAGCTAGCGACGAACCCGAGCGAAGCTAGGGTGAGCCGCTAGTAGGAACTATTATCACTCAGTAGTTACACATAATAACAAAGCAGTGTTATCACGAGTCCGAAGTCGTCGGAGACACTCATACGCAGCTATTATATAATATGTACATAAAAACAAAAACTTCCACATTTATTATAATATGTACGATGTTTGTTTTTACAACAGGATCCTATAAAACGTTCAAAATACTAATAACTATAAATGATTTTCTTGAAAATAGCACAGAAAAAACTATTGAAGTATTCTACAGACGATAAAAAAAAGTGCGGTGTATTTATGTACGCACTACGCACGTAAGAAGTTATACTTCTTTGGCGTAACAGAACAAAAATAGCTAAAGATTTCAATCCGTATGTCACAACTCTCTGTTTGTAAAAGGAAAGCTGCTAGCTTCATCATGTCGCTTTTCGGCTGTCGATGTGCGCGCGCATCGTAAATTTTTTTCCAAACGTGCCAAAAGAAGCATAACTTCAATAAATGACTTATCGTTAGTTCCCAATACCTACTAATTATTCATATTTCGCATGTGAAAATCAAAGGAAATCTCTTTTTTTACTTTTAATCAAAATTCTTTAATTTATTAAATTAATATTAGGTAAGAAATAAAGCAATAAAAATATTTATACTTATTTATATTTATTTACAATAGAATTTAATTACATTACATCACAATTTCATTAAACTACATACAAATCATAATAAAAAAAAACAAATGTCAATGTCATTTAAGTGTCAAACGGAACGAGATCAAATTCAAAGACAAAAAAATTACTATTAATTTGTTAAATTAATTAAATTAATACTTATATTGCCAGCGCCTATAAAGTAACACCAGAGTGAGATAAAAACAAACATTTTTTTAATCTCTTTTTTACTATTTAGACTACTTCAAGCATAAAGGTTTGAAAAAAAAGCTAAAACTAAAAATTAAAAAAATATGTGTACTTATGTACGCACGTAAGAAGTTATACTTCTTTGGTGTAACAGAACAAAAATATATATAACTCGCAAAAATTTTATCCAGCGTGCCAATAATAGTTAATAGTGCCAAAAAATATTTGTGGAAACGACGATAAAATAATAAAATAAAGATGTATTCAATTGATAAAGGTTTAATTAAACATTTTTTTTTAATTTTTCAAGTTATTTTACGTAGGTCAATATCGTACTACTTGGTTATGAAATAACACTTTAGCACCAGCAATATAACAGTATTATACAATATATAAATTTAAAAATAAAAAAAATATCGTTTTTTATCAATCGTATATAATAACAAAAAAATCGATTTAATATTTCTTTTCATTTAAAAAAATTCAAAGACAAAAAAAAATATAATCATAAAACAAACAAAAATAGGTTTGCAATATGAAAACTCGACTAAATTTTATTTAAAATCGATTCAACAATCACCCATCATTCGGGGGTTGCCATGTGACGGCTCGCATTTTCCTATTAATTTCTAACAATATCAATTTACAGCGGGCAAGCTGAGCTGGTCGTAGCTGAGGTGTGGGATCCCTAGTTCTTTCGCTTTGTTGAGGTTCCCTTTGAGCCCTTCTTAGGGCACGACGTCTTCTAGCCCTGGCTGTTGCTGTAAAATTAAGGGCAGTATAGACTAATGTCCCACGAGACTCACATCACATTTGACAACACATTTGGCTCAGTATGTAGTGACCGTACTTGCTGTGCCAGTAGTCGCAGGTTCGAGTTGGGGGCAGTCGTTGGGTGAAGAGCATGAACGTTTGTACTCCAGTCATGGGTGTTTATATTAATTATAATATGTATGTATTTAAAGCTATATATGTGTAGTGTATCAACTGTGAAAATGTGGTATCTATAACACAAGCCTCGTAGCTTACCATGGATAGCTAGATGGTGCTATATGTTAATGTCCCAACATAATATTCTTTTTCTATATGGGAAAACCCTACATTAAGAAAAATCGAGTAAAATACAAAAAACGAAAAAAAATAATCAGACAAATTCAGTTAAGAAATTAAAAAAAAACATGTGTTACCACTTTCTATTTTCCCTTTGCCTTTGTATTCGTCATCACTGCATGTTTTTGATATAATTCTCTTTTTTGGTGTCTGAAACAACACAAATTAATTTTTCATAGCTATTTCGACAACTCATCAACTCAGTCTTTATTTGTCCAAACCAGCCAGCCACCAGCTAAAAATAGCGGACAGGCGCGACAGAGACAAAACGAATGTGCGGCCAGAAGTCTTCTGTATCAAATAAAACTATTTTTTCGGGTTTTTTTTGCGGATTTATTTTGATTTTTGGTTTCCGACGTTTCGAATGCTATGTAGCTATTAACAAATATTGCAAGGTACTTTGGTGCCATTTTTAATTTTTTTGAATTCATTTTGTTATTTTGTGGGTAGACTGTCTGTAACAACTATATAATGCCTTTGAGACATCTAAAACCTTAGTCTCTCCCTTGACCATGCTTGCTGTAAAGCATTCGAAACATCGGAAACCAAAAATCTAAATAAATTCGTAAAAAAATCCGAAAAGATAGTTTTATTTAAAATATCAAATATTCGCATAAATCTAAGAAAATCTTCTATATTAATTGAAATACGATTAACGAAGATATTTATAACCATTTTGCATTTCATTATAATTTTAAAATTTTTAATGAATTGTTATAATATTATATTTTTTTTTTACATTCCATTAATTATAAATTCAACTTGGAATAAAGACAGGTATTGGCCGCACGTTCGCTTTCTCTCTTTCTAGAGAATGTCAATTTCATGAAAGTTTGCTCAGTCGTGTCTCTACGTCTGTGGTTTAACTTTAAACAAACAATTTACTGAAAGAGATTGACTTTTGGATGTCAATTCTATTGATGAAAAAGAATTTACTTAAGAAAGCCGACGAAATGTATTTTATCTTTATATGTATAATGTATACGTACTAGAAATAACGCTTTGGTTTTGAAATAGAAGAAGAATCTCTCTACTGGAAAGTACACCAAGAATTTATGGTTTGAACTAATAAGCACTAAGGCGATGAATTAGCGACTTCGCTTTACATGGGTGTCTATGGTTTTTATATCATACAGATGCAGTTCGGCACATTTTATTACATACAGTAACCTATGTGTTACTCTAAAAAATAATCTATCTGTTTATTAAATTTTCATCCAAATCAGTCCAACTGTTTGAAGTACTAACAAACATGCACACATACAAACATTCACATTTATAATAGTAGCAAGATCATAACAAATATAATTAAAACATACCTTTCTCTTCTGTTTTTGATAATGCTGTGCATCATAGAACTGGGGTTGGGATCTCCTTACTCTACCGGTTCGTCTTTTAATATCCTCTGTAGCTGGCAGTGTGTCCGCCCCACGGCGAGACGCGAAAAACGTGTGCCCACATTTACATGACTTGGATGCTACTGCAACCTGCAAATTATTAAATATAATGTCAATTAGTAATTACAATTCTTTGATCAATTTAGCGTAGATCAATGTCAAATCTCAAAAATCTGAGTCTTGGGTTTGAGTCTGGACATAATAAAATTAGGTCTTTTAAAGAATTCTTAATAACATTCCCCAATTGGGAAGTTATTTGATTGGTTGTTGTTTCACCCCTGTGTTTCGGAGAACTTTAGGGGTTCTAGGAACCCAAGAAACGCACAGGGAGATGGCCCACTTTGGTGGGAGGTGGCCCTCTTCGGTGGGCGGTGTGTTGAATGCGTAAGCGATCCTGCGACGCCCCATTAAGCCGGGGGAAGATTTTGTTGGGTTTTATTGGGTAGTACTGGCTTTGCCGGTGAGTCCCACACCTTGTGCTTAGATGCATTTCCCAACGTTAAAAAAGGGGGTTTTAAGAACCCTGCTCCATGAAATAGTTTATGTGTCTTGTCCCCATATTTACAAGTTTTATTGTGTGCGCACCATAAGATTAGAAAAATAAATAGCAGGTGGCAATGCCATAGAAGTTCTATCTCCTTTCAAGAAGGCCTTTCTTAGTGGGTATCCTAATTATTATAGGCATATGTCTGATTTGGTTTGTAAAAACATCCGTTAGCATTCTTACATGTATATGTCAACTTAAAATTAGTTCTTAATTCATTCCATAACATTAAAGAAATTTTTATAAATTTACAACTATTATTGGGAATTTTATGAAGCATAATGACTTGGTTTGGCTTCTTTTTAAAGCTATACCTACTCTGTCAATCTTATTTATTAGTTTGAGGTATAGCATTACAAAGATTTGAGAATTTTTAGTTTAGATATTGGCATTGCCAATATATTGTAGTAAGAGAGTTAAAATATACTAAAATTAGAACCTTAGATACTTATAATTATTTTACTAGATGACAGTTTTATAAAGCCATTCTAATATTGCCTTTTAACTGTAACATGGAAAAAGTGGTTGTTGTAAAAGAAAGTAATAAAATGTGCTAAGTTAAACTTATTATTACATAAGTTAAGCAATAGATTTGTCAGTTAAATGCAAAGAGGCCTAGAGGAACAATTATAATATTTTATCACCAAGCTTGAATTTAACATACAATATTGCATGATATTATTTTATTTTATTTTTATTTTTATTTATTTGGTAATCAAACAGCGTTACAGTATTACTTAAGATTGCACATTGTACACAAAGGAGAGTTACAATAAGGCCAAAATTAGATTACACTAAAAATACTATAATAATGAACAACAGGCATCAAAATGGTAAAATAAAATGTTGATATTCAAAAGATATTATGCATTCTAGGTTTAAATAACTAATTGAGAAAGCTGTAACTGTAGGATCTCACAAGCCATATGCGAGTTGGAGCAACCTCTGAGCTCGCAAATAGGTAATTACTAATAAGTAATAAAGTTTTAGATAAAATTGCGTTAATTTTTAACTATATTAGACGTAAAACGATACTAAGTACATACTTCGATAGATTTCACCTTTCTATTCAAGTGAGGCGATGGAATTATTTAAGTGCAAATCGAACATATGAGATTATCAATAGAGTAATACTGATACTAATTTAATATACCTAGCTTTTCTTCTTATTAGCAACATAGATTTATTGCATAAACAAAGAAAAATTAATTGATTATACAATGCTGCTTACACTATTATTCTAAAAAAATAAATATGACAAACCTGCATTTCACATTTCGGGCAACTTTTAGCAATCATCTTATTTTTACCCATTTTAAATTAACTTCACTTAGTATTAGTATCGCATAAATAATTATTATAAAATTACTATTAACATTTTCTTATAATTCAATGTCTAATTATTATTGATTATTACAGATTTTATTGGAATTAAAATTTTATCTATCTCAAATTTTATTGTTTTTATTAAAATTAAATTTTATTATGTCAAAAACTCAAAATGTCAAAAAATTAATGTTATGAGAAATGTTGCCAAAAAGCAAAACTACATATATTTATTTTCGAAAAGAAATATATAATAGTAACTAGTAAAAATAGGGAAGATTTCTAGAAATGAGGTCGCTACGCGTATAATCTATTTACATTCAGTCTGAGGATAAAGGGGGTAATAAAGTTTTATAGGCAAAGTATTATTTATAATCAGAATTACTTTAAACTTGGTATTAGTGTTCTTCAATACAATTAAATAAATATGTGTTTTACCATTTTTCGTAACTCAATCTCATAAGGGGGTAAAATGGGGGATGAAAGTTTGTATGTAACTATGTAATTCTATACATATAATAAAATTGTGACTAAGCCGAATCTGTATATTAAATATTTTTTGGAAAATCTTATTGAAATAGACATTATTATCGATACAGAGGCAGAATCTATAGTTTTTATAATTTTTGTATGTCTGTCTGTCTGTTACCGCATCACGGACAAACCACTTGAGGGACTTTGATGAAATTTGGTATGATGGTAGCTGCTTATCCAGGTCAACATATAGGACACTTCTTACTGCGACAAAATATCTCATCTCTGAGAAATCTATACTAAACGTTAAAACGTAACTAGGGACGATCCCGAGGGGAGCGAGGGTGAGTTGCTAGTGTATAATAAAACATTGGAAGATTGAAGATCGACTTTAATTTACGTTTTACTGTTGTGTAGATTTGAAACTATATAATAGTATTATGAAATCCAAAAGACAATACAGTAATTTGATACCATCTCGCTGATCTGATGCTAGGCGCAGGAGCTCACTAGTAAGTAGTTTGGATCATTATTATTCACAAAAATGCCACTAAATAAATTTATCCTTTCGGATAATTTCGCGGATTTATTTTAATTTTTGGTACCCGACGTTTCGAATGCTTTACAGCAATCATGGTCACGGAAGAGACTGAGGTTTCAGACGACTCAAAGGTCATTTATGTAGTAATGAATAAAATCCATCCACGATTTAGAGCTTTACAATATACTGAAGAATATAGTGATCGCGACAACTGGCGGTAGAAAAAGCAAATTTCTTCCCCATTTGAACTATTTTCAATACCAACAGCGTTTAAAATTAAATTATTTTTTTCCATAAAAAATAACGATAATACCTATTGCAATAATAAATTAAAATTTATAACTAGAGAGGAAAAGTACTTTATAAAAATTATTAATTTAGATCTACATTTATCTAATGTACTTAATGTCACAATTTAAAATACCTATAGTTTTTAATTTTTATCACTAATAATAAATTAAATAGATTATTTAATATTTTAAAGTTTAGATCAACTGAACTATAATAATAATATTTTAAATATTATTATCTCATCAATCTCCAGCCATAACACGAATGAATAATAAGTCTTTAGTCCGCACTTTTAGTGCCTACCTTCATTATTCAAATTACAAAAACAAGTATTTCAATTTTCAATCTCCAAAGTAGAAGTTTAAAAGGAAATGTTATAGAAAATGTCAGCACCCGCGCTTAGACAACCTAAACCTCTCAAACTCGAAGAAAATAAGAATAGAAAGGTTGTTGATCAACAATTAATTATACTCACTTTGAGGAATGGGAAGAAGTTAGTTGTATCTTCAGACGCGCTTCATGGTATAATAATGATGGGTGAAATGTACAAATGTGTCTTTTGTAATGTAGAAATTGATTTAAATGCATGTAAAGAACGTCATAAAGTAATAGATGGTCATAAGAAGTTTTTAGAAAATCATCCATACATAGAGGAGCTTTCAGAAAATTTAGTAAGACAGGTGAGGGTAAGAATCGATTAAGTGAGTTAAATGAGTAAAGATTTAATGAGAATAAAACCTATACCTACACATTTTATCTCTTTTTTGTCTATTTAAAATTTATTATCAACACAAGCAATACATTTTAATGTTTAGTATAGATATCTTAGAGATGAGATATTCCGTTCCGAGTCCGATTATTATATGTATAGATATAGATTTTCCAACATGTAGGTCTATCAAGGTACTAAGGAAAACATGTGAAAAAGAACTTAACTTTTATTTTCTTATAGGCAGAATGTACAACAGATTGAAGGAATGATTTTTTTTAATATTTAAGTTTATTATTATTTTCATGGTAAGTTTACCATACACATACTATAAGGGTCACTTGTAGAAAAATTTGTTCCGGGTTCATCACTAGACAAAAAATATCCAATAAGAACCATACATTTATTACATTTTATATTATTATTTATTATTATTCATTTATTTACTTACTTATTTATTTTTTCTTGGATTAAAAGAAACCTAGTGCTTTCTCAGAATATAATCTATATCTGTGCCAAATTACATCCAGATCCATTCAGCTGTTCTGGTGTGAAAGAGTAAAAATCTCTAATCTATCCACCCGTCCTCATAAACTTTCACATTTATAATATTAGTATGAATTTAAATATCTCCACTCATATATATTTAGCTAATGCTAAATATGACAATTTAAACCTTCGCCCAACAAAAAAATAGTGAATTTAGTACAATAAAATAGTCCCTATATTTTCTGCTTAGAATTCAAATACCTAATAATATTGTTTTCCAGATAGATAAAACAACTTGCTACTGCACCATATGTAATGTGTCTACATATACTACAACTATCATGCGACATGTAAAAACGGAAGAACATTTACATGAATTGAATAAAGCTATGTTAAGAGCTACCACATATAAGCCTTTCGATGAAAATAACAATAAATGATTTGTAAATTGTAATTTAGTTCTGCTTTTTTTAAATAATTTCAGTTTAAATAAAACTTTGGGTATATTCTTTGTTTTATTTGTATAATATCCTTAGTGTTAAATTTTAAACCCAAATTTCTTACTATTCAAATTATGTCAAGATTATTATTAATTAGAGTTTATCATTGTAATACTGAAGAATCTAAGTGAAATAAATTCTTAATTTTTATGATTTTAAATATTATATGTTTACGATTGTGAAATTTTTAACTGTTGCAAAATTAATAATAAATACATTACCAAATATTGGATAATCAATTGAAATACAAATTTTTTTGCATAACATTTAATGACATGTATAACTATCGTCGTCGTTTCTTCGATTTTCTTTTCATATTTTTTTTGGTAGTCGTCATTTTAGCAATTTTTCTTTTGTGTAACCACACGGGATATTGTCCATTTTGATCTTTTAATGTTTTTGAGCTAAAAATTCTTTTTTTACCATCTTCAGTTGCAACCTCAACTTTTTCATCATCAGAGCTCATTTCAACGTCTTCTTCTTCTTCTGGAGGCTTTTCTTCTTTTTTTCCTTTTTTCTTTTTTCCTATTTTGCCTGCATCGAGAAATATTACTTGATCAGATTCCATAACCTCGTTTTCTGTGACTTTTTCTTCTTCCTTAATTCCTAGCATTTTCTTAAGTCGGGCTAGTTCTTTTACAGCATATCGTTCTCTTTTTATCGCTCGACATTTTCGCTTCCATTTACTTCTAATCGATTTTGCCATTACGTTGTAATTTGTTTTTATTTAGGAAATAATACTTGATCAATGTCAAATATCACACGTGAAAGAGTTTCAAAAACAACGCCAGTGTTGCCTATAACTATATGGCATTTGACAATCAAATACTATATATTTTATAAAATAAGAACTTTTCATTTCGCATTAAAACCTTTTTTAATTATTGTAATAAATGTAATCCAAATTTTTATTATATAATCATAAAAGTTTAAATAAAGTTGCGATTAATATTTAATTTTAATAGTGTTTGTTGCCATCGAAATAAACAAAACAAGAAATTGTCTATTCCGTACTTGAAATATCAATTCTTGTTTTTCGCTGTCATAATTTTCTATTTTTCGATTTTATGGAATAAAATTGCCTCTTGGCTTGGAAGCTTTCCAATTGCAGGAAATAAACAGTTTACTTTTAAAGATTAAGCTTACTCATCGGTACTTCGTTATGCATTCTCAATCCTTTGTGTTTTGTGTTCTTTCGTGCGAATAAGTAGCAGAGAAGTGGTTTTATATTCTAGCATTATTTGTGCTTCAAAATGAGTTCTGAAAATGCTGTTTGTGATTTAATAGGTGAATTAGATGATAGTGGCTGCGTACAAGATGGTAAGAAATTGGTTTAAGTATATTTTTACATATCTATATGAGAATTTTAATGGTCAAGATCAACTTGTTTTGTAATAATTTAAAAAATGAAACTACCCTACCTTTTTGCTCTTTTATAAATGAAGCTGCTTATTTTAAAATATTTAATATTATATTTAAGCTCGCATGTTTACCGAAAATAGTGTTAATTTTCAGAACTTCAATAATTAATTAAAAATATGTAAAACTATTTTTAATTAAAATTTATTGTGTCTAAATAAAACTCTTTATCACACTAGCTTAAATAAATTAGAATTTGAATTATTTTTTATAAGAAACAATAATGGTATATGTTTTTATAGTGTTTTACTTTTCATTATATCCCTTATCTACCATATATTATGAAGTGTAAAGAAACTAATCAAAAAATATACAACACTAGAAAACACATAGATGTATTACTAGGTGAAAATTGTATTTAGAATATTGTATATTTATTACTAACATTAGCTAGGTCATAGTTTAAATTTCATCCAAATCTGTTCAGCCAGTTCTGTATACAAGAGTAAAAAGTAAGTAAATAAAAGGATATACAAGAAACAAACATACACAATCATCATTTTTCGCATTTATATTATAATATTATGTACAATTCGTGTTAAAATACAACACTTTCCAACAGATTCTATACAGAATGGCTGCCCTCAAACTAATCTCATGGATATGCCAGACGATGTACTTTTCTACATTCTCCAATGCTGTACTGCTCGAGACTTAAAAGCACTTGGATAGTATGTTTAAACTTTAACAAACTATGTATATTTTGTTGCCATTCATTTTTAAAAAAACTGCATTATTTTTGTTTGGGCATGTGATTTACCTAAATTTTGTCATACAAAATTGCATACTTATTGGGATTTTCTCATGATATTTTTGTTTTGATGTATCATTTGTATATTTAATTTTTAAGAATAAATCAATTTTCTTTACAATAATAATATAAGTAAATTTTTTTTTATGCAATTATAATATTGGATTTAAAATTGATTTTGATATTTTCATATGATATAATATAATGAGAACATTCATTGTGAAACAATAACATTTATAAAAAGTAAAAATTTTTTTTTAACAAAAGGAATAATTTTAAAGTACATATTTACTTATTACTTATACTACTACTAAGTTATTGATTTAATTTTGATAAAGTATGGCCTAACATCAAAAACACTTCTAAGAAACAGTATAATATATTATATATACATTTACTGTATTACTTCACAGCTGTTGTCGAAGACTCTGCAGATTAGTCCAAGATAAAGCTCTGTGGCGTTATGTGGATGCGAGGCAGGATAAATGCAGTCGTGCTAGATTGAAATGGCTTATAGATAATGTTCTCCAGGAAGACACGCAGGTTTTACTGCTGTCGGGATATGCAAGGGATGGAGAGGGGTATGTATAGCTATTAGCTTTAAATATAGAAAAAAGTTCCTTTCCCTGTCTGCCCTTGCCTCATAACTTCAGTCATAAAAATTGTTCAGTGCTAGGTAGGTCAAGGAGGACTTATTATATATGTAGGGCGCCGTCATAAGAGTGCATACCAACTTCTTACCACTTATACTTGCCTGGTACTTGTGTCAGTAAATAAAAAAGTGTTGTGACTGTCAATACATTTCACTTGTCTCCCTCTATACTGTATTCGCCGAATGAACCAAGTACTGAGATTTTGCGCTTCCACGTCCGTCGTTGCATTCTGCACCGTTCAGATGTCTCGTAGTTCAACGTCTTGTAGTTACCTGATTTATTATCAATGCAGAAGATAACAGTGATACATCGGAAAGCGAAAATTAATAAATAATATACACAAATATTTAAAATACAGTTAATTTTACTTTAATGTTGTTTTTATTTATATGTTGATTTTAGTTTATTGCAAATTATTAATAATTCTTCACTAAAGCATTAGCACATATTGCTAATACCCTATGATTTCAAACCAGTTGTAAGTGTTAGTGCGTGGAGCTAGACAGTTTTCTGTCCTTATCAGTCCTTAATGTGGGACAGAGAAAGCGCTTTGCATGGTTCACTCCGTGCATAGTGAGTGTATAGGACTCACTCGCTCGCCAAGTGTGCCGAGTGACGTGTTATAAGGAACGAAGGTCCAAAAACATTAGCCATTCGTATTCTGATATAAATAAAATTACCAAGAGTATTATTTAAAATGATTTTTATTTTCAGATGCTTAGGATTTATGAATGTTTTGCGGGAAGAGGGTGAGAGGGAGAAGGGTTCTCCTCAAGCTGGCGCAAGTTGGGGTGAGTTGGAAATATATATATTTTAATTTTATCCCATGATAAAAATTATAAATGTAAAGGTTTGGATGGATGTTTGTTTGTTACTCAATCACGCCAGAACGGCTGAACGGATCTGGATGAAATTTGGCACAGAGATATATTATAGTCCTGAATGACTCAATAAAATTTGACTAAATAACTAAAAACCAACTAACTAAACTAATAACGAGTGACTAACTTTTTTTCTACAGATCACGTGGAACACTTTGCTTTACAACTAACTCCAACAAGGACTGTCGCTGAAAGAAAAATGTTCTCACCGCAGTAAGTGTATATAATTATTATTTACTCATACTGTGGCAAAAAGGGTCTAACCTACATTTTTGATTTTTTTTTTAATTATATGGGTATATGTACCTGTATTCAAATAACCATCTTAAAAAAAGAAAAATAAATTTAATGTGTTTCATATATATTTTTTATCAATTCAATATTACAATACTCCAAAGAAGCAAAACATAACTCTACGTACAATATCTAATGTACCGTGATTCATTACTAATGACGAAATCCACCATAACTTGCACATGCCTAAAATAAAAGAGGAAGTTCGTAGTTTGGCTTGCTAATATAGAACGCGTCTGGCTATTCACCCTAACATCCTAGCACACAGACTTCTGGATGATAACTGTCCAAGATGTCTCAAAAGAAAAGTAGTAGATCTAGGATTATAATTCTAGCCTGACTAATGAAGGAGATTAGATCCTAATGAGGATTCACTCCACATGACAGCAATCTCTCAACAAATTTGCTTATAATCAAAAGACTGATCGCAAATCATACCAGGAAAAAAAATTTTTTTGTTGTTATTATTTGTTGTTGTTATTATTGTTATTATTTCTAACAGCTATATATTAAATACTACGGAAATGTTCAGGAGTAGGCCATGTTATTTAGTTTTAAATAAATTAGTGTGGACCAATTTTGCGTGACTGTCTTGCGAGTCCATATCAATTTTTTTTTTAATTTTCACAGCGATTACTGGTTCCGTCGATGCAGTGGGCTGCCCACATGGGGGGATAACGAAGTGGGCAGAAGTGGTCCACAAGACTGTATTGGACCACAGTTTTCCCTATCTCAGGATCTATTGAAGGACCTGAGGACCATGTGCCCTAGACTACATACATTGGCGTTGGAGTTCTGCAATATTGATTGTAGGAATGTGAGTAGCTTGTATTCAGCCCTTGTTAACGTCCCACTGCTGGTGGTGGGCCTCCCTTTAATACGAAGGGGATCAGACCACAGTCCACCACACCGACCAAGTGCGGGTGGACTGAGCATGTCTCTAGAAAACTTCTAGGTTCTCTCACACATGCAGGTTTCTCCGCGACGTTCTCCTTCACCGTAAGACATGTGGTCATCATGTTGGAAATGATTCGCACATGAAAATATCAGAGGCGCGAGACCCGGGATTCGAACCCGCTTCATTCGGTTTCCTAAGCAAGCGCGCTACCACTGGGCTACCGCTGCCTTGAGTAGTTATTTTTAACGTACTGACTCACTAATTATGTTATCAATATTTGGATATCCATTTTGACTAAGTAATTGTTGTATTGTTATGACATTTTTTAAGTACCTATTTTAAATCTAAGTGACCATTTAATAACTTGTAGAAATGAAAATAACTTAATTTAATTAGATTTTTGAATGTTTTCGAGCTGATCTGCCATAATGGAGACAGAAGATGTATAGTGGAACTCTTCAGCGGCTTCTACTAAAACCTTTGAGTTACGGCTCATTTGATCCGTTTTGATTAGTTCGAGGTTTTTTTTGCTTGTCTATCTTAATTTTGGAATACTTGAAAGTAATGATGATGATTTGATAAAACTACCAAAATATTATAGATATAATTTTTTTTTAATTTTCAGACCAATCTCAGTCATTTTCCAAAAACTCTGAAGAAGTTGTCTTTGCGTGGCTCCAAATGCTACAACATGGTGATGGATAAATCGTTTCTGTTCAGAATCAATTCACATCTACCGGGATTAGAGGTAATTGTCACGTGGCACAGCAGTGCAATAAATATGTTGTATTATATTTAATATCTTGTGTCACATCCCTCTACATTTCTGAGATCGTTCTCACATACTTAGTCACACATTTACTTTAACACACTCACTCTTATCACAGTCAATTTATATCCACCTATTCTCACAATCACTCAATTTCATACTCAATCCCATACTTAATCCCACAAACACTCACATTCAATCTCTCTCTCTCACTTACACACACACACACACTCAGACACACACACACACTCAGACACACACACACTTTCTCTCTCTCTCAGACGCACACTCTCTCTTAATTTCTCTCTCTCTCATTACATCAGTGACTACACCTAATCATTTCTTTAGAATCGTTGTGGTTTGAAATTCGATGAAACGAAAATGTGACACGAGAAAGAGACAAGCACATAAATATATAGGATTAAGCCGGCGAGAGAATGAGATAGAATATATTGCCATGTTGCCATGGTAACAGTTGTTATTGTTTGACAAAAATAATAACAAAATATCAAAATAGATTAATCGATTATTATATTTTACGACGTCACCAGAGTCTAGACGTGTCCTCGTGCGAGTGGATGGACCCGGCGACGCTGCTGCCGCTGAGCAAGCTGCCGGCGCTGCGGTGGCTGGCGGCGCGCCGCTGCCCCAAGATGACCGAGTTCGTGGCGTACGCGTCGCTCACCGCCAGATATGGCTTCCGGACGCTCACGGTTAGTTGGTGAAAACTATATTAAATGTTGACCAAAAATCCAAATAAATCCGCCAAATAATCCGAAAAGATATTTTTATATACAATGTGTAAATATTCGTGTAAATCTAAGAAAGTATTATGTTGGAGTGAAATGGAGGTCTTAGGAAACGAGAATAGGTCCTCAATAATAATATGTAAATTATGTATATAATGCTAGCAAAACCTGCGACTACGTCTGCGTTTAATCTGAAAAAAAAAACTCTGCCTTTATGTTATACAGCGTATGTATTTTTATAATACTAGCGGCTCACCCTCGCTTCGGAAACCGTATTTTTTTCCGGGATAAAAAGTAGCCAACATAATTCCGGACTATAATCTATCTCTGTGCCAAATTTCATCCAGATCCGTTTAGCCGTTCTGGCGTGAAAAAGTAACAAACATCCATACATACTTACAAACTTTCACATTTACAATATTTATACAGCAGCTACCTACAAAAATAGTGTATCAACTATCTGTTATCCATAACACAAGCCTCGTAGTTTACCATGGAATTAGTTGGTGCTGTGTGTTATTGTCTCAACATATTTATTTTGATTTGATTTAAATGAAGGCTTGTTTTTAAATATTTTTTTTAACTATTCATTCTAATTTATTCCAGTCTCTAGATCTAAGAGGGTCACCGGTCGGTGACTCAGAGATATCAGCCCTCGGATGGTTGCCGAGTTTAGAAAAGCTATGGTTGTCAGCAAGCAAGGTCCCCAAAAATACACCACAGCCCCATGCACATTTCATAGATGACCCGGGAGTGACGCACATACAGTTACACGATTGGGAGATACAGGTGAGTGGACCATGGTCCAATGTAGACCCTTGATATTGCGAAATGCAGGTGGTCCATTGCAGGGTTTTATATTTTAGGTTTGACAAAATGAGTGTGTAACTGGTCTAATTTTAAATTGAATCCATATTAATATTATAAATGCGAAAGTAACTTTGTCTGTCTGTCTGTCTGTCTGTCTGTATGTCTGTCTTTGATTTAGATGAAATTTGGTATAGAGATAGTTTGAGACCCTGGGACAGACAAAGGATAGTTTTTATCCCGAAAATCTGACCTCAAGGGGTTGAAAAGGGAAGCTTGTATGGAAAATCAATCATTTTTAAGTAATGCATACCTATTATATACTTTTTTATTTTTTAAAATACCTACTTTTCTATACGCATGTATATATATTATATAGTCTATCTATTTCAAACTAACCGTTAACGTACCTAGGGACACGAACGAAGCGAGGGTGAGTCGCTAGTGAATGAACAAAAGTAACCTAATCTTAAGATTAATATGACTGGTTGTCTGCCTTTGTCTGTGCAATATGTCTATAGTGGGCTTAATAGCTTCAAACAGTAAAAGAAATGGACCGATTTTAATGTAATTTTGAAGTGAAACTTCTTTAGAATCGTTGTGATTTGAAACTCGATGATGGAAAATGCGGCACGAGAAAGATATACCTAATATATAGGATTAAACGGGCGAGAGAATGAGAGATAAAATACATTGCCATGTTGCCATGGTAACCGTTGTTATTGTCTGACAAATATATAATATTATATTCTTTCCGTATATGATATTCTATAAATATATGATTGTAATATGCCTTATTTAATTATTTGAGATAAAATACATTACACAGGAAGTGAAAAATAATAAAATTAATTACTGAATAATCTGTAATGTATATTTATTATTTATGTCAAATAAAATGTAAAACAAATTTTAAACTTGGTAAAATTATTATAAAAAAATAAACTTAATAATAAATATCCTACTCCTGATACTCTATATTCATCTCAGTCTCTCGTAAGTTACTTTTCTGAAGTTTCACTTCTACCGTGAGTGAATTGCACACACACACACACACACTTTTTGTATGTATATAATAATTTTATGTCACTGTTTCAGGAACCGCATTTATTCCCAGAGAAGCCAGAAAACCCATACTACTATTACGATGATGATGCTATGGATGTTAATGAAAAAGAACGTGAAGCTCTAAAACGGAAACCGGAAGATGAAGACGAGAATGAAAAAGAAAATGGCGACGTGAAACAATCTAAAAAACGCCGTAAAAGTCACGATGTTGACAATCATAAACGTCACGATGACTTGAGCTGTCAAAAGAGTAGATTCTTTTTGCTAAACCTTCATAATGTAACTGAAGTAAAGAAAGATGGCGATGATATACAGGGTGATGTTAATGTTAACGTAAGTACTAGTAAAAGTGATGATAATGATGACGAAAATGATGATAAAGATGTAGCTAATGAATCAAGCAATGATGAGACTGAAGAAATAGAAAATAATAATGAAAATAATGATGGATCTCAGCATTCTTCAAATAGTAATAGCAATAAAAATGAAATTAATGATAAACAAGAGCCAAATGATGAGCAAAACGTAGAAATTAATGATGGAAGATCTCAAAATTCTATAGATGATAGTGAAAATGAAAATATTCCAGTAATTTTAGAAAATGAAGACGCATCAGATAATTTAAAAGAAGGTATCGGAGAGAACGCGAATTTTCCTAATTTTAAAATTGGGGAAAGTTCAAAATGCGTAGACGGTGATGGGGAAAGCGATAATTCATCACAAGGTGAAACTGGCCAATGCTCGTATTCTATATTAAAAAGTATAAGAGATTCTTCAAATAATGAAAATGGAGAAAGTTCAGGTGCAAATAAAAATGAAGAAAATGGGCCAAGTTCCAATTCTTCGAACGCCAGACCTAGAGAGGGCTACGACGTTATAAAACTAGATGGGGTTTTGAATTTCGGACAAATAAGATGTGGTGATCACGATGAAGTAATAGTATTTGCGAGCGCTAAACGACCGACAGCTCAACCGCAAAATGGCGACCAACCAAATGGCGGACACGTCCGTTTCCGTCGAGGCGAGAAACCAGTAGTTATAAACGACAACCAAGAAGACGGTGACAACCAAAATGAAAAGCGTAACCTAAAACGTCCCCACGATGTAAACCAAGGTGCGTCAACATCGCGAGAACCAGAAACCAGTACACCGCAACCAAAAACCCAACGGGAAAATGAAAATCAAGAAAATGAACAGCCAATTGACTACAGGATTGAACCACGCCATCACGTGCTATACGTGAATGTTGGTCCTCAAATGAATACATATAGATTCCCACGGGAATTCTCAGCGCCTGATATGCCCGTGACTCTGGGATTCAATGCGCAAAGACGCCATGTTGAATCCAGTTCACTAGTAACCGATTTTGCGATTCGACGTTTTGGAAGAGCTGATGGAGAAGATGTTAATATAATACATATAGGTCCCAACGGCCCAGTAGTGGTAGGACAGGACACAGGTTCGAGACCGGACAGGTCAAATTTAAGATTCTTATCCGTTAACGGATACAGAAACATAACGGATCGCAGTCTAGTCCATCTAGCAACTGCTGCGCCGAATTTAACCTATATCGATTTTAGTGAAACCAATATAACGGAAACGGGTGCCGAAAATTTTAGAAGTTTACGACCCGATTGCAAATTAATACACTCAAAGTTTCCGGAGAATAAAGAATAAATTAATTTCGGATCTCATATTTCTAAGTTTTACGGGTGTTCGGTGCGATTTTTCCATTATGGATTTTCGATTTTTCGATGTTTCGGTTAATATTATTATAGTGTAGGGATTGTCTCAGACAAATATGTAGGTGAAATTAGTTTTTTTGTAAATTATATGATATAAGTATTAATAATAATTATTAATTAATGTGGATGTTATAATAATAGTCAAATGATTCAATCTGATAAAGCGTCACGTCATTTTTAATTAAAGAATTACAATGAAAATTAATATAAATTTCGTAAATCCGAAATAAAATATCCGAAACGCATTATTACATTTCGGATTAAGTATTTTTTGGAAAATTTAACTTCTTTTTTTCATATCACTTCCTTTATAAAAATGGCGCCATGATGTTTTAAAATTCTGTGAATAATTTAAAGTAAGCGCTACATAAATTTTAAAATATACAATTTAAAACATTAAAAAGAATGATTTTTTAGATTTTAAATGTGATGATAAAAGTAGTACGTCTAAATTTAATGTCATTTTGAATTTCAACAGACTTTCTCAAACTTAAAATAGGTAGGTACTCGTATATTCTGCCGGTTTTTTTTATTTTATATGTATGTATGTATGGATATGCTCAAAGATCTCTAGGCTATTTAGCATGAATTGATTATTTTTGTTTGAAAATGTGAGGTGAAAAATTAAAATAATATTATTTCTTAATAGAAAAAATAAATAAATGTACAATTGTTCTAAACATTAACTTACAGATAATATAATTTATCATTGTATTATTAAAAATATTATCATCGTTCAAATTAGTCGATGTTCCTTTTAAAAAACAACACTTTTTTTTAAATATAAAAAAAATAACCTCTAAAATTGATACACGTTATTTTTAATTAAATAATACAAATTCTCCCAAGCTAAGAAAAAAAAATTTTTTCGCACCACTCTAATAAGCACAGGCTTAGGTCGCGCTATGAAGCTAACTTTGAATATTGTTTTGTAAGTTTATTTCTTATAATTTGTAAAAAGACGTCATGGACTGAGTACATATTGGTAAGTTTTGATGGAAAGCTAAATTTAAATTGTGGGTTTAAAGGTAAAATGGGCTAAGTGAGTTAATAGCAAAAAGAATGCCTTTTTTTCTAGAACTGAATAACAATTTTAGTCAAGTGCGAGTTGATATTCGCGTGCAGCTAAATATTATAAAAAAATGAAGACTAGATGCTTTGTAAATTTTTCTTTGTGTAAATTTTGGATAAGTAAATATTTATAATATACAAATATTTTACAATTATATTATCAATTCTATTAATCGTTATGAGTTTAATTACTGCACAAAATGAAAATCCTCTAAGTAAAGGAAAAGCGTTATTTAAGAGGTTTAGGTCATGTTATAAAGCTATGTAAGGACTTAGTGATTTTTATCTTTGTACTCACAATATTGAGTTAATATGAATAACTTGATAATTTTTAATTGATTTAAAAAAAATGGTGTTAGAGGTCATCTAAAAAATCTGTAAACGGTAGATATGAATTAATACATGTTCTACCGACTTTCAAAGAAGACCTGATCAATTCGTTGTTTTGTTTTTGTGTTGGTTTATTCAAATTATATTATAACGAAAATGGTATAATATTAAAATGCCTATAAGATAGAGAACATTGAACATGATTTTAAAATCGCTATAAAATTAGTATTTATTTAAAAAATAAATCAAATATATTTAGAAAGATTAAAATATATATATATATATATATATATATATATATATATATATATTTTCATTTGTCGATAATACCATAATAAACGAAAAATACAAATTAAATAGAGATATTCTATCAAGTTTTTCATATTAATTTAAAGGGCAACACCGCGGGCGGTGGTTAGTATGTGTGGAAAGTTTGGTAATATTATAGGAAAATGTATAGGAAAGTTTTCTTATTTTGAAAGAAAACATTTTAATGGGGTTATTCCGTATTTCCCAAATTATGATCACTGATGTTTGATATCAACAAATTATCAATTTATAAGTTTAAGTACCTGAGAAAAGATATTAAAACTGAGTTTATTATCAGAAAAGACAACTATATAGATAAACTTAAAAAGCTACACCTTATCTAAATACAAAATTTGATCCAATTCGTTAGAGCCGTTTGGGGCCGTTCATAAAATATGTCACGCGAAATTTTAGCTTTCTAGACCCCTCTCGCCCCCTTCTTTACGCTATATCACATTTTCTTCACGTTTCGACCACAAAATTGTTTGATAAGCTGTCTTGTCACAGTGAGTCCCCTCTCAATAATAAGGAATATGCGTGTGATTTAAATAAAGGTGAAATATTTTTTTTATAATCTTTAGTGCTTTTGAATTACGCCTTTATCAATATTTTTAATTTAATTTCTTTTTGATTAAGAAAATAAATATTAAAAATATATGTGGGAAATTCAAAGTAGTTGAAACGCACGCTATTGGTCAGACCGAATGTGACGTCAGAGTATATTATAAGATTAGCTTTTGTCGCTGCAAATTGAGTCATGTCTCTGTGTATATCATACTGTGACGTCACGTGAAATGGCGGGTGTTTAAAGTATCCATATCTGTATGTTATTTTTAATTTTTTTTAATACTATATATTCGTTTATTGGTGTTGGATTTTCAATATAACGATGTTAGCTATTGTATAATTTTTTTTATAAAATCACGCATATTCACTATTGCGAACGTATTTCATGAACGGCCCCTTTCCGAGATACATGAAATAAATTTATAAATGTACAAGAATTAGGTTGGTTTAATATTATCAATTATTGGCTTACTTTATGTAAATTATCTAAAATGTCAAAGGCCCATTCGTTAGCCACCAAACTTAGTTGACAAACAAATTTGCTTAGCTAAGATTTGTTAGTAAACTTGTGATCCCACGGGATAACCTCATACAGGATCGAACTTGTGACCTTCGAGTTCATATTTTTTTTATATTTTTTTTCTGTATATCATTAATTTGGTCGCAATATATTTTTTATTTTGTATGTGAAAATATGAAAGTAACTAAGTTGTTAGTTTATTATTTATGTTAGCTTTAATGTTTCGAAATAATAAATTGTATTTAATGATTCGTTTCGTGTTTTTTTTACCCTATTTTATTTTTATAGAATAAGTGAAATCAAATCTAAACAGCATATTCGTGATAAGTGATAAAATATCCGGGCTAACATATCCGTGCTAAGATATCCGTGTTGTTATATCCCGGCTAACATATCTGGGCTAGGATATACCCGTATTAACATATCCGTGTCAATATTAGTGATGAGTTTTCCCACTCACTGTATCTAGATAGCTTATTTAACTATGTATATATAAATAGGCCAAGACAAAACAGTACGATAGAATTCTTTTTTTTTTAATTTAGTAGTTATTGACGACGACAATAATTTTTTTTTCTCAAATTTTTAATAATGATTATTGTCGAAATTTGACCACTGGGCGAACACTAACTAGTCTATATTAATATTATAAATGTGAAAGTGTGTTTGTTTGTCTGTCCTTCTTTCACGTGAAAACGAAATAACGGATTGGCGTGATTTTTTGTGTGGAGATAGTTGGAGGGCTGGAGAGTGACATAGGCTACTTTTTACCGCGGGAGATTATCTTATTCCCACGGGAAAACACGTTATAATACAATCCAAAAAATCATTAATGATTACTTAAAACTTGATATTAATGTTCTTCAATACAATGAAATAAGTAATTGTTTTAGCATTTTTCGAAATTCATCCCATAAGGGGGTAAAATAGGGGATTAAAAGTTTGTATGAAAACTACCTTTTTGTAGATTTAGCGCGAGCGAAGCCGCAGTTTCTGCTAGTCAGCTATAAATCTAAGAACGTGCGTCTTAAAAAAAAGTTATTACCACAATGCACCGTTAGAGCCACAGCGAAGCGCAAATTCTCTATAAAAGTAATAAAAATGGTGTATAAAAAGTTAGACTACGTTTTAATTGATTTTCATGAATACTTTTGGTTTATTTATAGACAGAAAACCGGTAATCCTCATTTGTCTGTCTGTAATGTTTGGGAAACGTCAAAGTGAATATTATGAGGCTACACTCCAAGGTGTTGCCAGTTGTCGTTGAAGAGTTCCACTATTACCGATGTAGACCAACATCTATAGTTAGATTGTATAGTCACAAATCAAACTGAGTAGTAACAGCAGTGCCCGGCATTACAGACGGGTGCGAAGCCAAGAACCACAAGGAGCTGCAGCTGGCACTACGGTGGACGATGTACCATGCGGGTTGCTCCTGGTACTTCTCTGATAGTAAAGTGGACCTTGGAGCAACCCCATGGTTGTTGTGGTCTGCTTCGGCAGACCTGCCGTCGGGGCGTCGTAGTGGTGAATCCCACATAAACACTTGTATGTCTACAGGTGGTATGCGTAAATGCATTTCTCAACATTAAAAACGGGGGCTCCCAGTTCCGTTCGAGAGTTAAATAAAACATTGTCGTATATGAAGCCTAGTTTTAGTGCTATTATAAATAAATATGTGAAAAAAAATATATATCATTCATTACATTAAATAGTTAGGTTATATTTTTGCTAAAATAAATATTATTATAAGTATTAATATTTTTATTTTATTAATATTTTTTATTTACGACTTGTTCTTTTAAATCAAACAAGAAAGTATTCTAACTACAACACAATCAGTTTAGTTATTATCAAAATGGGTTATGGGGGTCCGTTAAAAAAATATGATCAATTAGAGTTCCGTGAACAAAAAAAGATTGGGAACCGCTGATCTACGTCACATCCCGACGAAGCGGGAGTAAGTTACTAGTGAATAATGGTAAGAAATCAACAAATAAACCTTCACATTTTAAATATCAAGAAATCTTGAAGTATTTGTAAGTGACAAATGCATCTAGGTCATGATTATCGCGCTTCTGTTAACAACGTGTGCCGTTAGTTTGAAGAAAGATGATCTAGATAGTTTGACC